ATGAAGAGAATACTGACAAATGTAAAATATATCATTTAACGAGATAGGATTGTCTAGACGAATAAAACACACTATGATATAAAGCAAAAGATACTGTTGGGGCTCCAACACAACGAACCCACAGGTTGAGAGTGAGGGCTGAAGGCTTTCGCTATGTTCAATTCTGGCATGTCCCAAATCTTTACATCGCCTCCAGACGACGCAAGTCGTAACTTTGTAGTCATCCTAGCCTTTTTGACCCCCTCCTTCACTCAGTCCGTTCTATTTTTACATGTTGTGCTTCGAGAAGTAATTGACATCCGACATAAGCCCAATATTACCGCCATTTTTTTGTTCGCAATCACCCACCTTCCCATGATACTTTTCGCAATATTCTTATCCACTGACCAACAATTTATTGGGCTCAGAGCCTATAGTGCCATGGTCCTTGATAGTTCCCTAACAAAACATGTTTTGCTGGTGTGAATGGGGTATTAGACACACTTTACTCGATTCACGCGGAAAAATGAAAAACGATCCGAATAGATATCGTCGCGCCAGATGCGTGACCATGAGGCAAAATTCAGAAAAAAGGAGTTGTGGCGGGTGCTTGAAAAACGGAAACTGGGCGCTCTAGTTGGCGGAGATTTCTTAATTTAAGATTAATAACTGCAACGCCCCTGAACTTACCCGTTCATTCAACAACACACAGGGAGCAGAGTTGTAAATATGTGACCGTGTTTTCCTCGTAATGGGTGATTTAGCTCAGAGATGCAAATACGCTTCAAGCTCCTTGAGAGCCGTTGTAGTTTGAATTTTGTGACACCGGGTATAGCAATGAAAAAAAAAAACGACTTTCACGCTGTTTCGAGCGTTAGCCCTTGGTCTTCTCTACCTGTTCTGTTTTGGATATATTTTGAAGCAGTTTTGACGAGTTTCAAAAAAATCTGAAACTTGAGTAGTACTGAGTTCGCAAGTCGATAATAGGTTTGTTGTACACTGATCTCAGAGAGGAGAGAGAAAAACAGACCTGATCCAATCACGTCCACTCGATCACAACTGATAATCACGAGGATTTCGCGCAATTTCCTGAGTCTACTGAGGTCACTAATGACACAACTACGTCTGCCCTGGAACACTAATGAGAAGCTTTAGATACAAAAACATATTTCAAATTTTAAAGAATACTCTCTCGGGTATTTTTTTCCATCTACAGGAAAGCGAGTCTAACTGAACCGCTCTAATTACATTATCTGAGACGGGAAATGACAAAAGGATGATTTAATGCACAACGCTCCTCGCCGAACAGTCCCATGAGGGTTCCAGGAAGACTGCGACGCGATCTCGAGGTTTTAATAAAGCATTATCAGTGATCATAGGCGCTAATAAATAAAACAACAATACAACAGAATTTTAACGAGGTCTAAGTGAATAATTATGTCCACTGAACGGCTCAAAACAAGAGTTGGATGGTTAAATGCTTACGCGGCGCTCTTTTGATACAGCTATTGAATAAAGCTATTAATAAATTTTAATTATCCGTGGACAATTAACCTTGCGGCAAATCAAAACAAAGGGTTTTTTTTAAGCAAAGAGGAAAAGGCTACTGGGCTTTCCAGTACAAAGACTTACTTTTAATGCTGTATTTTGTTTGAGGTTTTGAAGTTTTTTTTTTTTTACCTCCCTCTTTCAGAGCTTGAGTACTATTTCGATTGCCAAGCTAAACAAAACTTATAACATCTTATGCGTATGACGCTTACATTCACATATAATGATACTAATTCATTGTTACTTTCCTTAGCTCAACCTTATAAAATAATTTGAAAAAGAAACGGTTGCTTGTAATGAAACTGTTGGTTGAATTGTAACTAATTGTAAATTGTTCACTACTTTTGGTCTTCATTGTCATTCCAGAGGTATTATTCTTTGTCTTAAAATCGCTGATTCACCTCCGTATTTCGACCTCGATCAGATAATTTTTTGCGGTACTCTTTCTTTTGGATATTAAGCCACCTTCAACACTCTGTGAAATCTTTTTGTAAGGTGCGCAATATGTTTCACTCTGTAATTAGAGACACGCGTTGAAGGTTCATATAAAGTAACCTATTCTGAGTTATCCTCTGATCTGCATTGCAAGGAAGAGAAAGATCTCTCTTTCTCTCAAGCTTCCCCTTTTTTAGATCAACGAAATCTGAAAACTGTTTCAAATCTATGTTTCGTCCAATGCTCGAAGATTACTTTGGGAAAAAAGAAATCCTAAATGCAGGGAATATATTGAAAAGTAATTCAAATGTAACTTAGAAAAATAAAATTGAAGTTTGAATGCGGGGAAAAAGTTGAGTTTGAATGGACTGTCAAGTTACACCAAGATCACTGCAAAAATGCCAGAGAGAATATTACAACCAAATAACGATTACCCGCTGAAAAGCGGCCTCTTGACGCAAAAAAAAATCTACGAAAAATTACTACTTTTCTTTTTTAAACAAAAATGTCTAAATAACGCACGGGTTCTAGTCCGCAGGGATTTAATCACTGAAATTCTGAAGTGAAAAGGTTAAAAGAATTTGAATGATAGAGGGCGTGATACGTGCTACAAAGGCAATAATTTGTTCACATTCGCGTGCGAGAATTGAGCGTCTGATTGCATCAGATCAAACGCCGCTTCTCATTGGCTCTCTAGTAAATAAGTGTAAAATTGCATGCCCGCGCCAATATAATTTAGCTGAAGAGTTTATGCACAAACTTCATTTCCTGACTCAGCGTCACTCAGAAAGGACCTCAGTTTTACAGACAAGAGCTGTTACCAGTGCAAAGTGACAGACACTAGACATGGCAGAAAGAATCAAGCTTACAAGAAGACGACAGGTACATTAGACTCCCTTTCCCTCTTTTAGTTTGCTTTACGAGTGTTTCCTCGTTTCACATATTTATTCCTACTGTTTCCTTTCAGCAGACGACTAAACCATTGCTGGAAAGACAAAGAAGAGCGCGGATAAACCGAAGTCTTGAGGAGCTCAAAAGCTTGGTTTTGTCTGCCTTGTATCATGATGTAAGTTTACCTGGTAAACTTTTATGACTTAAAGTCCCCAATCTCATTCTTATCAAAGGCAATAAGTCTTATTTGAACGTTAAGCCAGCCACATTTCGTTATGCATTCCTTATTCAAACACTTCTACTTTGCTGTATTTTTCTTTATTCTACGTGAAGTCTCAAATAAGGGTCAATATTACACCTAATATAAGCCGACAACCTAATCGATGTTTATTTCATTAACAGTTTGTAAACAATTTGTTTTTATCTCGGTAGAATGATCACAACTCCCAAAAGATGGAGAAGGCCGAAATACTGGAGCTCACCGTGAATTTCTTAAAAATGATCCGAGGGCAACAATTGACCGGTGAGTAAGTTTCTTTTGTTAGCTTACTATAAAGCCTGTACTGTGCGATGATCCCAAACGCCCGTCATCGTTATGGCTGCAACTCGCTCATCCCTTTGTTTTGTCACATAGGTTATTGGAACAATCCGCAAAGTGAGCCGGAATCTCAGCATAGCAACAATAGAGCAGGATTTAACGAGTGCGCAGGTAGAGTGCGCAGCTTCGTGGAAAACCAACCTGGAGTGAATCCTAAACTGCAGGAACAAATACTTGGAAGTCTGGCGGCGTCTTACAGCTTCAATTTCCACACTAATCAGACACTAGTCAACAAGAGCACCTCCGTGTCCTTCCCTCCTGGCCAAGCAGTGTACGTTAGTGGCTTACAAACCACTGCGGAGTCGCCGTGTACCTGTGCCTTTACACCCCCGCCATCTCCGCCCCTGTCAAGTGCATTCCGCCCGTATGACCGCCGTGAAACTACTACATTGACTGACGCGAGTGGCAATTCACCAGAAAACTGTTATTCAACGGCTGACATCAAAAGAAGCATGGAAGAGCCATGTAAACTCCCGCTTTGGAGGCCTTGGATTCAGTCTTCACAACAAGGACAAATCTAATTGTATGGTTCGTTGATTTGCAACGGTTTTTGCACAACACTGTACTGTAGATATTCCTGCAAAACTTCAAATTAATAATACACCACTTCCGTGCCGGATGAGAAGAGGAAAGACAACGGAAGATCCGATGAGCACACTTGTTTGAAAAAACACAAACTGCAGAACGGAGTTGCCTGTCGTCGAGCGTGAGAAACAGTTTTATAACAAAAAATTTAATGACCATTGGTAGTTACAATACAATACATGGCTACTTTTACATGTAATTCATACGAATATTTCAAGAAGATCGATTGATGCTTCGATTAGGTGTAAAAATTATCATTAAAATTCGTTGGCGCTGTTTCATTAACATGAAGGGGTCGGAGGTTTGGATTGTTTGCTTAAAGGAAAAGTTTGGCTCTGGACGTTTTGTTGCTCGCAGAGTTCAACGCTGCTCTCCAGCCCCCCACCTCCCCCCCTCACCCATAAAGAAAAACAAAAAAAATCGTAATTGTAAGTTACTTCTATCGTACATAACGGGAAAACTTGCCTGGCATTTTTGGCATCTCACTGTAACAGAAACTATGTAAATGAAAGCTGTGGACTACGATGGTGGTGATGAACACAAATCCGGGCGCCTTGTGTTATCAAACAGACTGATCAAAGGGGTGCGGTTTATTTTTATCTTTTTCGAATGAAGAAAAGGAAGAATGGAAATTTAAGATAAGAAGTGGCGGTCTAAAATAATTTTTGTTTGTCGGTCTCTTAGTTTTCCGGTAAAAGTGATTGTTCGCTGTCGCTTCTGATGATTCAATCTCGTTCCCAGATTCTTACGTCCATCCTAGCACGACTGCAATGTTCGCTGAGAGCAAGATTGGCAAATGACATCATTTCTTCGCAAGAATGCTCCTCCTGCCTCCTCCCCCATCCCCCCACTCCCCATTTTTTCCTGTCCGTTTCTCCTTATTTTCAATAAATTGCCTCGTAGTGTGTTTTTTCCCCCACCCGGCAACAACGAGAGGTCGTTGGGTGGGGAGGGACGGGTTGGGTATTATGCGGATGACGTGTAACTCAAGATGGCGGCTACGTTCCAGCGTTCGGCAGTGACCGAAGGTCACGAATGAAGCAGGAATGAGGTGATCTTTAACAGGACAAGATGAAGCGTTCAAGGATGAAAGGTACTTTTTGTATGCATATTAGCAGGAATGGTAACAAAGATATGGAATCGTTCATGATGACAAGCTGACTAACGCTAATCCTGTTTAGAATTAGACATGGTTTGATGCTATTCTGGTTTAAAAGATTTAATGAATGTAACCGAAGAAGTTACACTCCTGATCTAAACGCTGCAACAAGAGGTCCTTTTATACGATCTCTAATTAGTTTAGATCACCGTTGATGAAGGCACTAGACGGGAGTGTCGAAACGTTGGGTCTATGAATTGTAACTTCTTCGGTTACATTTATCAAATCTTTAAATCAGAGTAGCATCAAACCATGTCTGGTTGTCCACCTGGTTGCCATGTGAATTTTAATACATTCTGTTTAGAACTGTTAAGTGTTTTAAAGATTTTTTTCAAATTAGAGATCAGGGCCGGGAGAAAACATTTGATGTGACCAGTGTTTGTTTTGAAAATTTCCTTTATGGAACTTGCGCTACTGTTAGCAGATATTTCCTCAGGCTTGATTGAAGTAAGAGGCTTCTGCCTAAAAATAAGTGTGCACACATCCTCAAACATCAACTGATACATATCATGTGCCTGGCCTGACAATGTCCTTTCTTGACACCTTGTAAATTTAATGGTTTTAAGTGGAGGGGAGTGAATTGGATGACTGGAATCCTCTGATCTGTGTTCTTTATTAGTCCTGTAGGAAATATTTCGTGGAAATATTCCTCTGTGTCAGGTGTAGCTTCATTGACTTGGAGCGTGGTTGTTGATTGCTCAAATGCTGTCAATTTTAGTGCTTACTTAGACTCATGTGGACTCTAGATTTCATATGCATGAGTTTCAGTCATGGTTTGTTCTTGAATTCTTACCACTATTATCAATTGATACAGTTATCCATGAATAACCAGTCTGAATATTATTGAGGTTAAAATGGTTATATGATAGAGCACCATAACATGCAATCAACAGCCAACTGTCTTATTAGTTTTAACAAAATTTTTTTTTTTTTGGCCACATCACTCAGATGTACTACTTTTGTAATCATACAGGATGGACTTTGGATATGTTTACAGTCAATTCACCACCACATTAAACTTGCCACCGCTGATATGATTTGACTCTCAGTGGTGGCAAGTTTTGTGGTGGGGTCAGTTCATTGTGGTGGCAAATTGACCGGATACCCTCTGGATTTGCCAGTTTGTTTATTTACTATCATTTCATTAGTTCCCAGTTTTAACCAAAACTTTGAGTTAATCTTTAACTACTGATGTTGAGTATGATATGCACTATATCTTTCCAGTTTAAAGATAACTTGTCTCTTTTGTGTAACAGATTTGATGGTGGTGTGACACAGGTTGACAACCTTTCTTTTAAATGCTTTTTTTAATCATTTAATTGCATCAGCAAGCAGCTGGCCAATCTTGAAAACTGGCTTTCTGTCTCTTGTAATGTTGGTAGAGATGTTGCTACTCCAATACACACAGTGATAATTGTACTAGTACATCACTTTGTATTGCATACCAATCTTAAAGTACAATAAAGTTTTGAAAAGGGCTATACAAATGTTATATTTTTCTATAGATGGTTGTAACAGGCCTTATAATGCCTTATATATGGCAGTAGACAGTTAGTAACCAGCTTTCACTCTAATCTTGGCTCTATTATGGTAAAAAAAATTTGAAATTGTCTTAGAGTATTTTAATTTATTTCAGTGCATGCAAATTTTTGTTCTTAATTTGGTATATTTGGTTTTGTAACAAAAAGACCTTTCTGTTTTATTTTCTTTTAGATGCAAAGGACTTAACAGAGAAACAATCAGAAGCAAACAAGGACATGGCAAAGTGTTCCATGGGGGATGATTTGAATGCTAGTATTTCATTCCATGATCACCATGCAAGTGCCGAAGAAAAATTGATCAAGTCACAGAAGGATTCAAAAGGGGAAGAAGGAAAATTGACCCGAAATGTAACACTCCTGCAAGGCGTGTCACTTATTGTTGGTGTAATGATAGGTTCAGGCATATTTGTTACTCCACGTTTTGTCCTTCTGCATTCTGGTTCGGTGGGAATGACTCTTTTGGTTTGGATTATATCTGGAGTGATGGCAACTTTGGGAGCTCTCTGCTATTGTGAATTAGGAACAATGATTCAACGTTCTGGTGGTGAGCTAACATACATCCAGGAAGCTCTGGGGCCTCTTCCTGGCTTTCTTGTGAGCTGGACAATGGTACTTATTTTGAAACCAGCCTCTGTTGCCATTATCACATTGAGTTTTGCTTCTTACGCTGTCCAGCCATTTCTTGGGAACAACAACACCGAACCTGAAGACCTCATCAAACTTGTAGCTGCAATCTCCATCATAATAATCACGACTGTGAACTGTGTGAGTTCCCGTTGGGCAGGTCAGATGCAAATAGTTTTCATGATAATGAAACTCCTTGCAATTGGGATAATAGTGGTGATAGGAGCTTCAAGAATTGCTAGTGGACACAATGGAAACTTTGAGTCTCCCTTTAAAGGAACTAATACAAACATTGGAGAAATTGCACATGCATTCTTTAGTGGATTGTGGGCTTATGATGGCTGGAACCAACTCAATTATGTGACGGAGGAATTACAGAATCCTCACAAGAATCTCCCTCGTGCAGTAATGATTGCTCTTCCTCTTGTCACTATTTGCTATACACTGATCAATATAGCTTATCTAAGTATTCTGACACCAGCAGAAATGTTGTCATCCACAGCAGTAGCTGTATCTGTTGCAGAGAAAGTTACACCCACCCTTGTAGTTGTTATGCCACTGTTTGTAGCATGTTCCTGTTATGGTGCTGCTAATGGCTCCATTTTTACTAATGGAAGAGTTGTTTGCTCAGCAGCCAAACAGGGACACATGCCTCGATATCTAGCTGTTATCAGCAAGCGTTTCCACACTCCATTACGTGCTATAATGTTCCCATCATTTATTTCCATTTGCATGTTAATACTTGGTGATCTGGATTCCTTGCTGAGCTGTTTCAGCTTTGTTGCATGGATTTTCCTGGGTTGCACATTCCTGTCACTTCTGGTTCTGCGCTGGAAGAGGCCACATGAGTATCGTCCCTACAAAGTGTGGATTGGCATTCCTATTGTCATGGTGATGATTTCGTGCTACCTTATTATTGCCCCTTTGTTTGCCAAACCTCAGTCATCATTGTTTGCTCTGGCATTTGTTCTATCTGGTGTACCAGTTTACTTTATTTTTGTCAACCGCAATAATTAGCATTGCTGAGGGAAAAGTGCATCTGTAAGCTCAGTCAAGTAGCAAAGTATCAAAAATATCAAAAATATCCAAATGCTAGAGAGTTGTACATTCATTTGTTAGGCTCAAAGTTACAGTAGGTTGAGTGAAGTAAGGAACAGAAAAATGTAATTTTTTGGTCTTTGTGCGATACAAATCAATGGTAACGCGATTAACTGATGACTAGTCATAACGTATGTTAATCACTCACGATTTGTAGCCGAAGTTTAGATTAACGTAATCAGAATCTCCCTACAACTCATGGCACGTCCTTCTTGGTAGTTAGATTTGGAAGGAAAGAAAACTGCATGTGTTTTCAATTGTGATCTGAATCGGCGAATCGGGTCATATCGATGACGTGAATTGTTGTAATCGTTACTTGTCAGTAAAATAATCGCAGACATGAAAGTGTGGTGGCCCAGACTTCTAACGAAATTCGTTTCGATAGATATTTTCTCTTATTTCTTTTCAACCAAGGGGAATGATGCGCAATTCGTGCTAGACTTGTTTGTGTCCCTTTATCAGTTAAGGCTCGTGCAAAGTTTCTTCCCTAACATAAGCCCGGTCCATCGGGGAACATGTTTGGTGACGCTCACGCATAAAAGTTGAACATATTCCTTAGGATAATTTACTTTTGGAATCGATTCCAGTGCATTTACTTGGGATCTGTGACGAAATACTGTTAGAAGTATGCTGGCATAAATTACCAATTGAACTTGTCACAATGAGCGCGCCACTAATGATTACATAACGATACGCGCATTCGGGATGTAGTCGGTTATTTCTTCGGGTTTTGAACATGTAATTGCTCGGACATAGTTTGAAGCTACACTGGTTTGCAGATTTAATGAATGTAACCGAAGAAGTTACAATTCATAGACCCAACGTTTCGACACTCCTGTCTAGTACCTTCATCAGGGGTGATCTAAACGCTGCAACAAGAGGTCCTTTTAAATGATCACTAATTAGCGGCCTTTTTTTCTGACGAGGTGTAAATAGGCGTCAGGAAGCAGACCGCCATCGTCACGATTTAAAGGAGCGTGGGCGGAGTTAATGTGCCAAGCCTCCAAACAAAGGCGCTGGTGGTAACGCCGATTAGCGGTGATAATTTTAGAATTATCTCACCCAATTGTATGGTTGGTTAGGCAAGTAGGCTCCGATAAAGCTGAATGATAATAATGAATGTAATTGCTCGGTTTATGTTGAAGTAATAAAAAGGCTTTTTAACCCAAACTTATCGTTACAGGATCCATTGATTTCTCGACTATCGGCTTTTTGTTGAGCACAAGGAGAGGATATCAAAGGTGAGGCCAGGGGGTCCTGATCCCGTTCTACGCTCGAATTTCTTAGGAGAATTTACGCGTCACATGCACTTTAATTAATATTAAAAGGAAAAACTTCAAATCTCACCCTATTTTGCCTTTCTATTAAATTCACGCGTCACAATCATTTTGGGCATAATCACGCGTCTCGTAGTAAACCTTTGCCAACCTCTGAAGATCCTTGCGAAGACTCCCATCATGTTCAAATGTATTAATTTTCCTTTTATTGCCTGTGTTCTTACTTTTAACGACGGAACATCATAAGTAGCATGGAAAAATAAGTGCTTCGGTCTAACCACTCGTTTTGTGGACCAGTTGATGGAGACAAATGGTTTCCAGGAATGCGTTGTGCCTGAAAGCTGTTGGAGACGAGGATTAAAAAGAAAGGAAACGGCTGTGACATGCAACGCCGATGACCAGAAAAATCCTTTTAAGAAAAAGGTGGCGATGACAAATGGCCAGTTAACGTCCGAACAGTATCTAGCAGAGAATAAGAAATTTCGCGGCCGTCAATATTACTGAAAAGAATCAGATTTTCTTTGAACATACAACAGAGGTGCGACTACTAGGCTAAACCATGACGTGTGAATTTCCAGTGGCAAATTATTACGACGTTGAACTACAAAGAGTAGAATAAAAGGGTTTTACATAGGCTACCAACGAAGGAACCCGCTTGTTCTCTCAAAGGAAACGGAAGCAAAGCGAGCAAGCGCAAAAGTAATAAATTAGCCAAACGTTGAAGTATTGAGGTGAAAAATAAAATATCGTAAAACAGATGTTGGTTTGGAAAGAAGGGGTAATCATCCCAAATATGTTTCCCAGACTCTTCTTTGTACTATCTGAACTGATGTTATTATATGTCGTTCAAAAGATTCAAAGGAATGTAGATGAGGTATTCCTTGAGGAAAAGAAAAACATCATAATCTAATGACACTGATTGATCGTTTATCTCAAGAGAGCAGAGATGTAAAAACAGCATTTCATCAATATAAAGCCTTATTCTGTTAAAAACAGGATTTTCTTCAAAGTAACTTATTTCTGTGGGAACGCTTGCTGACCTCACTTGCAATACCAAATGTATTCGTAAGATAGATGTGTTCAAAGGGTGGGTGAGTTCAGAAATGTCTTCACAGGGTCCTTTATACATATTACTTTGACCTTTAGGAAGACGGTAGAAAATTAAAAAAGGTATTTCCTGGAGTAGTCTCGGACGAGACAATAAAACCACCATAAACTTGGTATTACTTTTTAAGCACCCCACAAAAGCACAGTGTTTTTATTTGTATTTACACCAGCAGCGTCCCGTTGGTTATGTTGTGGAAATTTCAGCTTCAGCAAAGGCAATTCATTGATTGAATGAACCAAAACTAGTTTGGCACAAATTTCAACGCGAAGAGCGTTAGTAATACGGTAAAAGGGGAAAATATCTTTCATTTAAACGCTGTTTTAGCAGAGAAGGTTATCGAAGAACGTAGTATAGCTACGATAATCACAGTAAAGCCGGATGTTCTCTATGTTGACTTTCAAACGGGAACAACTGGTTTGTCGGTCAATATCATAATCATATGAGTAATTGATGGACAGCAGACAGAAACTTTATATACAGTCAGAATATATGGTGAACAAGTCAAAGAAAGCTGAACAAGTCAAATGCTCATCACCAAAGAATGGGATGTAGTGGGACATTACGCTTATCACAGCGTTTGATCCTGATTTGAAGAATTACTTGGATAGCTTTATAGGTAAGTTCAGAATAAATGAAATTGCACCATTAGAGTCTTCAAATTGAATTTGTAGCATGTGCGCTGGTATCGTTCATACTATTTTCTGTTATTGTGTCACTGTAGTAACACGAAATGAAATGTTTTCTGTTAAAAGTTTGTTTTTTTAGATAGATAAAAAACCTCAGCTTTGTCTGGATAAAGAAATTACTCTATTGTGATCTTTTTTCATTTTTTTTTCCACAGAGAACAGCAACAGCTTATCATGAATAGAGTTGAAAATGCGGTGAGCTTATTACATTTGATATTCTTATATGTTACACGCACGTGAACACTGCATTTCATGATGAAGCTGCGTTTAAGTTTATAATGACACAGTACATGCAATATACTTTTAACTTTATTGATTGTTAAATTCATGATAATGATTGTTATTAGTGTTTTCGTGTAGTTTATACTGGTCAGCCAACTGTAAAGATCGTCACTAAGTAGACACTCGACACATGATTTGTAGAGCCGGCTGACCTATAGTACAACTCCATTGTTCTTATTGATTATCGGTCACTGCAAGAGTTTCCTTAAAAACTTTGAACTAAATATTTGATCAACAATAGCTGATGCACGCAAAGTGACTCAACTGCAAATCTTAAACACGCTACTTTTTTTATGTTGCTTATTTCAAAACAATCCACAAAGAATAATCTTTTAAAGAAAATTATCACACTATTGCCAAAATTTAGCAGCAACATGTCCAAACAAATAGCGTGTTATCAAGTCAGAATGCCTAAATGAGTGGTTTCTTTGAGATATCCTAAGACATTTTATGGATTGTTCTCGTCGACCTTTGGACGTAGGTTTTGAGTTTTTTAAATGTCATTTTAAAACCTCAATAATGTTTTAGCATGTTTCGTTATGTTATAGCATGACAGTTTTGCCATCCTCTGCTTTCATGAAATCTTAAGTTTTCGTAGCTATCCCAAGCCTCTTCCGGTTTTCAGTTGCTGCAGTGATTCTGTTCTAGGGTAGGGAATTTTGAAAGATTTAACAGCAGTGACAACTTCAGTAGTTTTTCAATGCTGAAAATTCTGAAGGTAAACTTTCTCTAATGCGTTAATTTTCTTCAATAAATTGAACCACTCGTGTCCCATTATGCTGTTTCGACTCATGTACAATGCAGGGAAAAGACGGTCTGAAAACCAAGTGCTCGCCTTAAAAGGCTTTCACATTAAAGTAGACGAGAATTTTTAGAATTGACGCGATAAAATAAATGACTTAATAGATACAGCATATGGATACCAAATTGATTTTATAATTGCCAAATTGCAAGCGATTATAGGCGTTTAGGTTTCTTGGTTCCTAGTGTGTTGGAGCTTGGTGAAGGTATCAGAGCTTGTGCAAAATCAGAGTCCGACCCATGAGTTCGGAAAGATTTTGATGTTATTTTTAATTTTCAAAATGTTCCCTTTTTATCTCTAGAGTTGATTCATCATTTAGATTTATCTCAGATTTTCGCAGCATATGAGATTCACCATATATTCCTTCATCAATGTAATTCTACAGTGTATCTCAGTAAGTCCGTCATTGACTGAGTAACATTGTTATTTATATTTATAGTCTGGCTTAGCAAGAAATTTGTAACTTCCGAGTCAATTTTATTTTGTATTTCAGGGAATCAAGACATTAAAACTTTTATTCTATTGAGGGAATTAATTTCCTTCCCTTTTTTCCAATCGTCATGCCCAGTTAGTAGTGTTTCTTTGTCTCCCCAGATAATGTTTGTTTCCAAGTTTTACCAGAAACCAAAGCCTAAGACAAACATGAATCACAGAGGGGATCAAAAGGAGGAGAAACAGCAACAACGAGGAAAAATCAGCTACAACAGTAACAACAACAAAAATAAAAAAAGAAACAAGCCAAAAGGTATAGTTCCTCCCTCATAAGTAACTGACAAATCGATTTTTTGCTATTGATCGATGCGACTCATAATTGCTCCCCTCTTATTCACATTTCACCACAGTTTTTTTGGACGTTTCAAAGACCACTTTCGTGTCACTTCATAAATTTCCCTGAGAGCCTTGATGATGAACGCGGTATGTGAACTAAAAACTCACTCTGGCCCTTTAAGTGTTTTTTTCACCTACCCTTCACTAAATTTTACACACGGTCAGCTGACTCTGTAAAATCTACACACAGCTTCCTCCTTTCTAGTACTCGTTAGAACGAATGAGCGCGAAGCACCAGCGACTGGTAACGCGCCCACTGTTTATTCAACATAGAGACGTTTAGGTAGGATCGAGGCATAGTGGAGCGGGTGATACATCAAAGTGTGGTTGACATCGATGCACAGATATGTTTCTCTTAGAGTGTACAATTTTGGAAAACTTACTGTCAACAACCGTTATGTGTATCCCCATACAGCTAGACAAATCAGTAATTTCTGGCGCTGTTTCTTGACACTTTTGACACCTGCGTTCTGACATAGGAAACTTTAAAGCCAAATGTCATCATGTTTGAAAAATTAGAAAATTAAAAAAATTAGAAAGCTTAACTCGCTACCCAATAGCCATTCTTTCAAAATGGTTAGATATGATTCGTAGCTCAATATTCTAAGACAGTTAATTGACTGCCTCATCAGGTCACAAGATCATTCGTCAATATTTGATTGAGAGCTGGTCCCTAAGCTTTTTGAGACGGTGCCCCTCTATGGGGCATTTCATTTCAACTCGCATTTCGTCCTTGTTGATGTTCAGTCTCTGTTGACCTACGTTGACGCACGTCACCGGTTTACCTCCTTTCGCTTCAAGGATTTTTACATGTTGGAATAACGTCAATGAATACAAACACGTCGGATGATTCAAGGAAAAGCCAAGGAAAATAGCAAAATATTTGGCGAGTGCTGCTTCAGTTACCTACCCTCAAGGGATGGCTACCCGTTGCGTGCAGACTATGATTCGATGTCTAACTGTGTTCTGAGATATTGAAATCAGCTAATTAACGTACGTAGGATTATTGATCCGTGACGGCTGTGTTGCGACACGCTGTATCAAGTCTAGTCACTTTATTGGGATTGTCTCTTTCCATTTACAAAGTTAAATCCAAAGTTACAAAGTTAACTCAGAGTCTATATGTCATTTGCATACCCGCTAATCCATAGGGAGAGTTTGCCACCAGCCCTGTTATGAAAATGGAACAAAGAAGATAATTGTAGTCACGCAATTTTTCAATGGCGTACTGAATAAGTTTGAGTACATCACGTGATAGTTCAACTTCCTGTCAGATCAAACGTCAGTGCCATTTTTAGACCAGGGTGCCCGCAATGATCATTGCTGGAGACAGATCAAGTTTTCGGCGCAAAACTCAGTTACTTACTAATTTGATTAAGACTAAATCATGACACACACGGAAAACACTGACAATGCGAAGGAACGATAACTGTCTGGTCTAACTCGGGACACGAGACCGTTTTGTGATTTGACGTCCAAAACACAAAATTTTACATGGATGATTGAGTAGCCCTAGAAACGACAGCTGGCAAAGAGAGGAATAAAACAACAGCAGAGAAGGAAAATGAAAAAAACAAAAAAAAAACCTGCCATACGGTTGAGATGTTGAAAAGTAATACGTAATAATTCCTGCATTTATTGATTGCAAATAAGAAAATATTTCAAACACGTGTGCAGGCTGAGAGAGAATTATAATATCTGGTCACATCTATATTCGCCACATTTGCCGCATTTCTTTTTCAAAGTGACCTTGCGGTCGGCTACTGACAAGTCACATGTTAGACATATGGCAAGTTCTTGAAATTTATTATTATTTTGTTTCATTCAAAATATTGAGACTAATCCTTTTCCAAGTTTCATCGTAAATTGCACAAATACGTGTTTCGTGATTTTTTTTAATCTCTGGAACGATTGCTTTTCGCGAAAAAGCCTACATCTTGATATCTTACGCTTGGTGGGGTGAACTTAAATTTCGTAACAAAGAGCTAGGAAAACAAAACGTTTTGACGTCGCATATTGTGACGAATAATGGATGGTCATGGGATCATAACCGGTTTTGCCAGTAGTAGTGAGTAGCACTAGCAAATCCAACAGAGCATGCGCAGATTTTCAGTAGCGTAGCAACAAACAAATGGTGGCCGGCCAGCTCGAGTCCCTGTAAAAATACCTCCTCACGGTCTCCCCCAGAGTGGACTTGTTCATGCGCCATTGAATTAGCCGTTAAGTTGAGTTCCTTTCTACAGTATTTACTCGCACTCCTCGTATTAATAACCGCCATTTTAGTCGTCCTTGGTGACTTTTTCGCAGTGTCGAGGGTAGCTCTCGTGAGCTTAGGCTTTGAACGGTCGGATCGAAGTTTTGGTTTTGCTCTTTCACTCCTTACTGATAAGGAATTCGTTTGCAAGATTGTGGAGAAGGGAAGAGATGTTGTGATTTGGCCGTGTTGTTTACAGCAATGGACGGCCTTTTCACTCTCTTTGTTGGCTTGACTTAGCGTTCTTGCGAGGTCAGTCTTAAGAGAGAACAGCTAGACAGAAATTTTGCGTGGTAGAATCAGGAAACGGTTAAAAACTTTAGGATGTGACCTTCATTTGGACGGAGCAATGGAATTCTTGAAGTACTGCGTTCATCTTTGTGTGGCACCAATGTATTGGACTATTTCTCTTTTCTGAAAGTTTCTTTCTTGACTTCTTCTAACGTTAGTTTAACGTTATGGAGAGTCAGTTTGATGAATCTTCTAAGGAAGAACCTATAAAGCCTCCGAAACATGTACAATTTAAGCTAAGTAATGTTGTCACTGAGGATGAATCAAAATTCATTGAACCTATAGCTTCTTTGGTCGATGGCTCTCAAAAATTAACAACCAAGGGGGAAAACCGAGAGAAAACAGTGGGACTTGAGGCCGAGGAGAAAGCAGTCGAAGTAAGTCCAGATGGCCGGTTCCTCAAATTTGACATTGAAGTTGGCAGAGGCTCCTTCAAAACGGTCTACAAAGGCTTGGACACAGAAACCGGGGTCGCTGTGGCGTGGTGTGAACTTCAGGTAACTTGTTCGTGTACTTACAACGTGCAGATTGTTTTTTATCGCTTGTGTGCTGTGTTTTAAAGGTTAGTTATGGAGTGATCAGAAGTAATCATTTTTTTTTACCTTTATCTTCCTTTCAAGGATAAATATTCAAAAGCCGAGCGAGCGAGGTTCAAAGAAGAAGCCGAGATGCTAAAGCAATTACAACACCCAAATATTGTAAAATTCCACGACTCTTGGGAGACCAGAATCGGGAACAAAGATAAGAAAAGGGTTATTTTAGTGACGGAGCTAATGACTTCAGGAACTCTGAAAACGTAAGTATAAGATAATATGTTAAAGCCAACTGTGCGGCCGCCATCTTTTTGCCACGAATTCATGTGTTGTGATATTTGCATGGGAAGGAGGCAGGAAATTAGGATGTGACGAAACTGTCTTGCGATGTCTGTAAATTTTGAATGAATTGGCAAACAAAGACACGTTGTTTTACTTGTGTTAACTTAAAATTTGCCTAAAATTCGATTGTTCTTATATTTTAAAAGTCGGGCAGTTCTTTGTACAAGCTAACGGACTATACGTTCGTCAAGGTTAATCGTGATCAGTTTCCGGGGTACGTGGTCGTCTTACTTTGACACACACTTCTCGAGACGTTCCACAGTTTTTTGTTCAGAACTCCTTTTTGGTGTATTGAATTTTTAATAGAATGATTTCATATCAATGTTTTATTCTAAAAATGCGATTTTTGTATTTGCCCTTTGGGTAGGAAAACAAATTTAGTGGTTGACTTTGTGGAACTATTGTAAAACTTGCGTTTCCAACGGCGAGGAATTATTGTGTGTTTTACCTAATAAGATTCTCAACATGTTTCCTTGGCTTTGTGTCTAAAATACCAAAATACGGATTAAAAAGGACATTTTTCTTTATATCAGTTTCGCTCGTAATTTGAGTCGTTTCTCTGAGCCGACTTTGCTTCTTTCGACATTACCATTCCCCTCCCCCAAATACATGCTCCTTGTCTTTCGATTTCGTAGAGCCTTAGAAAAACACAGCAGGGCAAAGCATTTGCGGTTTAGAGTTGCCATAAGTGTTCGTGTCTCTGAGATGTAGTTTACCGCACATTTGTTAAGCGTGCTTTGTAGAATCGCTATAGCTTACAGCGATGGTTACACTCGCCTACCATGTGACAGGGATAGTAAAAATTTTTATTTTAAATTGTTTAAAAAAGGTCACGGTCTCTTTTAAAGCTGAGCGCCGTTGCATTTTAGAATTTGCACTTATTATTTTTGAAGTATATATGTAAGTGAAATTTTTCTGTTTTAGTGGATGGTGTAGATTGACACTTATTTTATTTTGCATCCTTTGCCTATTTTGTTGGAAGATAGTAAATTAATCTTGCAGTATTTTCTGGACACAATAAAAATAGATAATTTATTAAGGTTAGGTCTTAGCTCTGGACTACAGAATATTGCTGCCTCAAGTGTGTGCAGTTTGATTGATTGACAAACATGTCTGGTAAATGCAGTAATATCTTCATGATTGAACTCTCTTTCCCACATGCTTATTAATCAAGGATGTGAATGAGATGTAGACAATTCATGGTAACAACAAGTTAATCCAGGAGCACATTCTGATAGCTCTAGTTATGGATCATATTTCTATTTGTTTATTGTGGCAATTGCTTTCCCAAACTCAAACCCATACAGATTTAACCTCATAACCTTTGTATGGTGAAGAATTTAACTTTTTCTTGTTGTGTAGTTAATCCAGATCTTGTTCTGCATAATTTCATTCTCAATTCATTCAAGTAACAGAGTATTCTAGTGCATGCAAATGTTTTTTCCATGGAAAGTAATCCTCCCAACTAAAACGTAAAGGATTTTAAAGGTATAGAAACAATAATCATTAACCTCTTGCGAGCCTATTTGTCATGGCCTACATTAAGAGGTGCTGAATGGTACCTTTGAAATTGTGGTTCTGTCTCAGTGACTTGATCATTATTAAATTTTGAATTTATTTGGGGCAGAGTTGGTGTTGTTTTGAGGAAAGAAAATATTTATATCTATAAGGGTTAGATATATATAATCTTAGTTAAGTTTCTTGAACAAACATGTTTTGATGATGTTGTGTAAGAGGGATTGTTTTTGAGTCATATTATAACAACTGAATTGTAGAATGGAGATGTAACTAGATGGAATATAATTTCAGTTACATTCACTAATCACGTAGTGTGAAAATTATCCCACCAAAGAACTCAGGTTTGAATTGGATTTAAAACCATGACTGTCTTGCTTGGTAGCTTGGTTTTTATTCTCAGCCCAGTTTGCCAGATTCCACTCGTCCAAGAGCCCCTTGTTGGCTTGGCACTTTGTGTCATGGCTTCTAATCCTGTATATGAGTTCTTGACAAGCTTCATTTTCACAGCTAACAGAGTTGAGTTTCTAACTTTAATGAAATTGGACTTGGCAGGTCAAATATGTAGTTTTCTTGCCATTCTTTACTCCTTGAACTTTTTTCTTGGGTGGATCACTCACTCACATGATGACAGGCTCCCAGCTGGCTCTGTAGTTTGGATTTCCCAGTGGTATTGCAGAATGGTTCAAATCCTGTTCAAATCTCAATTTTTATCAGGCTTTAATTTCACAGCTACTTAGTTGTGTTTATAAGTGCAATGATATTTCATAATTTTGTGGGAAAGGTATTAGTTGTGCAAGGAACTTGTCAGTCTGGCTGCTAGTCTGATCATACATCTATGTTTACTGTTGACGTGTGTTCATTTGTTTGTGTCAACAGGTATCTGAAACGCTTTAAGGGAGTAAAGGAGAAGATTTTAAAGAGCTGGTGTCGGCAGATTCTCAAAGGTTTACTCTTTTTACACACAAGGACACCACCAATCATTCATCGTGATCTTAAATGTGACAACATTTTCATCAATGGCACCACTGGTTTGGTGAAAATTGGAGATCTAGGGCTCGCTACTCTGAAGAAATCTTCCTTTGCAAAGAGTGTAATAGGTGAGACATCAATTTTCCCTTTAGACTTAAAAATTCTGTGTTACCTTCTTTAAGTTGATGTAACAAGGAATTGATATTAAATTTAAAACACAGCACATGAGAGATTAAGCCCATTTGTGAAAGTAATTATAGGATAGGATAAGACAAGGATAAGGAAGCACTTTCAGATGACTGGATATTGGCCAAGTACCTTTTTTGCATGTTTATGAACTTAGATGAAGTCAAGGTCCATAAAAACATATTGAAAGAATGAGGCTAATATCCAGCCTTCTTGGTCAGTAAATGATTTGTTATGTAGCATAAAGAATTTGCTTTTACAAGAATCAAGAATGAATTGTCTATTTTAAAAGTTAGGAAAGAAAGTCAACTATTTTTGCAGCATGATAAACCCACAAGAGTTGTCTATGTTTTCTTTGGTTTTACTTTCTTCTACTGTTTTTTACAGCTCCACTACTGACATTGTCCAAAAACTGTGCAATTTTTTTGTTCTTGCACAGTATTAAAGCAGGCAATTTTCATATTGCCCACAGGCCTTGTCAGCTACATAATAATTGCAGTTAGTAATTATTATTCATGATTACAATATTCTACTGTGTACTGTGCCACCAAACTCGTATAGATTTGATTCAAAACAGAAGTTACAAAGTACAAATGGCATAGGAGGGTGTTCACATGATTTCAAGATCACAACCAGAGAGTGTTTATTATCTGTTCAAACTTCAAACCAGTGTACTATGGCATGTTAGGTGAATAGGTCAAAATATCTATTTGGTCTTTCACAGTGTTGAAATTAGTTAGAGATATGGATCAGTAGCACAGTACATATGAACAATAGCGTAACATGCAAGAAAAATACAAAATATTTATAAAGGAATCAAAAACCTCTTGAAACTCTTTATTTAGAGAATATATTACAGTTCTTTCACTTATTGCTTTATTTTGGGACATTTCGGTTAATTTCCGGCAATTTCTCTATTACCCATGATGCATTGCGACCCCACCCATTTTCATTTGCATGATCTCTTTCATGTGTACCAGGCTTGTTACATAACAAAAAGCTTCTAGAAGCTTCTAGGGTGGTTTCAAAGCTGTTGTTTTTCCTTCGATTGCACGTAGCCGAGTGAAATGGCGGTCGAAGTGGTCGAGAGTTTTCGAAGTGACGCGCGGCTGTTTTTGCTTTCTTTCCTCAATGTAACCTGAAACCCTGAACGAAATGTTTCAAAACGTTTGGGATTTAGAAAAACGCTTCTTGCTCCCTCAATTTGTTATATTTTCTCGTGAAAATGAGCAGTTAGCTTCGTTATGAGATGAGAATGACACGGCAGGAAATTAACATGTTTGGTCCAACGCCAGCGGTACTGCGGATGGCTTACATTTGGCATTGCATCCTTTATTTACGGAAAGACGCGGTATGTTTCATAGTGTTTGGGAATCAAACATTTGCTTCATTCTCAAGATTGAAATACGCAAAGTCGCCAAAACTTTCTGGACTGGCTCTCTAGAAGATGAGAATTCCATTGTAACAAGCTTTTTACTATCACGGCGTTCTATGCCGCCGAGGGGAATACGTTTCTCCTGATTTCATGGACTGAAACATGGAGCGTGATGCTTGTACACTTGAACAAAAAGTGCTATTTTTCTCTAAGGTTAGTCTGTCTTTCAAATTGGTACATATACATCTGAAATCTCTGATTTATTGTGATATTTTAGGTGATTTTTTCTGTTGATATCTTCTGCGAGAAACACAAGAAATTTTAAGATAATGATAATTTTGTGTATGGGAATGTTACGCGTGACGCCCTAAATTATGCATATTTTTGGAAAAATTAAATTTGTTAAAAAAATGAGAATTCAATAAAAATCCATGATATTATGCAAAGTTGTAGAGTATTATGTCTTTTTTATTTGTGCCAAGTCTCGGCATTGTAGCTGGAAAAGTACGAGAGATATTTTTGTTTATGTTTGCTTCTCTGTGTTTGTACACGTGAACTGTGCTACTGATCATGCTGATTACTTACTTTTCATGCTCTGTTCCTTATTTGGAGAGCACTTGATGAGAGTATCTGTTATGCTTCAAATGTTTTCTTTACATCAGAATTTTTTATACCATCATGATTTCCCTTTGTGTAGCATTCACTTCCTGAAACAAAGTGAAATGGTGTGAAAAAAAATAATGCCAGAAAACCATGGAACCAGAAAGGCAATTTGGGTGCTTTTTGTGTTGTGTCTAATCACATGGGGGATAGGAATATTTACACAAACCCCTGTGAGGATCCAATAAGGATTATCATGCCTATCATGCAACCAAAAGCTCCTTTATGATTTATAAAGAATGCTTTCTGTCTTAGTCAGTAAGCATTAAGTGATTCTGACCTCTGTAATAAAACAAATAATTGTTGGTTCAACATGTACAGGGCATTTAACAAGAATAAGAATTCAAATTTCTTTTAAATTTTCTGAGAAAATATTTCAACCACTTTATATTAACTGATCCCCATGTTTTACCAGGAACTCCAGAGTTTATGGCACCAGAAATGTATGAAGAACATTATGATGAATCTGTGGATGTTTATGCTTTTGGGATGTGCATGCTGGAGATGACAACACTAGAATATCCGTATATGGAATGCCAAAACCCAGCTCAAATCTATCGAAGAGTTGTCAGTGTAAGTTATCTGTCATTTGTATTGAATGCTGGAAGTTGCCAAATGAAATATAACTGGCTTGACTTGGAGCTTACATGAAATTGTTGAAAATGCCTATTTTATTTTGGCTAGTAGGTGTGTTTTAGTGCCTCCTAAATTAAAAAAATCTTCTCATTCTTTCTTAATTCTGAGTTTGACCAAAAAACACCATGTCAATTACTGTTCCTAGATTTCAAAACCATGAATTCTCATTTGAATTATTCACCATTGACAGGTTATGTGTCAGTCAAGTTATATTATGAGAACTGGACTGAAAGAGAAATTGACAGTTCGTGGTTACCAATTTCATTTTAAAAGCATTGATTATAACATAACTTAGATGCAACATGCACTATGCTTGGTCAAAACTCTATTGATTATTATTCAGATAATGGTACAACACAAGAAATCCCTGATTTTAATTTATTGAAGGCCTTTGGTTTTGTGGAAACAAAGGGGATGCTTTGAATGCTGAAAACAATGGGAAAATATTTGTTCTTTTATCATATATCAAATTTGCTATTTACAATGGGGTTTAATTAACTGGTTGCACCATTTTGGGCCTCTATTTTTTGCTGCATGGTGAAGGCCTAGGAACTTCAGACATTTTTGACTAGAATTCCCCAAACTGCTGGCTGAGAAGGAAAAGTTGCCATGTTTTTGCTGTAAGAAAATTGTAGCAGCAAACTAACAGGATTTTCTTGCAGAAATTTATTGTAAAACTTTTCTACCAAGAGAATGAAAACCTCTTACTCGGTGAATGTGCACTCAAGATTTATGGGACTATTCCATTTCAGGGATCTCAGCTTTCATTTGATAGTTTTTGCCAAGACAAAATGTTTTCAGCACTTTAGATATAAATTGTGATAAAGACTCCTTGAAAGCTTTTATTTTTCACTGTTGTAGCATTGTCACTGGCTACTGAAGTTTTGAAGTTTTATTTTTAAATATTAAATGCTCAATAGTCTATGATGTATGAATTACCTTGATCAACAGGGTATCAAGCCAGAGTGTTTGGATAAAGTTGGTTCAAAGGAAATCAGACAGATCATTGAGGGCTGCACCAAAGCCAAGATTGAGGAAAGGTAAAAAAGTTATTGCATGCACTTGTATTGTTTACAAGTGGAATCGGTTTATTGAAGCTACAACCTATGTCACCACACATCAAAAATTCCAAGGCCTCCTAGTTTTCCCCCCATGCTATTTGCTTTTTTAACAAACAAAATTTAAAACCAATTTTGAAGTTGTTATACATTATTAACAATTGAATGAAGTAACATGTTTTATTACTATAATTTTTTTCAGATATACAATAAAAGATATGTTAAACCACCCATTTTTTCAAGAAGACTCTGGAGTAAAGGTGAATTTAGTGGAGGCAGAACCTGGCACTGACAGTGATACCTCCAAAGCAGCTGACATAGTTAAGCTGTTACTTCAGCTGGAGGATCCAAAGAAACGCAAAGACAAACACAAACAGAATGAAGGAATTCAGTTTGATTTTAATCTGGGCACTGATCAACCAGAGAAGGTCACACAAGAATTGGTGAGTACATCTATTAATGCCCAGTAGATAATTCTAATCTACATCTTTGTTTCACAGCATGAGAAGGTAGGAATTTTGGTTGTAAAATGTACTGGGCAAAAGTGGAAGTTTGTATGGCTGTTTAAGATTTCAGAACAGATTTTCAATTTTGCCTATGGTATGTTTGTGTCCAAGAATTGTTAATGATTATTAACATGTGAGTGAATTTAATTCAAAGGTTGTTTTTGCCACTTGAAGATTGCCAAGTGAGCTGACTCTAGAGGTATCAGAGAGCAAAAGGCTTATTTTTTTCAGTGTGTATAACTTGCAGAACTGAACAGACATCTCTCTAAACTAGAATTTAATTTTTAACAAAACTTAACAGTGAAACAGAATTAAAACAAGTTGAAAGGCAGGCTTCAAAAGGAAGGAAGAAGTTAGTTGTTGTTTCTGGTTTCAAACAACATGAAAGTGGAGGTTAATTGCTCTGAGTAAGCATATAGTGAACTTTGATGGAACTCAGATTTAACAAGGTATGATATTTCAGAATTTCTGTTTTGAAGCAGTCATAGTATAATTGTATTGATATTTACTGATTAAAAATGACATTGACTTTACGTGATGATTAATCAAGAGTGGGACTTATGGATAAAGCATGAATTAAATCTGTGAATAACTTATTATTCACTGGGATGAAAACAGTTAGGTTTAAGTTCTTGTCTACAATTTATTCTCATTACTAAGCATTTTAAGTCACTTGTAAATTTGAATAGTTTGATACTTTTACCTAACATGATCTTTTGTGTTTCATTTGGACAGTGTTACCTGAACAGGAAGATGACCTTTCAGTTTTTCTGAAAGCTTCTTCACCTTTTTCAGAAATGACACATGATTGATGATTCTGAATGGGTATTTAGTCCCCAAATAACTGAATAACAATATTCAATTTTCTCTGGCAAGTTTTTTAACATACCCTCTGATGTAAAAGTTTGAATCCACGGGAAAAAGGTGAATGCACGGACAGGCTAAAATGACACGGTAAACAATAGGCAGTGAGTAAAATGACACCAGCTTCGGAGTGTTATGTCACATTTGTATGCCAAATGAAAATTTTCCAATGGTATGCATTGCATGTTTAAAACAAACGCATGTCTTACATGGAACAAAGAAGTATGTCAAACTTGGCACTAAGTGAAATAGCACACTAACCAGTGACATAGCAGGAGCAATATGATGCAAGACTTGAGTGTGTTACACAAAAGCTGCCATGCCAGTCTTTCTTTTGCCTTTTAAATGTGTGCATATCCATGAGATTGGTGACACTCTTGGCGTGCAATATCATCATTAGCGAATTTGTGCCATCACCTTGTTCCCTGTTTTCTGGTAGACAGTCACATATGAATATGGCCTCTGCTACATTAAGTTTGCTGCTGAGCTATTGCTGCCAGTAGTTACTTGTTTTATGCATGTTCATTCCTTTGAGTGTAGGTATGTAGAATCACAACAAATATAATATTATTTAGTGCCAAGGTTGTTACTTTCTTAAAACTAATCATGTATCCAATTCAGTTGGTTTCTTGTATTGCAGGCTTGCCATTTGTACTATAGTCAACCTTAAAAATTTTTTGAGTTGTGGTTGGTTTTAATTAACAAGGTTTTTTAAGTTGTTGTCAATGAAGTTCAGTGTGTAATTGCACCCTCTTCACTAGTTTTTGGTGCATTTACTTTAATAAAATAAAGATATTATTTGCTCAAAACAAGGAAGTTGTATTCTTGTTATTTTTTAACAATGTATATTTTTTACAGGTCCGACAGGGCTTTATTTATGATGAAGACCAAAAGGCAGTCACAAAGTCCATCAGGGACCGCATAGCTCAAGTTATGCTGAATCGTCGCAATGTCAAACGCGAAAGTTTAGGTGAAGACAAGAGAGAGAAAGAAAGGCAGGACGATGAACACCCCATGAAGACAGAAGGAGATGATAGTGACAAAGAACAGCAGTCACCTGAAACAGAAATGGAAAAGGAGAAAGAAAAGGACCAGGAGGACCATGAAGAGAAGGACTACAAGGAAGAACCAGAATCATCTGCTGAAGTTTCAGTAAGAAAAAGTAGTTTGGGAAGACGTGTCATTGATCCTTTAGTTGAAAGGTTGGAGGGAATTGCAGAATGTGGAAGTAGTCCTCATGGAACAATTGACGAGCACACAATCACCACTGGCCAGGATATTTCAGAAAAGGTATTTTCTATTGTTTAATCTTAAATGCTTCAAATTGGATCTTTCTTCTGACACAAGTGTTCAAACAGGTCCTATTTACAACTACTCGTTTCAGTAGTGTTCTTAGCTGCGAGGATCTCTTAATTTCATCAACAGGGTCACATAGTAGAAGCATAGACATTGTGATAAGTTTCCTGTGATAGAAGTATTCAAAACATGTTTGTTGTATCAATTTTGTTTGTTTGTTGGCTTTTATATTTCCTGGCTTGCTACTTATGTTTGGATTACCCTTAAATTAGCCGTCAGTATGTAATTGCATTCATAGGAAAATGGAACAATTTACATATATACCAGTTTCTTAATAGTTGGGGCAGTTGTTGAGCTGTGGTCCATAACTGTAATGAAGCCATTTGTATCTCCTTTTTTTCACTTCAATAGAAGGTAGCTGGTAATGTAGAAGAATTGAGTCCAGGTGTGGCTTCTGAGGTGGAGCCTGTTTCAACTGTTGCAACACCACCCATGGTATGTGGTTGGGGATGCTTTATGATACTACAGTATTAAGACAATTTAAATACTTTGGACCTATTTTCTGAATGGAAGGGTCAAATGGGTAATTTATTCGTAGGTTGCAAGGTGTGTATGTCATGAACAAGAGCTAAATATTTTTCAACCTAACTTGAACCTGAATGGACTTTTACACAGAATTGTTTGTTTGAAAGGGGAAAGGGACAAAAAAAAAATCTGACTCTCTGGTGGAGTTTTACAGCCAATCTTAGCTTTCCTTTTGTTGGTTAAATGCTCTTTGACTGTTGCCCATAGAACTCATCAGTTATTTGGAAAACCCTGTGAAGGAATATTGCATTTCATCTCTTGTGAATTGATGTGTTAGCCCCATAAAAATACTATGAAGTTTTTCTATCATCAATCAATGTTCACAAACTTCTCCAAATATTTAGAACATACAATTATTAAATATAACTCAATTTCTTATTACCTTCTATCCATTGAGGGTTTCCCTCTTTTCCTCTTTTTTTAAATTCCTAAACTTTAGTTAATTTTAGACTTAGTTTGATTGTAAACTGTGGAGAATAATGCTATCAATAATGGTTGACTTGACTTTTTTAATGCATTTATTTTTAGGAGGTAGAGCCTTTGCCTTCACCAGCTCTGCCCACTCCAACTGAAACTACGTTCAGTAGCGGTGTGATTACTGAAGTGGCATACAGTTCATCTGGTTATGGGTCAAATACATCATCAATATCATCAGTTCCTTCTGCCCCAACTTCTGTAGGCGAGGTTTCATCCTCTGGATCTGTGGGCTTTACCACTAATGGAAGCCAGAGTGCTGCTATTATTAATCTTTCTTTGTCAGCAGCACCTTTAGCATCAGGCTTGGAGAAAAAAGATAGCAAAACAGCTGTAAAGCAAGCAAAGAAAGAAAGATTACCAAGGATTCAACTGAAAAGGATTGAAGGGTCTCCAGAGGGTCCTGTGGTTGAGTGCAGCTTTGACACATATAAAAACAGTAGGATAACTTTCAAGTTTGGTATTGATGATGATGAGCCAGATGAAGTTTCTGCTAATATGGTGAGACAAACTTACGTACGTTGTAGATAATGAAATATGTTTTTTAAAATTATATACTTTTGGTCTACAATGACAATGAAAACTATTCAATTAATGAGTGTCCTTATTATAATGATGATGATTTGATTAAATGACAGTGTGACTTTTATTTGTCATCCTGTAAAACAGCTAAACTGTTTGTCTGCTGTGTGTGATGTGTTTGCCCCTTTTTATTTTCCACTTATTACACTTAATTCTTAGCTGTGTGCTATTTAAGATTTTGCAAACTGTTGGCTTGGTTATTCAAATTCACCGTTATCACTTGAGGTTACTCATTCTTAGTTGCAGTAAGGATCAACCCCAACCTGCATCAGTCTTCGAGGAACGTTTTATGAAGTTGGTTTGGTACAATGTAAATACTATATGAAACAACAGTCATATCCACTTCAATTCTTTCCAGGGAAGAAGGGTGGATAGTTACCAACTTGGTGTAGGATTACTGTTCATTATGTATGGAGCTTCTTTTAGTAAAAGGTTGTTAGATCATAGTTTTGTTCCTGCTTGGTGACGATATGTTGTCTTATTGTCAGATGGAAGCAGGTCATTTACAAGAGTGCAACAAACAGCTGTTTGAAGACCAGCTTCGGCGTGTGATAATCGAGGCTAAAGAAAGGGTACAGAAAGCTAAGAGCCAACCGGGAACGGAAACTGCGAGTGAAAGGACAGTGCTGGAAACTCAAATATCATCGGAAGGCATCTCTGTTGGAGTTCCTTCACAGCAGGTAGGGTGTATTACATAGTAGTCTGAGGTGCATTTGTTGGCCTGGTAGAAATATGTCGTTGCGTCAGTCAGAACTAGCTAAGTGTTATGACAGAACAGCACAGTTTGTGAACTCCTTTAAATTCAAGTCTTCCCTAACTGTAGTATTTCTTTAAGTTTTCACGTCGGCTTTTACGGTAGTTTTTTCACTTTGCATGAAATTGTTTATTGGCTTACTATTGCAAAAGTCTAGTCGAGTATTGTTCTGAAGGTCAATTAGCAGCCTTTGTAGCCCATTAATCAATGAACGTTTGATTTCCCGTCTTATGGTTTCTTAGGCATACCTTAGATATTTGTGGCAGCATTAATAAGTGAGAAAGATTTCCACAAATCTGCAGTGATGAGAACACTTTACCATAGATTGTCATCAGTGATGACCTTCTGTCTATACCCAAATTACTGAGCAGAGTATTTTTGAATCGTGTAGAATTTTTTGTCAAAGTAATCTGGAGATGTAATTTTTCGTTATCATCTTATTTTTTAGTCATTGGAAAGTCCTTTTCCAAAGGAAGTTCCCTTCTTTGTGGACGCTTCTGTAGCTGTTAAAAATCCCGATTCAGGTTCAATTCAGCCTGAAAATGAACCTTCTGTGGCTGAAATTTCACAGCCATCACAGGCATCACAGCCAGATGAAAAACAGTCGGCAGTCTATGAGCAGAAACCTAATTCTCTTGAACAACTTTCGGAAGGTCCTCAGAAACAACCTGCAACGCTGATTACAAAGATGGAAGAAAAAGCAAAACAGCCTGTGGTATTGAATCCTGTCCCTCATAAGCAAGTACCACAAACTTCAGAAATCAGCTCTTCCCCTTCTAGGGAAGAAAGTTTTCAGTCGGGTCATCAGATTGATCAAGATTTGGAGAAAGGAAAAGAACCACATTTAGTGGTGGCTGAACCAGCGAACGAAGAACCACAGAGAAGTGATAACGCACCCGCACAAAATGGTGAAACTTTAAACGGTCAATTTCCTGTGGAAGTTATGCAGACGGCAGTGCCTTCATCTGGAGTTCCCACGCGACGCTTTACTGTGAAAAAAGTTCAAGATCCCGTGTTAAAAAATATGTCATCACCTGAGGTGATGACAAAAAATGAACATAAATCACCGCCAGTCCTTAAACCTAACAGTGACGAGAGTGGGGTATCGTCAGATGCATCTAACAAAGAAATGTCTAGAACTTCAGAATCAGGACTGAGTCAGGAGCCTTGTGATCAGACAGAAGCTCAAGAGAAACTATCAAAAAAAGACAGTGCATCCCGTCTACAGCTAGAAACAGCTAGTACAGCTCCGTTGGTAGATCAAAGACTTGATAAAAAGTCAGACACTGAACTGCCTTCGCCATCTTTACATAACGATAATCAAATGCAAATTAGTTTTGATATTCAAGTTTCAAAGGGGGAAGAACAACTTCAAATTATACCATCTGCAAATTCTTCAAGGCCACAGACCCCAACATATGCTTTTCACCCGGTTGATAATTCTAATTCCGAGGGGCGATCTTTACCATTACACCAGGTAAAATTTGAATCTCAGATATCTGGAGAGGACCTTAATCCTGACAAGCACAAAATAGAGTCTGTTGCTTCGTCGGACGATGAGCTGTCGATTAGTGCTACAAACGAAAAGGTAAGAGCCACGTCGTCAGCGAGTGAATATGTTCAGGGAAGATTCACCATTTCCGCGTCATCCGATAGGCCTGACACGCCACTCTTGGAGACTTTAGACAATGCAAGGCTTTCGCTAGCACCTGTAGATGTAACCCTTTCAGATGTGACCACTGCTGCAGTTATGGGATCAGTTCCATCTCTAACTCCCAGCTCATCTATGGAAAGCCTTAACTCAGTGGGCTCTCAGCCAGGTGCAATGACTTCCCACACGTCCTCCAGTTCACCTCAGACAACTCCGCTGGAGGGACAGAGCTCAAATAGTCCATCTGCAGCTTCTAGTAAAGACCCAGTTAGAAAGAACAGTGGCCAAAGCGATTTGCTCTTTGATGGCGCTAGACATTTACTGGCAAAGCAAGAGGGAGATCAGGTATCAATTGTAACGTTGTAATTGTGTAGCCCGGACCTGTGACCTGAGGTGTTGTTGGTATACTAACTGATCTTGTCCTTTCAGCTCTGTGGCTTATGACCAGTTCGTTAATCTCTTAGGTCGTTTTACCAGCGTCTCAGGTCAGTTCGCTGGCATATGCCTTATGACGTTGGTGAAACAACTTAAGACGTCAGCGAAGTGGTTACCTCATGAATTCACGAGGAAAAATTGATGAAAAGCTGCATTTCCGGGTAACCTCTTAAGATCAAAGAGTGTTTTTACAGGAACTGGAGAAAATGATCATCTGCCTTCGTTCAGACTCAGAGTTTGTCGATAATAACTAAACGAAACAACAATAAAAACAGCAATTTTTATCTGCTTTACATATACTCAGAAATACGGAAAAAAGATTGATTAATTCCAGGTAAGATGTGGGCAGGTAGAGAGCGCACACGGCTTCTCTGAAATAGTAAATGTTACATATGCTAACACGAAGTAGCTACGCCTTGTGAGAAAAAAAAACCAAACAGAAAAAAAGGAGGAGGAAATAGAACAGATGCACTACGTTAAGTCACGTTAATCGCATGGAGAGTTCTCACAACTTCTATAAACAGTTTCTTATTATTTCTCAGCAGAGGAAACCAGTACTGAAAACGAAGTCGCTGCATTCCCAAAGCGACTTTGAACAGCGACTACATCGACTACATATCTCGTTAGACTTGACCAATGAGGAAGATGAAGAGTTAAACAAACTCCTTGCAAGGTGCAGTGTTTGTCTTCCTACTTCGATATCCTGTAAAGGGCCTAGCGTTTGTTCAATTTCAGCCTTAATAGTGCTATTTCATAATCGCGTGTAATCCACCAGAAAACCGAGAAGAGATTACAGTCAAGTTTAATTTGAGATAGGTTTTTGAAGAGGAAATTTTCGAACTTTAAGGTTCAGAGTGTGAATTTGATGTTCTGTTTCTCTATCGCAAACTATATCAGCGAACTTTACCAGTACGTTAAGGATTGCGAGGAGGATAATTTTACATTTTTCTTTTTACTCCTACCCGAAGTTCTTCGCCATTGTTTTTCCTTGTAAGGGTATCAGGTCAGCCAGTTATGTAGGATACTAAAGTTGAATACTGAGTTTCGAAGGTAATGTTACCTCTTTAGCCCTTCTAGAATGACTAGCATTTATCTTCTCTTAAGATAACACCCCTGGATCACAAATTGAAGTCGCGAGATTGAAGGAAATGATAACCAACTTAAGAAGCTCTAGATTGTTCAACAAATTCTCTTGTCAGTACCATAGAAAATGTATGGAGAACAGTATGGAGAATATGCATAGTTATGTTAGGGTGTAAAGGGTGATGGTCGTGCAGTTAAGAAGATGCACATGGCGAAATCGGTCAAGTCTTCATTTATGATGTACTGTAAACAGTTTGGCCATCTATTTATGCGGACAAATTTTCGCGGGACTCACGTGTAACTTTTTTCGCCAGGCAACGCAAAGACAAAGAAGAGCTGGAAAAAAAACACGAGAAAGAGTTAATGCAATTTAAAAAGAAAACTGAAATGAAGAAACAACGACAACACCAGCAACGCACACAGCAGCAACAGCAACAATTGAAAGACGCTTTTCAAGCTCAGATGAAAAAAGAGAGGCAGCAGCAACAGCAACAACAGGGCGCAACACATCAGCAACCTCCACTTCGCCACAAGAGTAGTACAGAGGAAGGACCAGAGTACAATGATCATTCTAAGAGTAATGGGTGCAGCGCTGAAATGTCGGCTTCCGCGGCCTATGCAAACGTTCCAAAAAAGACTTTCTCTGGTATCGATAAGGAAATCGAACAATTAGCGCAGTTCGAGAGCAAGACAAAGAAAAAACCTACGTCTTCTGCTGTTGCGGGCCAGGCAACGGGAGGAAAAGTGGAACCAAAATTGAGTTTGAATCAGATCAAAGTGAACCAGCTTCAGCGAGAGGTACCAATACAAACAGCTCCAACCCCAGGACCTTCAAGAACTGCATCGCAGGTGGTTCCCCAGACAGCGGTCTCTCAACAACCTATCGGAGCTTTCCCTAGCACATTTTCGAACTTGCAGGCCCCCCCTCAGGGCTCTCAAGTTCCAGTTACAAATTATAGTGGCGCTGTTATGAATGGACCTTGGCCCAATGGGCCGGATAATGTTCAATGGGCTGCCAATATGGACGAACACCAGTGGCATCCTGTTGGAGAGCCTCAGCCCCCGTGGCCAGTTCCTGTAAACGCTAGCTCGAACGCTAGTGGACAGTACGTTGTAAGAATGCCACAGCCATTTGCACCGGCTGCTAATGTGGTGGGTCAACCATATACAGTGCAATCTGCGCCACATCAACAAGTGCCCCATCGGTAGTGTAGCAAACAGAAATCTAATGAGTCATAAGTGTAAAGTGGTACAAGTTGACGACAATCAAACTTTGGCCTAGCATATGCAATTAGAATAATGATATTGCTTTTTAGTATACATACCCATTGGCTAATGTTGAATTTCAGTTCAGTCTCTAAACAAACCGTAAAGGCACTGAGATCATGCTTTTCTATCGTTAGCAGAGTCTTGCAGAAGATATAAATAACTGAGTAAAAGACGAGTCCACCCTACTTTGGGAGGCACCGAGATGGCAGAAATTCACCATTCCTTGGCTATGCATATGATAATTGGCTATTTTCTTGTTCGTCTTAAATTTAAATGTACCTCTTCAATTCATTACAAGTAACAGAAGCTACTTTAATTTTGTATCGAAAAAATGTTGTCTTGGTTTTGTATGCTTCAGCTGTTAAGTGTCTTCAAAGAAAGCAAATATTCCATTTATTTAGGGAGAGCTTGAAACAGTTGATAGCCTGTACACTGGTAAGCGAACTAAGAGTAATCAAGGCTACCCTTCGTAAGGTCGTTGGCGCTTACCAGGAATATAAAAATGAATTGTAATTTATATGTTACAAGAAACTTGTTTACTAAGTTTGGTCTATTTTTGTTAGTGGCAAAGGTATTGGAGAAAGGTTTTACCTAGCTTTAACCAGGTATTACCAATTATTTTTACTTCACATAGAAAAAAAATGGAACGAAACAACATTTAAAGCAGGATAGAGTGTAAAACTCACAGAACTCGTTTTCTTCTGGTTATTTGATTTTATTTTGAAGCGGGTGCTTACTGACTGATGACGATATTCGTAGTAATTTTGGTTTATTTATCTTTTAAATGTTTGTTTCGAAGGTACAAGCCACATTTAAAATTTAAGAGCGACTTTTAACTTCACACGAATTACGCACGACGCAAAGAGAGTGAGCTGTAAAAGTTGATTGCGGCAAAATAGTGTCTAAATCTGCCCCATTTGTTCTCGAGACCAACCAAATTCTGAGTTGGCTTTGGCAAATTTTGGTTCACTGAAGTGGTTTTCAGCATATCATGAAGGTGTTAGAATGTTATTAATGAAACTGGTGCTCATCTAACGAATTCCGAATTACTTGTCTTGGAAAAGAAAGACCTGTGACACACAAAGGCCGGGCGGTGGTATATAAATATATTTTTTTTTCGGCCAGTTGTGAAAGATTTAATTTGTTGTATGGCCCAAGTTGAGCAAAATAGACAAGAGAGACAAGCACTGTGGTGTAGTCGTAGTTTTCGTGGTTACTAATTCAGATAATATAGGTAAATCTTGCACCGAGCGTATCGTTGGGACTGAAGTAGGAAGAGTGTGTTATGTTGTCAGTGAAGATCTCAATTGAGATCGAGGTTACCAACCACGTCTTTGGAAGTAATCTCACTCGAAGACGAAGTTACTTTCACCTAACTGTTTTTCCATTTGCTACGATTTCGAAGTCCTGCTGAGGATGGTTTAGAGTTTCGTCTTTCATTTTAATAAATTCCTTCAAACGTTGTGACGAGTGATTTTTTTAAGACGGGGAAGAAAGTGGGAAGAACTGCACATTACAAAAAAGTTCCGTCATCTCTTATCCTCTAAAAAGTCAAAAGCCTCTCAATTAACGAAAACCGATCAAATCAAACTTTTATCAAATGACCCGTATAGCCCCGTGCGCACAATGTCAAAGGAAACCAGAGTGAAAGCTGACCTGTGTAGGGCCGGATGGGTTGCCGTAAGCCGGTCCAGAAAAAGCCATCCGGTCCTGTACTCACATGGCTTTTTCGCATTTTCCGAGAGCGTGAATTTAAATTGAATACTGCAGCTGAAAGTAAAACAAATGAGGAAATGAGTCGTGCTTCTCGGTGAATTTGAGTTTCATGGTCTGACTCGTAGCAATAGAGGAAAAGTGTTTCCTGTAGTGGATGTCCAGTGCGCACCCTTATTTTGCATACTACTAGATCCTATTTGGGTTAAAACAAAATTTTTAAAATTTCCAACATTTAGTGGTCATAATTCAAACTGCGCTTTGAGTGAGTTTGGTCGGGATGAACGGGAAAATACTTGGCTGTCGGTCATTATGGACTGTCACTGGACTCGGTAATCAACCCTTCTAATGAAAACAAGGTAATTTGGTTTTATCAACAGAGTTGATCTGGTAAATTGAAAGCCGACGTTTGGAGCGTTTGCCCCTCTCAGAGAGGTGACCAATTTACGTTACCAATTCAGTTGATAATATTAAATTACCCTGTTATACTCTCCCACCGACGCAGTACCACAGCACCTTTAAAGACTTTATACAGTGGTCAATTTACATTATCAACTCAGTTAATAACACCAAAACCTAAACTTATCTCCTTTAGTCAACCCCACAATTTGTTTAGGAATTGCCTCATAAACCAAATTAAGTCGTCAATTTTGTTCAATGTAAAATGAGTTCTGAGAGATAAAAATCACTTTTTTTTTCTCGAGAGGATCGCTCAGCGAAAAAAATCCAGTTCAGGGACGTAAACCAGTGGTAGCGTTAGGTTAGTAAACTATTCATCAAATGTCTCCAACTTCATGTAACTTTATGTCTGTCACATTAGTACCCATGAACATTGCCGTGGCAGTAGCAGATATTGAAATCTAGAATAGGAAGGTAAAATGAGAGGAGGTAAAGGACAGATGGATAAGAAAAAATTTTAACCCTCACTCAGTCCGCCTTGACTACTTTGTTTCTTTTTTTTTCTCTTACAAGGGTGGAAGGAAAGCAAACGCGAAATTGATCCTAAAACGGGAAGGATCTGGATCTAGGATGCTGTTCTTCTCGACCACGAGACCACTCCTCTTGCCCAATTCTCCCTTTTCTTTCAACCGAATTGCGCAAAAATTTGTATATGTAACGACCCAAGCCAGGCCCTTATAGGTTGTGCTCATAAAAGCAGCATATTATGCTGACTAGCATTGCTTGATTTATTTCCAGAGTGAGCTAGAAGTTTTGCTCATTTTTGAAAATTATGCTATTTTTCTTTAAGTATGCTTTTCAAAGAAGTACAAAACACATGAATTTATTGTTAATAAAGCATGATACTTTCTTCACTTTGAGTTATATACTTGCTCTAATATACAACACAGGATTAACTACTGCGTTTAATTCCAGACTAGAGGCGGTGACTATGTGTCAAAATCAGGAGAGATTGGATCATGGACCGAACTTGAAATTAATCAAGTCATGTCGTGACTCTGGTGATGTTCCCTTCCAAAAAAGGAAAAAACAAAACAAAACAAAACAGTGCTACTTTTATAAAAAGAGAAGAATTATTCTCGTTTTTCCAAATTATGCCAAAAGTTATGCTAGCCCAACTATAGGGGCCCACCGGGCTGAAGTTAAGTGTAAATGCGGTAATTACTGTAACTGTTAGTATGAAAATGGCGTCATGGAAATTCATGTGTCCAGTTTTTATGTTGACTCCAAAACATTTTCCGATTCGTTACTCGTTTGTAACTCGTACTTACTGAGTTTGATTTGTACCAATCGAGTGGTATTTCATCAGTTCCAGAGAAGACAAACGCCAAAATGGAAAGACTAATGATAGGGTAAATCTGCACAGATTCCAAAACGATATCGGAAAATTTAGTTTGAAGTTATAAGCCTCCTTATAAGACACATATTGTAACAAGACTTTTAATCGGAAAAGAAGCAACAGTAATCTCATACGAAGAGAGTTGCGTTATTTCGAACAGAGATGATTATCATTACTTCGATTTCACCTCACCAACAGCCTTGGCTTAAACCTTTTTTTTTTTTTTTTTTTTTTTTTTTTTTTTTAATAAATTTAATACCTTTATGATTGAAACGTTACGAAAACTTTTTGCATTAAACTTTTCGCCACTCCTTTCAGCTTGTTTCGTGACTTGTCATCTTTATAGTCTAGGCTAATTTTGTTTAGTACATACATGTCGACTTACATCAGTCGTAATTTACAGTATTTCAATTGATAAATAAAGAAAGCTTAAAGAGATTAGAAAAGCTTGTACGCCGCTCGTGTGTCCCACGCAGCTGTGTTGACTTCCTTCGGTTGGTGTTTCAGCCAGTGCGATATCTATTTGTCCTTTAAAGAAAGAGGGAACCTTGTTAGCCCATCCATCTTTAATAAGAAACAGGAAAAATCATTAACTTCAATTTTTTTTTAATTAAAAAGAGAGTTAAAATTTGTTACGAGAACGGGAAGAAGATGCAGGAACGTTTGCCTCTGTTCAAATCACCCTTTTCCCCCTTTTCACCTGATCCTCAAAACAACCACTCCAACATTTAGTTCACATATCTAACCTCAAAATTTCATTCGCCCAATTTTTTCTTCCCCTATACTGGATGGAAGGAAAACGTAATAGCATTCTCGTTTTGGATGGATGGAAGGAAAACGTAATAACGTTCTCGTTTTTGGTCGGGCGAGTTTTGTATTTACCCACACTGAAGCTTTTCAGATTATGAACTAGGGCACTTTAGGTGAAGAATAGAAAATTACTGCAATGAAAGGAACCAGTGACCCACCTGATTGGTCTTGGGAGGATAAAGAGCCGTTTCCAGTGGGTAAATAAAGACCATATTCTAGAAAGAAGCCTTTCGCGTTAGTTGTATTGTCACTGTGGAAAGTGAAGCGTAAGTGATTGCTGGTGGATACCACTTGAATGGGGACAGAGTTTCCGCAGAATTTCTTCAAAACCGTCGTAGGATCTGAAACAGGAGTAAAATCAGAACATACGAAATAACTCTGTTACATGGCATCATGAAACTATCAATTTTAAGACTCACAATTTCTAAGTAGTGAATGTGAGACTTCCAGAGATTCCTTATATCAAGCGTCCCTTTCTACAAAGAGTCTTTTATTTTTTTATAAATAGTATTTTGCCATCTTAATTCTTGAGTTGAGTAGGCAGGATTTCTATCGTAATTTCTATTTCAGTTTCTTTTGTAACGATTTTTATTGATTCATCTTTGTATCTCCGTCAGGGAGCGTGATAAAGGCATGTATATGCTTCTTGCTGTTTTTCCTAATTAAATTCCTCTTTCATGGAAAAATTATTAATCACAGAAATATCTCTCTGTATAGCTTTTACTAAGCTAATAACAGCAATAAATGTACAAATTACTCTTTGTCGTTGTGCATATTAATGAGTTAACATCACAAACAATATTTACTTAGTCGACTCTCTTGAATCTGAACAAAATCAAGGCACTCTGATCCATTGGCTGGTTGCAGATCAAATTCGAGGAATCTCAGTGTAATCTTTGACCCAGGTTCCGAGGAGAAAAGCCACGTGCAGGTCTGATCGTTGTCATACGACAAAGGATAGTTTGGTGACGTCACAGTACCGCTTTCAGTCACTCTAATTATTTCTCCACATCCTAGAAAGTAAAAAATGCAATTATACGTTGTGTATAATCCAGAGTATATAAACGGAGAGAACAATTAATGTCGGAAGGAGGGGCAAAAAAGTTTTCCGTCCTATCTTGATTAAGATATAAAGACAATTTTTATTGGGGCTTTTATAGACGTCGGGGGAATGGAAGCAATAGCTGAGATTTGACGGGTTGCTATAGTACGATTTTACCTAAGTACTCAGTTCTGTACTTTAGGTCGAATCCCCATACAGCCGCTCCTTTCGTAAGCTTTAGTTTCACCATTATTTGGCTAGTTGCAGGAAGACTGGACACCTGAGGAGGGTCTGCGCCACAAAACTTCTGTATTTGGGTATCATCTCTGGCGAGTAGTATCACGTGGCCATGCTTGCATGGTACATCAAAGTAAGTGAAGTGAAAGGTTATGACTTCATTCTGTGGGCTTGGCTGACTGGGAATTGATAACCAAGTACACTCTTTAGTTTGTCGATCAGATCCACGGACTGATATTTTGCTCTGCTTCGCTGGAGTAATAATACTTCCACATGCTGACGGTAATTGATTTCAGAGGCCATCAAAAAAAATACAAATTGAGAACTACATGGTGATTATTGATGATTGACACCGTTTTTCTTATATACTGCGCAAGTGACAAACCCCGCACTTCCCGAGTAAAAGTTGTAATGGTTGCCCAACAGATAAATGAATAAATGAGAAACGAAAAGAGGGGAGAAAAACAATAGACAGACGGGAAAAGGAAAGACAGCAAATGAGACACGAAACTAATCAATGGTAATTCAGCTCCCGCACTTTGTAAGCAACTAGTAATAACGGTGAGATTATTCAATGGGTTTCTTGGCAAATGTGATAAGGTAATTGTAATCAAACAAAGAAAATGACGAGTAGAGATAAAATGAAGGAATTTTGGTTTTACCTAGGTTATAACGACAGCCGTACAGTTCCGCCCGAAGACACACGTGATGAACAGGAAAGCTCTGGTAACCAATTGGAAATATTCGAATCCTTCGCGCTACAATGGACGGTTTTAACAGATTCTTCTTGATATCTGTTAAGTTTGAATTCCCTCTGAACTCCTGATGAAGGGAAAGCAGGGACAGTGCGGGTAGAATGAAATAAAACAGCAACGTAAATAAAGTATCGCATGCAATTTTGATACTATAAAGAGAAGAAAAAAGATACAAACAAACAAACAAAAGCACTGAAATCAAACCTAACAAAAACCGAACAACATAGCAATCTTAAACTTACTGTGTATCCCCTTCTGGTGCTGTTTTTAATGTTGTTCATATAAGGAATCCAGTGGCTTCCGTCATATGTATATTGCAGTCTATAGTTTGACACATATCCCATGTATGCGGTACCAAGCAGTCGATAACCCTTTTCAATAGAGACAAGCTGATGCCTGAGCGTTAAGCTTTTAACTGTTACATTTTAACTTGACATATCTCGATGTCAGCTAACTTTTTTTTTTCTTCGTTTTCCTTCCAAAAGGTTTAAAAGAGTCACGCTGAGATTGAAGTGTAGTCGTCAGACCGACGATTTTATAAAATGGGCCTGGCTTATAAACTGGGTGTTAGTTCATGGCGGTTCAAAATCAATTTGGAAGGAGATTATGGCAATTTCCAATATTTTCCCGCCTAGGAATATTGACTCTCGTACGTAGAATTTGTAGGTAAAAGAAATTTAATTTCGCTTCACACGCATGCCAAATCACACCATATGTTGTAGGACAGGGGCAGAGCAGGGTCTCCTCTAACTTCACCAACAAAGTAAGAAATCTTAGTTTACCTGTGTTGCTATGGCAGTGATGTCGGTCAATTTCAACAGATCAACTTGAAGATATTCGTCAATCATCCTGTTAGGTGTTTGTGCCTGTGTTAAGGAAGTAAACATTGTGTTTATATGAAAAATAATTTTATCTGTATTCTAGAAACCTTGTTAGAATATTATGATGAATCGACAACCACTTAGTGATCAATGTTTCACCTGGCTACACCATGAGTAAGCATTCCCCACCCTCCCGTGCCAAGGAGAAAGGTGAAGCTGACCTCGACCAAGCTGAAGAGTGTAGTAGGAGGACGCAGACAGTTGAGAATTTTTGACTCTGCCGTCCTCGAGGCCGATTGTTTCATTACATTCTGAAAGAATAAAAAGCACAGTTTTATTTAGTAGCCTGAGCTTGAGTGAGGTCTTTGTTGGGGTACATAATCGACTTTGATTATTACGTTACCTGTTGTGTGAGTCAGAAATAATGCTTTGAACCTTCTGAATTTTTGAGCTGTCACTTTAAACTCATGACTTCTTGACTTGAAATAAATGTACATTTTATGACCTTTGGATACAATGACTGGCGGAATGTTCTGAATACAGTAGCGACCTGAGGAAAAAAAACAATGATAGTCATATGGAATTAAATTAACCCTCTTAACTCATTAATATGCACAACGACAAGGGAGTAACCAAATCATAATTTGGGAAATGAGAACGGCATCATAAAGGCAGTATCTGGATTTGTAATAGAAGTCTGCTGTCACTCTACATACCTATGAGCGGAGCTTCATTTGAATGTCCTTCCCTTATTTCAATTGAGTCAAATAAACATTTCGAATTTGTGCCGTTGATTCCAGTAAATTCTTGAAACCGTAGTGATATGTAACGGCTAATGGGCGCTTTTACCCGCCAAACACAGTCAGAAAACGAAGGAAAAGACCTCGGGTAATTTGGAGATATGATCGAGCCACTCTTTCCGGTAAAATCTCCACCACAACCTGAAAAATACAAGGGCAGCAGGAGCGATGAAACGCTGCATGGAAACCAGAAGGATGAAGACATCAGAGGGCAAGGAACACCATGGGGACACCATAAGGATTGAGACACCATATGGACACCATCAGGATTGAGAAATCCTTCAAATTAGGACATTAATTGGCACCTTAAGGATTTGGTCGTCATATAAAGTTGGAAAATCATAGGGACACTCAACAGATTGGGAGATCACGAGGATCGGAACGCTGTATGAACAACTCACGGATTGTAACATCATGAGCATTTGGAAAACATATAGAGACTTGGACTGGAACAACAACGGGCACCATAAGGATTGAGTCGTCATAAGGATAGGAACGCGATAAGGAAACCGTAAGGATTGGGATATCATAGACACTCTAGCAATTGGAACACCATATGCGCACCATTAGGATTAGGACACTGATCATAAGGATTGGGAAACTATGAAGATTAAGATAGCAATAAGACTCTTTGAAGATCGCTTACGCAGTTATCTTCATGAAAGTAAATTAGAAGCGAACTAAATAGGAGAATTTTGTTCAAAAATCTTAAGCCATATACAAGTAGGTAGTCACTCCATTGACGAAAACACTTCTTGGGCACTCACTTGGTGTGACAGAGGTTGTATACGACAATCGGAAGCCTTCGAAGCGTCCTTCTTCATTTGTTGCGAAGCGCAACCGCATCCGATTGGTTTTCGAAACAATCACTTTAAGGATGGTCGCGCAGAAACTGTACCATGGGAGATAATATATTTCCATTTTATAAACAGATTCACTGAATACTTGAAACTGGATTAATAAACTAACATGAGTGTAACACAAAAGAAAAATCTCGAGAAAAAGGAAACAAATTATCACTGCGTTATTCGAGAATGGAAACAATAACATAAGGAGAATTATCAACTAAACAATATAAAGTACCATGATATCATATGACACAATAAAAAACTTTACAATTAAACAGTCAACACAATAATATGCACTAGCGAGGAATAATAAAGAGTGTTTTCCTGAAAAGTGGAGTCGACAATCAATACGAAACTACTGATATGTTTGATGTGGGAAGTTGTGTTTCAGTTTGTAGAAAGTTCAATAGCAAGGAGTTAGTTTCCACCTTCCAAGCTCTGTCTCATTGAATTCTGGTCCGTCCCATAATTGTAGACGATCAGGACAAGCGCACTTTCCTCCGCATCTGAACTCTACTTTAAAATCATAAACTTCAAGGCGAATGAACTTGTTCCGTGGTGCAGAGATAGTCCAATCACATAGCATGGAGTTGGGATAAGGATAATCTGGGTATCGAGGCGATGAAATTCGCCCAGGGAAGTCTGTGACGGAACCACCACAGCCTAATAAAGATATAGATTTTAGATTAAGTGTTGTATTTTGAATTAAAAGTTAGAATTATATCAGTATAGCTTATCATTCAAGTAGCTTCAAGAAATATGTGTTCGGTTTTTTTTTTTTTAAATGGGAGTCTGCGCTCCAATGCTCTCTCACTTGGTTGAAAATAGTTCTATGATAGACTGGGCCATTTTTAAGTCCATATGTGACACAGGTTCTGCATACCACTTGGATCAACAATGTTGAGAACGTCATTCGAGAAATAACTTAAGAGGATGGTGAATTTAGAACTCCGTAATGAAATGTAGAGAGATGATTTTTTTTCTTTTCATGAGCACGTGACATCGAAGAATGTTTTTGTTTACTCACTCTATGCTTTCGACATTCCTGATCTTAGCAGCATGCTGGCCGTGTTTCACGTAGGAACTTAGTATATGGCCTTGCTCACCACAGCGTTCCTCGTAGCTCACGAAAGAGCATCCTTACCCATCCTCATTCCTTTTTAATACATTCTGATCTTCTTCCACCCTCGCTAAACGATCATTTTAAAGTATGATATAATTTTCAGGCATCCTCTGCAATAATGATAAAATCCTCTCAAGAAAATTTTACGAGATTTCTTTAAGTGTTTAGTGTGGAGGAGAAAACTGCCGCTGTTCAAAGTTCTGAATGCGATCGCAATCATGAGGTATCCTCCCAGAGCTTAGTTTACGCTGATCAGGGAAAAACTTGGCGGCTATTACACTTAACGCCTGTTACAAATTGGTGTGACAATAGGATCGAGTCTTTCCAAATTTTAAATCTAAGACCTTGATATGGCAGTTCCTAAGCCATAAAGTTGTTTTATTTATTTATTTATTTATCTATTTATTTGACAAAGGTGCAGGTTTCTCATACCACGTTGGATCATATCACGATTTATCGAGTTATGTCATTAAGCTTTCATACAAGGATCAAAATATTTTGTATGAATAAAATCCCTGAACGGCTTGTTCTTTGTTCATCCATAGCAAATGATTATTCACAGACTGAACACATCCTCATTCAGGTAATTTAGTGTTAACAACTGAGTTGAAAACATAAATTGGCCACCGTAAAGGGTAAAAAAGCTGACGTTTCGAGCGTTAGCCCTTCGTCAGAGCGATTGGAGGAATTGTGGGTTGTGTGTGGGTTTATATGCAGAAGTGGAGCTACGCTATTGGTGGGAATATGGTGACGAGAAAACAGGAATAAATTAGCTCGAAACGTCAGCTTTTTCACCCTTTACGGTGGCCAATTTACGTTTTCAACTCAGTTGTTAACACTAACTTACCTGCTATACTCTCCCACCGACTCAGCACCGCAGTTTCTTTAGAAACTTACCCCTTTTATTCATAAGACTTTCTTCGTTGAAAGACGCACTTTTATCGAACTTTATAGGGATTTGTGAAAGCCAACCAATTTTGCAATGTTGAACGTACTTCAGTAAACATTACAACCATATAAATTTACCTTTTTCCCATTGGCTGATGTAGGAGGCATTAAAACCTCTATAAGCGTCTGTCATGTCAGAAAAAAACCAAATCCTCAAGCTGTTTGAACTCGATGTAATGACCTTTGGTGGGAGGCTGGCGTTACAAAAAGTACCTTAAGAAAGAACAACATATCTTAGTTAAGCTTGTCTGTGGTTTGTGAAAAATACCATGACATCCAGATAAATTATTTTACAGCGTTTTCCTCATCTGTAATTTTCCTGTTAGTAATTTCTTGCCATCACCAGAGAAATTAAATTTTTCGTCGAAGGCTGATGATTTGAACTGAAGTGCAAAAACAAAATGTTTCATGTAAGGTATCCATTTTGGGATCTTAGAAGCAGCCAGTGAAGTCTATTTGCATTTTGTGCGAATGAATAAAAACAGATTGAAAGTTGATAAACTGAGTTATTTAAGTCTTTATGAGGAATTCAGACTATAGTTTAGGGTCCTGTCTCAATAAATGGCAATATTCGAAGAAAGTAATAAAATAAAACGACCACGGTTTCTTTTACAATGCAACGAACTCAATCCCGGCCACTGTTTCCTTAACCAAAAATATCCTGATTAAGAGGTTGTAAACTGCAACAACTGTGCGCATAGGTGAGTTTATAAACCGGCGGTAATAAAGAGTAAAAGTGAAGAAGGGGTTGGATTATTGGCTCTCACCAAGCAGTTGATCCGTGGACTTGCTTCCATCCTTGACCTCTACCATATCAATACATTTTCCATTAAAGCTTTCTAACACAAATGTGTCGAAAGAGAGTAGAACGAATCGACCCACTTGTACTTTAATGTTCCAAATGCATTGGACACCATTTGGGTATTTTTCAGGGAAGTTCGGAGTTTGGAATGTGCCCCTGTTCTGTGTTAAGGTAAATTTACAGCCTAAAAAAATTAATCACAGGAAATAAATGTATTAGCGAACAAGCATGAGGGAAATTATAAGCCAAGTATTAAATTCCTTGTAACTTCTCGTTCGTTTTGGGTAAATGGGCCCGTTTCTTAACAAAGCTTTGATTATGGCTTAAGCAGCTTCGTGAAGAAACCAAATTAAAACCGTGTTCAGCTCTGGAAAGAGCTTTTTTAATGGGGTACGTCAGTTTTTGGGGGCACTGTGTGAATCTGTTTGCTCCCTAATACCATGATGCCCTACGTCGTTGATGCTGCATTTCCATGATGCTCTGTGCCGTTGATGCTGTAATCCCACGATGCATTGTGCTGTTGTGCTCATATGTTTCCGTTTATTTTCAAAGAGGACTTCTAGTTCACTACATCCTGAATTTCAAATCAAAAAGCTGTTTGATATGGTTTATTTAACTAAAAACAACATTATGAACAAAGCTTAGCTGTGCATCGTTCGTGGTTTAGATGACCTGAACATGTGCATCCAGATTGAGCATTTCAAAGAAAAATCACTTGATATCGGCGAGTAAATTGTTATCATTATCACTTTAAAACTTTGAAACTTATTTTCCTTTTTGTTTGTCTTTTCAGTCAATTCAATTGGACAGATCAAGAGTGAAGCATTTCAATGATATTGGTGATAATAGAGACGAGAATCATGGTAGATCAATGAGGAAACGCGCACCTTGCAGCGTTAATAATGAGGACTTGCTCGAAGGCAGTACAAATTTCCTTCTTAAAGTCGTTGCAGTCTATTGCAGTTCGTCAGTTTATTTCCTTCTTTCTGTTTGACTAGTTTTTAGGATGTATATTTTTTTCTTGCCGTTTTTTTCCATTAATCCATCTGTGATATACACAAGAGCTATTTACCGACTGTTCCTTTTAAGGACGTAATGGAATTTTAAGAAATTTATAGACACTTCCGTTAGTCCCGCTTTACAGTTTTAATGTCGAAATTTCAATTAGATTGGTAGTCACACGTTGTGCGTTTGTCCAACTACACATTGCGCAGTAATTCAGTCAAATTCTCATAGACGCCTTATGTTTTGTGTATATTGTGGAGATGAAGAAAACATGATTTTCTTACACCGTAAGAAAGAGGGAAAGAAAATACAGACCGATTTTTTTCCAAGTAAACGATACTGGTCTGCCAATAAAAGCGTGCTACAGAACACTATAAAACATGGTCTTTCATACGGCCTAAAATAGATAAACGTTTACATTTTTTTAAATTAACGTTTCGTTTAGCTCAGTTCTGAAATGCTCTATATATCCTCAGAACGGAGTCATAGACGCGAGTTTCATTAAGTTAACATCAGTGCCCTTAAGAGGTCAGTTTCATATGATCCGCTCAGAGCGTCTGTTAGTCCTACTTTTGCAGTAATCGCTTGTTGTACGGTTCGCCAATTTCTCTAAACTACGGAAACCAAAATAAACTGGCAACTTTAGGGCCAGTTCTAAGAAGTTAAATATCACAGAAAGTCAGTGGTGTTTAGTATTGAGACTGTTCACGGATGGGAACTAACCTTGCCGCGTGGTTTCAGAAGTTCCACAAAAAATCAGTAAGATGGTCAGTGGAAAACTCACGTTTATCCAGTTGGAAAGCATTGTTTCGTGGAAGCACTCTCAGATAAATTCTAGCAATTGTAGTAAAAGGAAGAGACTGCCTGGGTTTGTTTCACAACAAGATCTCACAAGAACCTAAACTTAAGTTATGCAAATTAGTATTGCCAACTGAATCCTACTCCTTAAAAAGTTAAATTGATTGAAAATGAAGGAATTTTTCGAATTATAATTAACTAGTGCTCGGTAATGATGATTTATGTTAATTGTTCTTTATCGTGTGCTTTGTTTAAGAGTTTCAAAGCTTTTCATTGTTCAAAGAACAACAAATTGGACACGCTGACAAGTTTTACACTTCTGCCGGGGTACTGTTTGTCTGCCCGATTCTTACCATTAGCACGCCTTGTCGCAGGAAACATGAAAATAAAGAAAAGAGAAGACAAAAGAGAGGAAAAAAACAAGTTGCTATTGGTCAAGAAGCGTAAAAGTCCATAACGATTATGCATAACATGTGAATATCGATTTGATCGCGAGTTTCTGTTTACTTACCATTGTGGAGAGAATTTAGTTCTTAAAAGAAACATTTCACATCGGAATATATTACAGGCAAGATAAAAGGTGCATGCTGTTAAACTTTTTAGACCAAACTTTTGTTGCTTCCTAATGATTCATTTCGGAGTGTAGCCAAGAGGAGGCCGTGTAAGCTCGGCTTACGGTTGCAGCAATTTTCCCCTGTACGATCACATAGCCACAATATGTACTCAGAGATGCACACCAAACAGATTTGGTTGAATTACTTTAATAATAGAACGCACGTGCCTTGTGAAAAAGCCCAGCTGTCCTGACACATGTTGTTTATTCATTTCACTTATGTCGATGAATCAATACTCTTGAATAAGCATGCAGCTCAGTTAAGTAGGTCAGCAGTTTTTTGAACCACTTTTTATGCTTAAATTGCTTTGCCTTGCTGCTCTTCTATCAAAGATTCAACTCGCTTGTATTAAGAGTGGTATTCTAATTTAAGGCTATGTATTTAAAATTGCCAAAAAAACCCAAAGTAGAATTTGAGGTTAAACACGATATTCACTGCTTTATACATGTGCCAGGCATAAATTACTGTCTAGCTCTTCAATTTCTACTCTTGTGGGGTAATTCACATAATTCCACATTTCTTTCCTCTTTTCATTTTTCTATCCTTGTAGAAGTTTAATAACGGTAGCTTATATTCGCGGCTGGCAGACGAGGGGAAAGGCGCGATAGCGAAATAAATAGAAATTTTAAGGGTTGAGTTCGGCCAGATGCCCATGTTGTCTGCTCTCAGCGTGTCAATTTCTCCTTCGCAAAAAGTTGTTTCTTATCAGACTAGCGGAGTCAAGGAGATTAAATAACCATGCTTTGGCCTAACAAGCCAGCCGAGCTGCATTACGCAGCCATGCAAAACCATATTTATAATAAGATTATGTAATCACCCGATTAAATTGACTATGGCAGCCATATCAACTTGTCTAAACCGGAAAATCCTTAAATTTATTTTTTTATATTCTTGTGGTTTTTTGTATGATCCATTAGACTGATGAATCTTTGAAAACAAACAGAAGAGATTCAACTTCGTTAAATTTCGTGCGTACAACACAATTTTAACTCCAAGACGAAGGGAAGAATTCCGTTTCTGCCATGACTTCACAACAGAAAACCACAATAAACACCATGCAGCCTACTAGACTACTACTCGTAATTAACTTTGCAATATGGTACATGTTTTGAACGCGGGGTAACATTTCATCGAGTAGTCTCGTCCAGGTGTGAGTAGTCCTGAGAAGGACTGTTGTCGGTGGTAATGAATGGTGTTTCGATAACTTGAGCGGAAATCATCATCGGAGTTCAGTGAAGACTCGGTGTCAGTCGAATATTTTAGGTCCGGTTCGTGTAAACTGATAGGTTAGTTTTAAGTCTCAAGTGGCATAGGTCAGTCGTGATTGGTCGGGTTCGACCCGTCGGTAATGTTGGGTCGTCCTGTCCGGTTCGTTTTTGGTTTAAATGTCCTAAGCAAGTCGTTTGTATGGTGCATATGTATTGAGGGTAGTCTGTTTTAAGAAAGTGAATTACCTTTCCAGAGTCATTAGTTCAATAATGGTTTGTGTAGTAGGTAAGGTACTGCACAGAGCTCCAGTTAAGCAATTTGATTAATAACATCACCATTTTTTATCGTTTGCTTGTGTTCAATGAGTCTTGTTGTGAGGTTTATGCCCTGAGGTTTTACGGTGGTGAATTGACCACAACTTTTTAACGATATTTGATCAAGTTACGCGACAACCGCTGAGGCGAATTTTGTAAAACTGATGTTAACAGTGTTAGCCCCTCTTGAGGCAAAGCGAAGAATTTGCGTTGTGTGTTAAATTTATATGTGGGATAATGGGTCTATGCTATGGGAGGATGATGTACGGATGATGTATATAACGGATGATGCACCGGCAAATTGTTAATTTGGATAATTCCAAGTTATTTAATTCCAAGGCGCTAGTAAGAAACATTTTGAAACTCAGCACTGTGTTGTTCAGTTTATTACAAAAATTGTACTTGTGCATACTGTAACGGTTTGCTACATCAGCGGAAATAATATTTATAACCATCGTAGACATCGTAGTGAGAGGTCCTTTCACATATTTAAAATTGAGAAGCTTTCCTTAGGTCCTGCTCTGCACATTGCTTCGAAATTAAAGATTCTAGCTCCAGAAAAACTTCAGTGCAATTTTAAAGAATCTGTGCATTTCAACTGTGAAAATACTCTCTTCAATCAAAAAGTCAACCACGTCAATCTAACATTTACAGTTTGAGTTACTTTTCCTTCTGTTTTCTTTTCTTTGTCATTTAGTCACGCATAAAACATATCTAAAAACTGATGGTTCTCGAAATTTTTACATTTTCAAACAATTTTCCTCAGACCATTTTGTAAGTTTGCGTGGATATGAAACACATCTGAACATGTTGACACGTAAAGGATAGTTATCTTTCTAAATACCAACTATTTTTTGGACCAGAATGGAAATTCTACATGGTTTCTATTTACATTTTGCAAAAAAGAAGGTTCTTGCTAAATCCGATGACATAGGAAGTTAGGTTGAATCATGAACTTAAGAGATATGGTTTACTCAAAAGCTTTCGAGAGGTTATCGTGATATCAGCCCACGGAGGAGCAGCTGAGTAAACTTTCTTAATTCAACCTAAAATGGGTAAAGAGTCACATACTCAAATTTAGTGGAGTAAGGAAGCGGGTGATTGAATGTAAAGTTGGAATACTTTCACCATGATCATCTGACCTCGGCAAATTTTCGTCGGAGCCGAATGAGCGCTTCAACGGTTCTCCTCATTTCAAGGTTTAGTTACTATTTCCAGTCAGGTTTTGGAACAGGGCTTTCACCTGTTCTGCTACTTGACCGCGATCATTCTGACATATTTATTTCACATTTCTAGAGCAAGCTATTAAAAGACTGACGATTTGTAGTGTATAAAAATGATTGTTTAGACCGTTTCCCTAAATTCACAAAGCTGACGACCCGTAAAAAAGCACCTTTGAAAACTTCCTAAAATGCATTCTCATCGAGAACTGATTCTATGAAAAGCAGGAAAACTTGTATTAATCGATTTGCCAAGTTTAATTCAAATCTCTTCCGTCTTGCATTTGAGCCCCTGTGATGGTGCATCTCACGCACCTGATGCCAGAGGAGCTCAGTAAGAATAAGATACTACTTGTCCGAAAATTAGGATCATAAGATTGATCAGATTATTTTTACAACCCTTGGGAACCAATAAAAATGATTATCGGTTAAAAAGAATAAATTCCAATTTTAAGTTTAAGATATCGATTAATCTGGATTTGCTAATTCTCGAAATAAAAATGAAAGGAACTGCCTCAACCAATTGGCGAATATAATGTGTTTCATATGCTAAAAGCTTTTAAAAAACGTTTTTAAAAGTTGTCCATTTCTATTAATGAAAAAGGCTAGGTAAAGATGTAATGGTAATACCTAAAATGACACTAATGGACTAATTCAATTAGAATTGAGTCAGGTGCTGTATGTTCTTGACTTTATATCGCTTTCGTGTTCATTTGGAAACTCAGCACTCTTTGTTTGTATTAGATCCTTCTAAAAGATTGCTCACGTTCCAAGAAAGGTAAGTGTAAGAAGGTAATTGACTATTGTTCCGATGATGAACCAAGTTATTTTATACTTTTTTTGGCATGGAATGAAGTGCTCGTTATGGCATTTTTGATCGCAGATGTTATTTATTGGTGACTTAGCGAGCTCTCATGATAAAAATTGGTTTTATAAGGTACAAATGTCATCTGTGTCATGAGAGTAGATAAAGTTTTTGGCATTTTATTGCCTTCAGTAGCTAACAGATTACTGCCAAGCCCTCGTGGTAATTTCGGTTTAAATAGCCTCTTCAACTGATGAAAATTTTATGAAACAATGATTGAGGCAGTGAAATTTCTGTTGTCGATTATCTTTTAGAAGAAGCCTCATGCTTATCTCATGCACTATGATCGGTTTTTTAACTTTCATATCCTCAAGTGAGCTTTTCCTAGCTCGGAGACATATTTTTCTCGCAAAAAATGTAAGACATATCATCGCAAAGAAAAACATATGTCAGAAAAACTTTTTTTGTGAGTCATTTGTCAATCCTGAAAATTCAAAATCATCATAAATTCTGATTTCAAAGAAGACGGAGTTGATGATTTACGCTCATTTTAAACAAAACCATTTGATGCACTAAGTCATACGTAAGCGATAAAAAGCATTCGTCACATAAACGTCACTTAAATAACTATATATCCCAATTTTTTTTTTATTTCAAACGAGTCTCGAGGTGTTTAACGGAAAGGCATGTGATCAGTGCCTAGATTAGCTGGCATTTAACATTTGGACCAAACCACTTTGTCTCCCTGTGTCTCGAATCACTTATGAAAGAGGTATTCAGAATTTCCATGTTTAGTAGTTTTGATTTAACCGGTGATGATTAGTTGGTGAACCCAGATTGATTTGTTGTATACAGCTGGACCAGTTCCATTCACGATTCAAAAGTGAAGATTAAGGTGAGTCTTTCTCTGACTTTTCTTTTTTGTTTTTTTTAACTCTCTCTCACAATCAGATTGTACTTTGACCGAACTTATTACTGCTATAACGTCTTTTCGCCACTTTGTTTCACTCGAAAAATTTATGTCAGTACTGAAGGAGGATCTACAAATAAATTTCAAATCAGAGTAATGACTTTACTGGTGCCACTTAAAAATACGCCTTTTAGAGGACTAAATCTCCGGGTTCCCCCAATGCTAACATGGGCAGGCTTCGATAGCAACAAAGTTCATATTTTGATAGGATTCACCATGAAAGATCCGTCAGCTGTCAGCATCGGATATCTAAGTCTACAATGTATAAACAGAGGCTTGAAAACAGGCCATAATTGCCGATCGTAGCGGCTTCGGATTTATGGAAAATAAAGATGGTCTCGAAAACTCATATGCTTTGAAAAAAAATCAAAAATAAAATAATTTGAAAGGACAAAAGAACAAGAACAAAGATACAAAATTAAAAAAGAAAAAACGCTGTGCGATTTGTTATCATTGAACTTTTTCCTACTTGTTGTCGAAACGTTTTTAGACATAGTTGAGGTTTGTTGTTTGCATCATTTTATAGAGAGAGCTTTTGATAAACAAGGTAAATACTCGATAGTTAGTGGTCAAAAAATTCTTTTTTTTTCTCGTCCTCTATCGAATTCAGAACTTTTGGAAATCTTGTAAATAAATACATGTCATTAATAATTCATTAATTTTCTGGGTTTGCCTTTAGGCAATTAAAAAAAGACAAATTAACTACGCTTTTTTTTCGGTTAGAAAGGCATTCAAATACGTATAAATCATTATTTTGTAAAGCTTAGCCTAGGATGTGTCATACAGGTAACGAACACTTGAACTCAAGCCAAATTGTGCAAATTTAGTGACAATCAAGACGAGTCATTTTTAAAACGCCAGAATCTTGTTACAAGCAAGAAAATGACCTTTCGAAGTTTTTTCGAAATCAATAGCGGCAATAAGATCTGTTCTGCCAATAACATTTGCCCCTTTTTAACAGCTCTGAAAGATCTATATAGCAGTTTATCACCTGATTAACACGAAACTTTCCATCTGCTACTTTCTGTGACCAAATTAGGTAAAGAAAAAATGTTATCATCTTTTAGGAAATTACTCTTGAGAAATTAGAATATCCTTAATGCACTTCTGTCTCGCTAAATCTTATTGGCGACAAAGGCATGGGCCTGTCTGACACTTTGACATATTAATTTTAATTGCCTTTTACCGCTTATCGGAAAACTCGCAATTGCTTTTTTTGCTGTAAGTTCATAGGAACTTCAAACAGCTTAGAAATGGAATTAGTATGTGACGTTATATCGTGTTCCTGAACATAATCGTTACAAATCAATGATCGGTTTGAATCAGTATCTAGTGAAGTTCACATTAAATAGTCAAACGTTAAAAAAATTTCTTTTAAAAAACCTTACTGTCAATCCCACAGAGAAAAAATTTAAACTGTCTGGCACCTACGAACTTAGGAATTCCGCTACCTTTTAATAGTCCACTACAATAACACTTAGCTATGAAGAAGCATTCAGCCTAGTACGGTCAAAAGTGGTGAGCGCCGGCTCTGATTGGAGAAAAAAGCACCAATCGGCACACAGCATGCTTCTCTTCTTCATTTTAGTTTTCCTTACATGACAACAATTACTTTCACAGCCTAAAAGAGTGGAGGATCGATCGCAATCTTCTCGAAGACGCAGTTAAGAAATTTAGTGAAGGAATTGATCGCAGACATCGTTACAGTAGCGTGCAATATTGTGGTAAGTGGTGTTAGATTACGTCAACAATAGATCAGTTGTAGCCTGAATGCAATCAAAACAGTCCCTCTCGAAGAGGACCATGATAGTTGGAGCAAACGAGAGACAAGGGTGGAAATGTTATTTTCGTGTAGGCGTCGTACATTAACATAGTGGACTGGCAATTTCAACTGGTCTTGCTGCTTATCAGTTTGGTAAAATGATGCAAAAGATTTTCTTACTACCAATAAGGAGCCAGCATTTGCTCAGCCACTAAAGGAAGGGCCGTTCCACAAGTCTTTCTCAATCCTCGTATAGATCATTGTCGCATCACGGCTTAATGCCCTTCGTTTTCCACCGCAGAGAAAAGTTTGGATAATTCCAGTTAGTTCGTTCTACAATGAACAAAACTTGCCATAAAAACTATTTCCTGACTGATGATTACTGGTTTTAATTTTGAATGATAAAAACGAGTGTAGAGTCCTGATATTTATATACTTAGCCTATGTGTTCAATTAATGATGAAAAACAACTATTGCTAAATCGTTCAATATAATTTAATCGCCAAGGAAACAGTGAATCTACAGACTTAGTTGATTAACAAAAAAAGATTGAGAATCGATTGACTGTAAGGACAACTGTTTGTGCAAGGAAACACTTCTGAGCCACATTTTTATTATCGAACTAACGGTAACTAGAGACTTTCAGTGTTTGTCAGAAAATCAGTAATAACTAAACGTAGAGGACCATGTCTCAAACACAACTTTGAAAACACCTCTTGAACAACTGCTAACTACAATAAAGCCTCCAAAGACGTACATACATATTTTATAGTCGACAACTGAAAAAGTGAAAGAAAAAGATTCTGTGATCACGCTGGAGTCGCAGTAATGAACGAAAGTACATTCGTTATCATATTCACAGTTGCCAAATTTTGTCCCTCGATAATTCACGCAACAAACTGATTTCTAATTTATCTCGAAGGTCAAATTTTCCCCTGGAAAATGAAATGCTAAATCGTTCTAGCCAGTCACGTTTCAGAGTAATTCAACTTTTAGAAACCTTGAATGACACATGATTGACTTTTCACGCAGGGAGTTGATTGTTTAGTTGACAGGTATTTACATAACAGTGTTCCTCCTTCTCATCGGAATGGGAACACTTCAGCCATCTGGTGGCCTTTTGTCCACGGAAAAGTCAGAAAGGCACATTTCATAGTCCCATCGAGAACGTAAGTTAATGAAAAGTGACTTCTCCACGTAATATTTACGACAATGACACATTGCTTGGCAAAGAGGAAAGTATTATGGTTTCTTTCTTTATTTATGTCAATGGCTTAATCTTGGACATGTGCCATAGTCATGCCATGATCCGTGCCATAGTCTGCCATGATGGTCATGAATTATCATGTCGACTATAAATTCAACTTCATCAGAAGCCATCATCATCATCCGTTACTTCTTATGAGGAAAAAATATAGAACGTAGAAGGGCTTGAAACAACTCCTTACGGCATCTGTGGTTAAATTCTCTGTGGGTACGCTTCAAGTTCCCTCTTGGACGATTCGCATATCTCAAATTCATATTCGTTGTTGACTGTGTAAGTTTGATAAATGGTTTACTCTCCAACATATTTTAGACATGAATTTTATAATCGTGTTACTTCGAAAGAGTTGTTTTAAAATCTAATCATTAACCGAAAAATTTTGTCTTAAGGATGCCACTAAACAGCGGGCCACTGACGGGCCGTGCTTGTTATTTCAATATCCAGCAAAGCTTAAATAACTACGGGGAAGGTTTTCATTTACACCTTATTGCTATCGTTTTTATATGATTTCTAAAAACACCTTTCGATAAACACTATAAACGCCTCCAAATGCTAGTCTCTCTTAAGTGCAATAGATCATATTCACATTTATTTTGTGCTATATGAGTAATCAGGTTATTGTTATTGTGGATCGAAGTTTCTGATCTATAAACCGTCTCCATCTAAATTTTGTTACAGTTTTTGTTCCTAAACACTGTAACGTAAGCTATTGGGTCTCAAGTTTTTTATCGGCAAAAAGGGCGACAGGAATTTACACGATGGCTGTTGGGCTGCATTGTTATAAAAATAACCACTGAGTTCTGGCGTGCGTCCTACGGCTATACTAGCCTCAGGTAAAACACAAACAGGTACTTAGGAAATCAACATGTCGGTTGTAACAGCATGGTACCATCATCATATGCGCTTCTTTTAGTTAATCGTCTGAAAAAGCGAAAAGAAAAGCTAAAAAAAGAGTCACTCTATAGTGCTATCTCACGATCAAATCACCTTGGGTGTAGACTCTGAAGAAACGCTTTCCTGGGTTGATCAACAAAATTATTAGATTCTAAGCTGACCGTTGTCCAGCACCGGTGGGCTACTGAAACACTTAGTTCTTACGAACTACTTATTAGATAAAAAATGCCGTAAATTTTGAGGGGAACTGCAAAACAATACGAATCACCATTAATTCATCTCTTATATTTTAACATATTGAGCTATATTCTCCGTAGGATTGTAGACGGATCAGTAGAAGTGAAATAAGTGAATATCAAAGTGGAATTGGTTTCGTAGTTTTTCATACCGCTGACAGATGTGAATTCTTGAAAACAAAAACCTTTTTCTCGGTTCTTCGCTCGTATATCTGAATATGTAAGTTGCCACTCCTCGATATCAAAAAAGATCAAAATTTTGTCTATGAAATAACAAAAAACAGTCGGAAACTTAAAGATGAATTCGAAAACTGCAAATATTTCATTCATTTGCTTCATTACACGGAATTACTCCGCAGAAAATGTGATCAGCGACAAAGCTAAACACAGTCGCAATCTCGCTTCAGCGCGGGATAGGCCGCATACAACAAAAATGTTCTGGACCATTTAAGCTTTCTTCTATCTTATCTTCTTGTTGATGGTAGACAACCAAACATTTTGCATGTACAGGACACATCTGCTTGTGGACCGCCGCTTCTCGCCAAGATGGACATTGATCTGCTGAGATTTTTAGACCCCAAAGGGTTGAGAGACCGCCAGGGCTTTCCTCCTTAATCCTTTAATCTCGTTAAGGGCAACGGAACTCTTTGGAAAGCATGTTGCATTAGCTGCATTTCAGTTATGAAAATTTTCGAACGAGGCTAAAAGGCAAAAATTTTAATTTGCAAGAGAGGTATGAAACTTCTACAACAGACCATTCAATGTGCATTTCATGAGCGAGCATATCCATTTTCGAATACCAGAATTTTCTACTGTTTTAAAATTCCAATCAAGTTACTGTCTAAAACGCAGATGGGGCGTGACATTCGATAGCCTGATACCCCCTCTGGTTACTGAGGAGTAGCCCTATTATTGGCTCAAAACCGTGTTAGAACACAACACCAATCTGTAGAGCTGCTAGCCATCCCTCACCTGCCATCATTTTACAGAAATACAAACAGCCTTTAAATAACAATGCCTTTACCTTAAGTTTCAGTTTCCAAGTTAACGTGGAGAGTCGTTCCGGAATGTAGAAAATTACCTTTCATGTGCGTGAAAATGACACCTTCTTAGGCTGATATATGTTATCTCTTTTTTTTCGCAGAAGACGAATGTCAGACATGTGTTGAAAAAGATGTAACCCCTAGAAGAGAACTTGAAAGGTTAGGAGGTAAACCATAAATGGCGGTTGATTCAAACTCTACATAGTTTTTTTCCTCGCTATCACGTTTCCGTTACATGTATTATCTGTTGAAATAGATATTGGCTCATTGATAGGAGTCGATATTTACGAAGAAAAGCTATTTATTTCATTTTGACTCTAGCTATGCAAATAAGTCATTTCATTTTGATTAAAGAAGTACTCGGAATACTGTCTTATTAGCTCCGTAGCTAAAAATTTCTAGAGAATCCAAGAACACCATTTTGTTGAATATAGGATATAAATTTATAAATACGATTTCACCTTTGGCGAGCGCTGATTTTTTTTCCCTTGCCGTTTCTTGGTTACTTAGCAGTTTTATTCAGATATCAGTTCTTTTCAAAGAGCAAATACTGTGAGTAATCGACCATGGAGTCAGTAGAGTGGTTGATAGAGCAGAGCGAGAAACAGAAAATAACGGTAGGTAAAGATAGCCGGCGGCATACAGCATAGCGGGACAAATTTAAAGATGGTCGGACTAATTTATTTAAATATTTTCCGGGCATAGAATTAAATCAAATTGGTCATTCGATGACGCTGTGCTTCGTGATGGTCGTGTATGCACTTAGATCACCTTAATTCTATCCAGTTTCAATTGAACTACTGTTTAGCTTATATCGAAAAAAAGAGTGACTGCTAATTGGGGCTGGAACCTATCACTGCTTCCTTATGAGGTCTTTACATACACCTCCAGATTGGAACGGATGGGATATAGACGACAGATTTAGAGTTCGCTGCTTTCTTCAGATGGTTTCACGGTTGGTAGTTTATGTTGGCTAGAAACTAGCATATGGCATTTATACCATCTTTACTGAAGATCTCTTTGATGATTAGCGTAAAAGATAGCGCAAGTCTAACGAGTAAGTCGCATTAGGGGGAATTGATCCGACAGAAGCGATAATAATAAACTTACGGATCGCCAGCGTTTCTTTATTTTAACATAGGAAATGGACTGAATCAGAAAAATGATAAACAAATGTAACTCAAACTGAAGATTATTAAAGTCACGTTTTTGGCCCCAGAATGTTTACCATTTTATTTTAAAAAATGGAATTGATTTTCGCAAATCAAAGGACGAATTCACACCGTTTAAATGTATTGACTTTTTTTCCGTATAAAATTTTTCCTTTTATAAATACAACTTTTCGAAGCACAGTTGCAAATGATCACAGATGTGAAGATATGAGCAGGCCATTACACTCATCATTTTTGTTAGACTTGGTCTAAACGCACACTGTTTTCTAGTTTTTTGAATGATGAATTTTGCATATCTAATCCTGGCGATATTCAATTTTCCGTTAATTCTAATCTTATACTAATCACTAAGTGATTACATGACTTCTCCTTTATGGTTGAAAAATAAAGTAATTTAGCCTGCGGTTTTGACTGCTAAAGAATATAACTGTTCTGTGGTTGTAACAAGCCAATATTCAATCTGACCATATACATCTGTGATTTGCTAATGACAACGTTGAGGGCTATTAAGACAGGTGGTGGGTTACAAACGACGGCTGAGGTTAAAAACTTGTTCCTTTTCGAGCCAGATAGAATGGAGCTCATGAGATCAACGCAGACACAGTTCATTTAAAAGATGAACCTGAGATGCGGCAATGTTTGAGAAGTTTGTTTTCTGTAATATGCTTCATGCCTACCAGACGATTCAATCAGCTTCTGCGAGCTTGTCAAATATCTGAACCTCTTGGCTTGATTTTTCGGGGGCACGCCAGTAAAGTCACTAAACATAAGATTCGTTGGAGGCGAATTTCAGGGGTATGCAAGAAAATCTTTGAAAATTACTTTCTTAATAACCTGCGATAAACACTATACCACTGAATAAGCAAGTAAAAGAAAATCTATTCATTCCAACATTTGATTATTTCAACAGGAAAGCTACTGGTGAGGTCGATAGAGACAAAGTTTTCAGCCACCAAATATTTTAAAAACAGGGAAATACAAGAGTATAAAAGTTGAAGCTGTTTTCATCGAGTGATTCTGAAATGTCACAGGGCAGTGAAGTAAAGAGACTGAACTTTTCACGCAGTCCAAACGTGTCTGTTGGATCAGATGTCATTAAAGTTCAGCAAAATGCAGGATACGAACTCCTTTACGAGGTTCTGCCCTTTGCTATCATCATCATCATAGTAAATGGCACTGTTTTCTTCCTGTTTATGAAAAGCAAGCGGCTTCGAAGTCCTAGTAACTGCCTCCTGCTGAGTTTAGCTGTGTGCGATTTTACGAACGGCTTCGTATGCATACCTCTGTTCTTGGTAGTCGCACTTAGAGTCATGCCAAACCCGCACATTGGGAGCTTTAACTACCTGTTGAACAACTGTGTGGCCATGTCAGCTGCCTATCACATTCTTGCAATCACGCTAGAGAGATATTACAGTATTAAGAAGCCTTTTGTTCATCGTCAACTGACAAAAAAAGCGATGCTTAAAGTCGCTCTCCTGGTATGGGTCGTGGCTCTCATTATTGGATTTATGCCGTACGCTTGGGACTCACTGCGCATTACAGACTTAGTCTCCTTCATGAAGGTAAAGGTTGGCTATGTAGCCTTCTGTTTGACCTTTGTCTTTCTGATTCCATGCGTCCTGATTGTTACTTCCCAGACTATCATGTTTAAATTTATAGCAAGAAGTGGTAGACAGGGGCTGACTGCTACCAAGGCTGCTCAGCGGAAAGCAAAGAACGACAAGAAATGCCTCATCATCTTCGCTCTGATGGCGATTATATACGTGGTATGTTGGTTGCCATGGTTCATACTTTATTTATACGTTTCTTTCTGGTTTGTCAGTGGGGAAACCTTAGTCGAGTTGCAAAAGATATCTCGGTGGGTCGTTATTTTCAGGTATACAACCTCAGTTGTCAATCCTTTGCTGTACACATTTTTTAAAAGAGACTTCCTTGTGGCTTTTAAACTGATCGTCCTGAAACGGAGCTCTACTTCTTCAGCGAGCTTTGCATGCACAAGCAATAAAGTTGATTCACAACAGAGGAAGTTGATTACTTCGTCGAATGGCAAGAAACATAGCGAGGAGATTGAATTGGAAACTGTTGTGTGAATATATGAGACACTGAAAATGCAATAGCAGCAGGATATGGAATGGATATTTAAAAACTGTTTACCAAAATATTTGTTCATTTATGTCACTATGCCGAAAAATGGTCGGAAATCAGTCTCTACTCTCAGACTCTTGTTTCATCTGCTGCTCAGAAATAACTAGTACCAATTAGCACGTGCGATAAGCCCTATTTACCTGTGTGGTATGTACTTGATAGGAGATATGCATTGTCGGGCGTAGATACGAAATTTACCCGCAAGTATTGATAACATCTCTCAAGAGTGAGCGAAGTGAAGAAGATAGGTTCATTCTTTTATGTGGATATTGATCTTTCATGTGGATATTTATTGCATGTCCGACAATTTTGGGGCACATCTTAAGAGCATCGAATGCTGAATGCAGAGAATAACTACACTTTTACTCAGCTCGCATGAAGACTACTTTAATATAAGGTGTCACTAACGAGCATCTGATACAGGACATTTCTTTAAGTGACCCCAAATTAAAGCGAGTCAATGACCTTGGACTTGAGAAGATCAATTTAGCGAGGGCAAATCCATGATTACTTTCAAGCAGCTATATATGGAAGTACCTATTAGGTTCACTTTACAATAAAGATATCAAAGCTGGAATTTTCACTGTGTCCCAAAGTAGTCTTTTGGTCTTTCTGCACTGTTCTGAGTTCACGTCCCCTGATGACTCTGACGTGCAAGGGGTCTCCCTGTACCGGTGTGCTGTAATAATAAGTGCCAGCTGCAAGGCTGGTTCCTCTACAGAGATTTCAGTAAACTCATTTTTGCGACTACTTGGGCTTCTTGGGTTTCCAGTCTCAGCAAATCATGCTCTCCTTACGCTCGCCTAAAAAAGCCAAAAAATAAAATGATGCCTCTTATGAAGGCTGTTGCCACGACAAACTCGTTACCAGATTTTCATGAAAATAAGCTTTTTTTTTAGCAGAATATAGGGCGCCCTAGGACGCTTAAATAACTTTCAGCGGAATGCGTATACGATATAGTAATGAAATAGTACGGAAAGATTGCGGACGTTTTCACCCAGGGAAAACCAAAATATATAATGTACGCGTTCATGGACTGAGGAAAGGTCTTAGAACTTACTTTAACTGCTCCTCGTTATAGAGGAAAAAAGCTCTCTCCATGTCATCAAATGACCTTTGTCGTAATCACTTAAATTTTATTAGAATCATATTCTATTGAGAGCCTGATCTTATGACATTACTGGGTTTTGTTGAGTTATTGAAATGATTATATTCCTCTAACACAATAAATTACTCTGAATAGAATCTCATTTTATTTGCTTTTATTTTTAACATACAATCGACTTAACGTAATACTCACTCATATTTATAATGTAAGCATCAAGTTATCAATGAACAACTATATCAACATTTACTGTATTGAAAACATTCACTGTTTATCATCTCATTTTTTGCATCTTATAATATTGTCACAGCACTTTAAATTTTACCCCATTTTTAACTCGTGAATTGCGCGCATGCGCAAGAGCGAGTTGTAGATATGATGTGGGGAATGGCACTCGCTCGCTCGCTCGCTCGATTGGTCGATTCCTGTAAACTTTTTTTTCGATTTTAGGCTCTTGAGTGCATTTGATAGTTTTTGGCGAGCAATAAACAAACGAAATGGCGACCTAAGAATAGTGGTGGGGTGAAAAAGAAGCAGATGATAATCTTAAAAGAGTTATTTTCGTTTTAGTTTCAACAAGCGGCGCCAGCGACTGGCAGGCATGCAAGGATTCACACCGAAATAACAGAACAACCTTCGTTTTTCATAAAATTGTAATTTACAATCCTTGAACTTGAAAACAATCCGAAGATTCATTGAAAATATCACTTACTGCGAAGCGCTCGGAGTTTACATATGTTCAAAAGCTTTTTCTGTTATGGCGTGAGATTGAGGACAAAATCGATCATTAAGTTTCGTATCGTGTGTTTTTCCTGTGTGAAGCAACAGAAGACGCCGGCGACTGACAAAATTACAAGTTAACACGAAAATCAAATAACACCTAAACAAACAATCTTAGCTACTGGTTTTCAGTGAATTTTTAAAGAACAATTTTCTTTTAAGTTTCAAGACAATTTGAAGATTCAAAATAAATATTACGTACTAAAATTCGAAAGTTATACACCACAAAATTGATAAGTAGGCCTGAAATGAAATTCTATCTTATTGTTGATTATACGTTACCTAGCACGTGACTAAAATCTACCTAGGCGGAGATCCAAAATGACGGTGGCAGTCTTGGCTTAGTTATATCACTCAAAACTCGTTCCAATTTGTCTCATTTGATAAAGAGGGAATCGTTAATGTTTTCATTAAGACAGTATTGCCTTGATTTTCTAATATTTACAATGATAGACAGTAAATTTCACTTTTCACTCACATTTACTGCCAACCTTTTCTTTTGAACCATAAACAAAAATGATAGACGTTTAAAACACATCACATCATCCACCCTTATCAAATGTAATAGCATGATCATTTCAATTGTAATGCCTTCTTATCCCAACGTTACTTTGTTTCTTTGCTACATTAGCGAACACTGAACTACTGCTCGTACTCTAGGTATGAAAGTCAACCACAAAATTCCCTAAACCAGATAACATTAAACATAATCAAAAATCATGTGTCAATTCACGAGTTTGCTCACAGAGCACTTTGATTTTAATCTTTTTTTCACTATACAATTCACAAAAAATACAATTAACTTAATATTCACAACAACATGATGCATACATTAAATTATCAAAACTATATCAACATTCCCTGTATCATTGACAACTTTGAATTTTTATCTACACATCTTATTCTTTGTATATTAGTTACATGATTCCCTGATGATACCCCATACCATTCATTACTTTTACAATCTGCAACAAAGCAGTTGTTGTACATCAATGAATTAATGGCATGCCAATTGCAACTCCTAGTCCTTTCCCATGATCCCTTCTCTAGCTAAGCAATCCAGTACTTCTCTGTTCACAAAGCATGATTGACAGGGGAATGCTCAATTTTGAATAATGCAAAAATAGTTTCATTTTGTTTCAAATTGAAGCCTTCAAGAACATAATTCGGCCCCATTCAGTTGTAATTTACCCTAACCTCGAGCTATGCAACTGAAATTAAATTTGCCAGTCCTGCAATCAGCAGAGTATGAACAGAGATCAATCAGTTCCTGAAGAACACTTCCTTCTAACAGCTTTGTTCACAACATGTTTCCAATGAAGGTTACGTCCGATCAAACAGGATTTAGTTTCTTGGACCTCATCTTATTGATACAAGCTTCAGTCGATCGGTTGACACCGAATTTTTGTAACAAGAACCCACCTGACACTCCGAATATTCCGATTGAAATTTGAATGCCCTCCTAACGTACAAGTTAACCTTGGAGCGGAAGGCAGTATTAATCGCTGAAATAGCCTTCCCTGTATGAGGTCGGAACAAGACAACGACAACCTATTGTCCGGTGCACTTTTTCGGAAGCCGTCGAAAACGTTGATTTGAGCCCGCACAACCGAAAGCGCTCTTTCGCTTCCAAAGTTATTAATTTTGGTGTTGTGAACGCATTCTATCCATAACATTTGCAATTAAACATTCTTTCCAGAAGAACTATCTACTTTATTGCCTTGAGGAAAGAATTCTCGGTTCTTGTGGCGAGTTTCTGAAAGAGAGATTCTTCTCACGATATTCAGATGTAATGCATTTTTGCCAGAAGAATTCTCTTCTATTCAATCTTGTTTCAAGAACCTCGATTCTCCTTGAAAGAATCGCAATGAAATGATTCTTTTAAAAATAATTTTGGTTCTTAACAGGAGAAAATGCTCTTGGGGTAATTTAGAGTGGATTACTCACGATATGTTCCACTACCCAAACACATACATACACACGCATGCGTATGCGTAAACACAGTGACAGTGAAATTAACAGTGCTTGTGACAAAGGCAGCAACAATGACATAGACTTTGAAATGACAGTGACAGGAAGCGCGACAATAAAGTGACACTGACACTTACAATTGCAGTGAGACAGATATACGCGATGGGAGTGCATAATCTAAACGGTAAAAGTGACAGTAACACTGACAGTGACGGGTACAGTGACATTGTGGGTACAGTGAAAGTGACTTTGACAAACACAACAACATGTTTAGTGACTGAGACACTGGGAGTAACAAGGACAATGACAGTGACAATGAGACTGACATCGAAAGAAGAAAGGATAGTGACAGTCACGAGTAGATTAACAGTGAAAGGGAGAGAGACAGAGAAAGAAACGTTGAATTTGACTTTGAGGTGACAGTAAAAGAGAAAGTCTATAAATTGACACTGACATTAAACAGAGAAAGCGACAAAGTCAGTGACATTGACAGGAATAGTCACGTTCAATTTAGTGAAGGTGACAGTTACAAAAAAAATAAAAGTGATAATGAAAGAGGCAGTAACAGCGACTGTGACGAAGACGGTGACATTGAAAGTGACAGAGACAGTTACAGTAACATTGACAATGACAATGACAATGGCAGTGACAGAATCAGGGAAAGTAAGTTAAGAGCTACAATAAGCATGACAGTAACAGCGACAATGAGAGTCACATTGACAATAACAGTGACATTAACAGTGACAGTAACTGATCGTTGACAGGGAAAGCGTCAGAGTCATATAAACACAATGACAGAGAAACTGACAGTGATTCTGAGAGTGACAATCACAGTGACAGAGAAAATATCGAAGGCAGTGAGAGTTACTGTAATAATGAAAAAGTGAGAGTGAAAGTGATTATTTAAGTAATGTGGACAGTAACAGTGAAAATGAAAATGAATTTGATTATGACAGAGACCATGAAATTAGCATTGAAAGTGACGGAGACGGTAGAAGTAAAGCTGAGAGCAACAGTTACAAGCAGTGATTGTGACAGTTAGAGAAAAATGGGCAATGACACTTTTAGCGACAGAGACTTTGCAGTGACATTGACAGTGACATTGACAGTGAACGTGACAATCACAATATTAGGGACAGGGACAGTGAGGTGAACAGTCAAGTGAGACTGATTAAGACTATGACAATGACCCTGACAGTGACAGTGACAGTGAGACAGTGATAATAAGTCGGTGAGAATGACAGAGTGTCCGTGACATTGACAGTGACAACGTGTTATTGGCAAGTCTGACGTAAGACTAACATCGCGAACTTAAGGGAGGACAGCTTTTGGTGGTTAACCTTTCTGACCAATTTTATTAAAAATCAAAACTTGCTTCAAAGCGTCGTCAGAGAGAAAAGGATTTTACTAATGTAGGGACACTCTGTGTTTTCTGAAATTTTTCAGATGGATTACTTGAGGCTAGAAATTTGTTTCTTACGGTCGATCAGTTGATCGATTAACCGATATATGACCCAATTGCAATGTTTTTCCTTGCCTGCTAGTAAAAAAGTAATCGTGTTCTGTAGCAGATAAACAAAGAAATTTCTGGTGTCAAGGAAAAGACGGTAGCAAATCCAGGGGATGGCCTTGCCTTCCACCGATTTTTTAACGAAATGAGACTTTGACGATTGCTAAGATTTCAAGGGACCATCGATGAACTGAGAAAACGCCAACCAAACGTTACTGAGAGCGTAAAATGTGGATATCTAACAATTTAAATGTTCTTGGTGGAGTATACCCTCCTTCTGCACAAAGAGTGATTTTAATCGGCAGGTGAAAAGAACTTTTCATGTCAGTTACCTGAAGAACACCTTTTGTGCCTTAGCCAGTTGTGCATCAAACACCGACGAGCACATAATACAGTACATTTATACAAGTAACGCCAAAATTTCGCAAATCGATGATCAACCTGACCAAGGACAGCAAAGCCATTCCCTTCAAGCAGTTATATACGGACATACCTTCGAGGTTCGTTCCATAATAAATACTTCTGATAGTGTTCTGGAGCATTTTTTAGTTTTTCTGCACCGTTTTGACTTCTTTTCCCTCAGGAACGCGAAAAAGAGGTTTCCCCGTACCACTAGTATACTGTAATGAGTACCGGCTGTCAGGCTATTTCTTTAACAGAGCTTTTTCCGTCACAAAACTCGAAAATAATAAAAACACAAGGCCTTTGGCTCGTGCTTTCATCAATTTCCTCGTGTTTAGAAGGTCTGATGAAACACTCGCCCTGGTTTATGAAATATTTCATCACAACAGATACATTGGGATTTTATATTTTGCGGCAAACGATTGTTTTATGACTAAGTGGCTTTGTGAATACAGTTTTGTTAGTTTAATAGCCGACTCTTCTTTGGCTTTTCTAGACATCAGAATTTCAGTTTTAATGGTTTCTACCCGGCTAGAGTTTACTACAAACCTACAGACTCTCATAGTTGCTTGTTGTATTCATCTTCGCATCCAACACATGTCGAGAGTTCTATTGCTCTTTCGTAGTTTCCCAGACTTTGTCGTTAATGTAATGACGACTCTGATTTTTCCCACAAATGTGCCAGTTTTTCGATAAACGTGGCTATCCTGTTTCTGTCTTTCAAGTGTGCCACCACCACGTCAAGAGTCAGCACTACAAACGAAACAAAAGGAAAATACCGATCGCATTCTATTATTCACTCTCACATTTCAGCCTCCCAACCGCGCGGTTTAATCCATCATTCTTAAAAATTCTTGGTCAGAAGTTCGTTACAAAGTAATGACCAACCCGGAAATGTTAAAATGTACTCGTGCACAATGCAAAACCTGTCCTTCCAGTCATAACGTAGAGAAAATGTCGAGTACGTAGAGAAGATTAGTGATCACTTCACGTGCGCCTCTGCCAATGTCATCTATTGCATAATTTGCTCCTTCTGCAAAAAGTCATACACTGGTGAAACAGGAAGACGACTAGGTGACCAATTCCGAGAAAACACTCATTAAATGAAATGACAAAGACGCTTTCAAACCAGTCGCTACACACTTTCATCTCCCTAATCATTCTAAGCATCATATGGCAGTTCGCGGCCTTTCCCTACATCTAGGCAGTCCGGAAAGCCTCAAAATTCTAGATCAAAAATTTATCTCTTGAATCGGCACTCTTAATCCACAACTTATCAACGAACGCTTTTCATTCAACTAAGTTTGTCTTGTTTTTCTCGTTACCATGTTCCCACCGATAGCGTAACTCTATTTTCTCCATATTAACAAACACACCACCCACAATTCCTTTATTCGCTCTGACGAAGGGGTAACGCTCGAAAAGTCAGCTCTGAAACTCTTTACGGTGGCCAAATTACGTTATTAACTCAGTTGATAATACCAAATGATAATACCCTGAAGAGTTTGGTGATAGCCACCTTGACAGAGTCCCAATACAAAATATTTTTGAAAGCTGGCGGTGCTCTTCTGCAGGGAAAATCGGCAACTTTAGTAATCACTAAAGTTGCCGATTTTCCCTTATTAATTGATTAACTTTCACAGTTTTACTTAGCTTGTTACTATGATTTTCAATCTCTTGTTTTTACGTAGGTCGTTCCTCCAGAAACGACCTTGAGATAGCTTATTGTTATACTCAGTTGAACTTAAGTAGCCGCTTTGGAGACCTATGCCGTAACTAGTGTAATTGTTTCTTCTTCTGTCTCAAAACCTTCCTCAAAGGGAAAGGACTATCTGCCAGAACATGTCAGTTGTAAAACTCAGTCTCCCATCATAACATCATCCCGGCTTTACTTCATGAACCTTATAAGGAAACATTCCGCGTGAAATGGGTAAAATCTCGGGGATATCTATGTTCTATGGAAGCAGATAATGCACTGACCACCGTAGGAACACCTGGAGGTAGTCTGAAAAGTTGATTGAGCAAATGCCTGATTGTATGACCTTTTCAGGCGTATTTGTGTAAATGTGATCAGTAACAGAGAGGGTATGGTCGGTTAATCTTGTTGCTTTTACTATAACTGTCATTAGGCCTAAATTAAATAGCACGTCTAAGGTTTATAGCTCTCTGTTGAGCTTTAGAAAATCCACATCCCTAAAGGCCAACACCCTCTTCCTTTAATCAAACTCTCTATTTACTTTGATTATGTTATAGGAATTAATGACCTATTATTAACCATCAGGAACAAAAATATATTGCTATTGAATAACAATATACTTTTTCCGCTTTTGCTGTTTTTGCTGTTGCTGTTGTTGGTGCTGCTGTTGCTGTTGTTGGTGCTGCTGTTGCTGTTGTTGGTGCTGCTGTTGCTGCTGTTGGTAGTTAACTCAAAACATTATTACTCGATCTGGTCCAGCGAAAGATCGTGTCTCCTTGAAAACTGATCAACAAAATGAAGGCTGTGATTTCTAAATTTGATATTTACATAGGATATTTTCTTTATTTTTTTTGTCTCAAAAATCGACATATGTTTGGTCCAGGTTTCACTGTAAGCCAAATGTCGTGTGATAAACACCCATTTTTTCCCAAACTACAATTGTTGCGATGCAGCAACCAAAAATTCCACAAAATCTCCACTTTGTGACAAAGAAGACCAGATAACAGGAGCCCAAGTAATGGGTTCCTAGCAGAAAATTAATCTAACTTTTATTTAACCCGGTCAACAATATACTGTGACGATAGGTTTTCGCGCACCGAACTGAACTTTCACGGGAACGTACAAAACGAGGGGAATGAACTCGGTAGAGACCACTCGGCTAACGAGAACGGAAACTCGTCACAATTTCCTGGCACACGGAGATCGACTTCGAGTGAGCTTGTACGGACGTCAAGGAAGAGACAGCGTTTTTGGTTCCACTTTTATTCGTAGAGCACTCTAACATACATCATACTAGAGTCAAAACTAAAACTGTAATCAGCACGCCGTCGTCTGTGTAATCGGTACGCCGTTGTGGATGTAATCGAAAAAGCCTTACAAAGTACTTGCTTAAATATGAACTGGTGTGAGGTTCCATTGTTACACAAATCACAACATTTGAATAAGGACACAAAGGAGCGGAAAAAAGTCTCTTTGAAATTAAACCAAAGCTACTTAAATATTCCATCTGTTTCTACGACGGAAAGAATCTCAAACTTAAAAGGACGGATACAATAAACTCGAGGCCATTAAAAATAGGAAAGTTAGGTGAGAATTCACAGCTCTGATATAGAAAATATACCCATCTTAATTACAGTAGAGCAGCTTAGGATATAAAAGTGGAAAAGTAATTAAAAGTTTCTGCTTATCTATGCAAGGTTGGTGTGGAAACTATCGTATGAACAGAAATTAAAGCTACGAGTAGAAACTCGGCTGCTAACTACCATGAGAGCCAATTTCTCCAGAAAGATCATTAACACTTATATTTACCTAAAAAAACCAGTAATAAATAGCAAAAGAGCCGACATGCAGGTGCATAATGAAAGCGAGTAACAAGCAAAAATATCTTAGTTTACCATTCAAAAACTACGGTGGTTTATTATTATTGTTTTTATTTACTAGAATGAAAGAACTTGAATGAGTTCGAATAAATTGGAAATGGTTAAGTGTGAAAAGTTTACGAATAAATATGTTCCAAACAAACACACGGAAAAATCAGTAATTTCCCCCTAACAATATTCAAAGCCTCTCACTATCTACCAAATAATGATCCCATTTTTAGTGGACCAAAAGCTCAATTAAGGCCCTTCAATTCTTGCATGGAACAGCTTCCATTTGATTATGGAGGCTATCTTCAAGAGGACCAATCAGAAATCTGCACTAGCTGCAAGAAACATCTGCACACCCCTTTCCTCATTGCAAAAAGTAAAGTATCATTAAATAGCTTAAGTAAGAGAGAAAATCTGAGTGATAGATTTTGCAAATAATAAAAGTATTTGAATACTATAGTTAACCCGGTTCTCAAATTTCCATTAAGATGTATATGTACATTATATGTATGTTGTGCATGAGGCGCATTGAAACCCCGATCCAGGCTTTAGAAGTTATTCTTCGCTTATTGCTACAGCTATATTTCGTGAATCGCTGACGTTGCCTGATAGGTGCGGTAACTTAATAAACCGCATGTTAATTCCCTTACCTTTAAATTAGCAGTCTCACAATCTCCTAGAATAGACCCCGAAGTAACGATATCCTTTCCATGAGACATCGACCACCGCAGCTGTAATCTCTTGCGATTTCCGGTATCCTCCTTTCCTCCTGAGAGATTAGCGGCAGATGTCACGAATTGGAAATGGTGTACTCAGTTAAAAACGGAAAAGGAATGCATATTTTCACAGACCTGTCAGAGTGCGTCAACAAAGTAAATTCGGATTTTTTTTTATCATACGCTGCGAGTCTGATAAGTCTAAACACGTAAATGGAAAGCGGCCCAAGATGACCTTACGTTCCGACGGATTGCGGAACGTGTGTCTAATTATGCCCTCCTTCGTAGAAGATAAACTTATCTTTCCTTCATCAGAGATAGAATTTTTATGAACTAGAAAATAAAAAAAAGGTAGAAGGATTTTAGGAGCTGGGGATTATCTGTCTGGTATTTAGACAAATTACATAGCTCACTATGAATATGAATAATAATGAGACGACTGGACACTGGCAGCGGCTATTATTTTGAGAATTTAATCAGTAAGTGCGTGAGTGCAACTTCCATAATCGCATTAGTGGCTACGAAAGCAGGAGATAAGAAGAAAACACTCTTATATAAAAGGGTTATATAAACAGGTTAAAACTGCAACAAATCGCTTTAAAGGTGATCACGTAATGTATTCATAAGGGCTATTGACGTGTTGACGTGGCTAATGACATAAGCCAACACACAAACATTCAAGTGATGGCTACGCGAAATGGTGTATGTCCCGGCTACCATCTCTGCTGAGACTTGGATCATTTCTAAATTTATCACGAAAACAGCCTCAAGGATTGACACATGACATAACAAGTAAGATTAGAGTTATGAGGAAAAAAGGTTAATGGATTTAGAGACCATCGACACATGACATATACGCGGGTTGGAATTCTAGTAACGAAACCTAAGGGTGAAAAGGTTACTTCAACATATACCAAGCTCCCGTTCACTTTAAATTCCACCAATATCAGTGGGAACGTGGAAGATTGAAAACAACTATCTGCATAGTCTCAACTCATTACATCGATAGATTTATTTGAGGTACTTTAACGATGGCGAACGCTTCCACAACAGGTCCGGACGTCAATTCAAGCTATCATGCTGAAGCTCAGCTTCTGCCGTTCGGAACGTTGATTGTCTTCGTCAATGGCGTTGTATTTTTACTTTTCGCTAAAAATAAACGTTTAAGAACGCCAACAAACTATTTTCTGTTCAGTCTGGCTGTGTGCGACTTTATGACGGGGCTCATCATTATTCCTCTGGTTATTATTGTGCTCACAAGAGTCATTGCTCCCCCATCTGGTGTCATCGTGGGATTTTTCGTGACTATTCTTCACAACATGTTAGTAGTTTTAGTGATATATCACATCTTCATAATAACTGCCGAGAGATATTTTTCAATCGTTCACCCGTTTCGTCATCGATGGAAGACAACAAAGATTTCAGTTTTGAAGATTATTGTTGTTATTTGGTCGGCTGCGATCGTAATAGCTTTCCTGCCTGTCACGTGGTTTCATGGTTTTATTTATTTTCAAGAGGACATTTCATCTGCAACTCTACAGATACAAACGGGACATAATATATTCTGTATAGTTTTCGTGTTCCTTTTGCCATATGTTTTAATTGTTTATTTTCAAGTCTCTTTATACAGAAAGATTAGACAAAGGACGTTCGTTAGCAAAAGAGAAAAACAAAAATACACTGTAAACCACAAGGCTCATAATGTCAGGCGGAGTCTGATAATTTTTGGACTTATGGCCTTGCTTTATGCTATCTGTTGGTTTCCTTGGTATGTGATCAGCTTCTTCAGTAGTCTCTGGTTCCCTCTCTCTGGAGAAACGCGAAGAACTTTGTCGAAATTTGCACATGCCTTTCTCATCATAAGATATTTAACCTCCATTGTAAACCCTGTACTTTATACATTTCTCAAGAGAGATTTCCAACAAGCTTTCAAGATTGTTGTGCTAAGACGGAATATACGACAGGAGAGTAGTCACGCAGTGTATTTGTCCCCCCGACAGAGACTGCCTCGCAATGCTGACCTTGAAGGGTACGTGAACATTGAGTATGTTTCAACAGTGTAGATTAAAACTAATTGAAACACAGGCGGCCCAAGCTACAATTGTGAGATGATCACCTTGCGAAATAAGAGTCATGGCGAAATTATAAGAGTTTGTATGGGAATTTTTTGTGACCGCTCGTAAGAATTAAACAAATACAGTCAAATTCTCAATAAAAATACGCAACCTTACTTTCACAGTGTATTGCTTGTTATCTGACCACTTACTATGTTAACAAGAACCCATCTTAGCGAGTTATCCATTTCTAGGTTTACTACTTATAAAGGAAACCCAAGGCTGAACACTCCATTTCCGAACGCCCGATCCGACAAGCGAAAAGTCGTAACTCAAAATGACCGAGCGGCCAAAAATCCAATGCAGAACCCAAGGACATATGCTACCCTAAGTTAGCCATGTTCTACCACGTTAACCTACATCTACCCTAGGTTAGCCATGTTCTACCTCGTTAACCCACATCTACCCTAGGTTAGCCATGTTTTACAACGTTTACCCACATTTACCCCAAGTTAACCATGTTCTACCATGTTAACCCACATGTACCCTTAGTTAGCCATGTTTTACCACTTTAAACCCCATCTACCCTAAGCTAACCATGCTCTACCTCGTTAACCACCATCTACCCTAAGTTAAGTATGTTTTACCCCGTTAACCACCATCTACCCAAAGTCAGCCATGGTCTACCACGTAGTTCACGTTCTACTACATTCACCATCATCTACTCTCAGGAAAGCACGTTCTACCTCATAATCCCTAATGGTGGCTCATTAGCAAGCAGTCAAGCTATATATTTAATCAGCAACAAGAGTCTCAATGTATCACAATGAAAAGTCACGTTTGGGATATTGTCAAGAAGACGTTCTTAGAACTGGCAAAAAAGAAGTGCGATTCATCATTTGATTTGTCATCAGAAATATAGGAGTATAGTTTGTATGTTAGTTTTATGCTGTACTTTATCCATGCAGTTCCTATAGACTTAATCTTTTTTTCTTAACTCTCTATCTGTCCGATGCGTCTCCCTTTTCAGTGTAAGATCGCTCGTTATCGTCAAGTAATTTGAAAACTCTTGAAGTAATCATGTGTAGAAATACGATACCATACTCAGGTGTATTTCGCAGAAGTTTGGCTAAGAAACCTTGAAAAGGGTGATGGGGTTCTTAAAAATAACATAAGTTTCACTCCAAGCATTTCTGTGGTCAGTTTTTTCAAGAGAGAAACACACTTGGTATCGCGACATAGTAAAGTTCCAAAATAAGGTATTGCAAGGTTTTATTATTACAGTTATCTTTTCTGAGTGAAGGCACTGGAAGGAGGTTAGGAGTGATCATCCTACACATTACATTACATTTTTATTGTGCAAAAAAGTCAGTATTTAATACAAAGTACCAGCGGGAAAAAAAGTTTATTTTCATACAATGGATTCCTATCAACTACTGGTAATGATTTATTGAAAGTAGTATGTACTTAATCGCAAAAAATACAATTTCCTAGATTGAGACTGATTTAAAAATTCCTATTTTCCACAAAATCACTTGCCAAGTTGTTATCAGACAGTTTGTTGTCGGACTGCTGCCATTGGATTTAACATGGTAGAACATCGCTAACTTGCAGTAGATGGTGGTTAACGTGATAGAACATGGCTAACCTGGGGTAGATGGTGGTTAACGTGGTAAAAAATGGCTAACTTAGGGTAGATGGGGGTTAACGTGGTAGAACATAGTTAACTAAGGGTAGATGTGGGTGAACGTGGTAGAACATGGCTCACTTGGGGTACATGATAGAGCATAGTTAACTTAGGGTAGAAGGGGTTAACACGGTAGAATAAGATTAGCTAGGACATATCGTTACTCATACGTGAAAGTTATGACATTAATATTATTCAGCCACGAAGTATATACCATCACGACACACGACCGTTGAAAACCAGCTTGGTAACCTTGCCTCCTTTGCAAACTGAGCCTCGCCGTGGACCACACCGTCAGTTGGCACCCTTGGTTCTAAAACAATTTGTTTATTCCCATACAAACTCTTATAATTTTGTTATGACTCTTATTACGCAAGATGATCATCTCACAGCTGGAGCTTGGGCCGCCTGTAATGGAAAGTGAATCGTGCCAGCGAGCCATGCGAGCATATGGGAGGTCTCTAAGGGTGCTTGCAGTAAGAATTTTTGTATCAGAATCCTCATGACCTCTCACACGTTCACACCCCTGTACCAAAAAGTGCGTGTTTCACCGCATCTGTAGCAGGGCCAATAAGAGTTTGCTTCTAGCCCTCATTTTCCTCTGTTACTTCATTGCTCGTATACAGAGGAAACTTGTCTTTTCAGACCAATTTATAATAATTTCTATTCAAGGAACAAGAAGACCCGCTTTAAAAAGCACTGTGCAGGCGGTCTATATTAAATTGACATTTTTGATCAGTTTGTCGTGGTGTTCAGTGATTGATGAGGTTCGCAATAATGTTGACAAACTTCATCTTCTTGTCTAAACTGCCTTCCCAGTTTGGGTTGAAACTTTGCAATTTTGGTCTCCTTCCAGACAGTGAAGGGGAAAAAATCGCTTTAATCAAGCCCAATAGGGAAAATAACTAAATAGGGAAATAGCAGCCTGGGAAAATGATGAAAAGTTGCGTGTAACAACCTTGTTGGAAACATTACCTGAAATTCCACACAAATAATGATACTGCAAACTCAAAAGAATTGCAATTAGCAGTTTGTACGGTCATCAGCCATTGCCTTGATTTTTTTATGCTGGTGCTGGTGTTTTTCTTTTTTTTTTTAATGAGACTCTATAAATGTGACCATTTATGAGAAAACGTACTTTGACGCTTTTCTGTTAAACGTTACGATAGGATTTCAGTAAGAACAGTTGGGGCAGTCGCCAACGAAAATCCCTAAACGTCAGCAAAAAATGACCGCTCCGTTAGAATTAGCATTCGTTTACTTAGTGACATACCGTTCAGAAACGCTAAGAATACGTTAGGATCGAATGCAGCTCACGCATGCCTTGTCTGACTGTGAAAGTTATGAAGAGCTCCTTCGATTACCTTTGCTATCGGCCTCTGCTGTAAGAACAAATACGTTTTTTGCAAAGAAAGTATTTTAATGTCACCAGTATATTTATTGAAGGAATAATAAGTGCTGCATATAGGCGACGTTGCAGAGACTTGAGAGTGAAAAATTGTTCTGACGCTGTCATAGAATTTAACCGAAGTCTGGATTCACATTACTGGAAAATTTTCTTTTTCAAAGTTTCGTGAAACGACTGCTTCATTCCTTTTCTTTTTTCTTTTCTTGTATTTAACCAAATGCAATTTGAGCGGTTGCTTAAGCCTGATAAATCTCATTGTCGTTATTAAAAAACCTCACGAAATTAAATTCATCCTTTTTTCGGAAAAGAAGAAAAGTTTGAGGACAGAAAATACAAAATCATTCTCGAAATTATGGCTTCTTTGTCTCTCATTTTCCTGCATTACATTTATTTTGAAATCACAGGTAATCCTTGCGGTCTGGCCTTGACTTCCAGAAGTTTAGAACAAAAAATATGTCATGATTGCCTTGATCTTTGTTCAGTAGTTGATAGCGAACGTGCAATTTAGCGAGCGTTTCACGATGATGAAAAGAGTCACTCATTATGATTCCCTCTTCTAATGCGACGAAGACGGCACCACTATTGGTTGAAATAACACTAACAAATGTGACAGCATGGAATTCAGATCAAATGTTCAATTTAAAAACGTATCATCAAATATGCAAAAGCCTTTTTTTTAAGTAGTACACTCGCTGAATCTAACTTATGAAAACGCTTTAGCTCGATGGAAGCTAGCAGAGCACTACTTTTCCTTCGGATCCCAATAAATTGTCTCATGCTGATATGTAGTTCAGAATTGCTTGAGAAATCCAGTCTGTGTAGCCAGCGGTTTTAAGGATCGTTCGATGAAAATAATCGCTATGGAGTCGCGAGAAAGGGCAGTGATGATGCTACCTTCCATTCCTCTCTCTCTCTCTCTCTCTCTCTCTCCCTCTTTCTCTCCTCCCCCTCCCCCTCTTACTCCCCCTCTCCCTCTTTTACTCTCTCCCTCTCTCATCTTTGTTGTTTAAAATTGACGCAAGACCTTCCGCTGGGCTAGGAAATATAACATATCGAAAGGAGAGGAGAAGACCTCTCAATTTTTTTCCGTTCAAGTGGGAGATTTGTCATCCATCCTCCACCTCCCCAAGCATAGTATGACTACCATTAATAACAAAATATTACATAATGTTAACCCTTTCACTCTTTTGATCTAAAAAAACAATTAATCATACTTTTGTATTATTTTGTTAATTCTGGTCCTAAATCAAACAACACACCCTAATTGAAATTATTCTAAATTTCCATAACATGTTTGGTTCATGATGTTTTGATGCTGCAGGGTAAATTACTTACATTAAATTCAAGGTGTGATTTGTTCTTGACATTATTCCAGTTTGTTATCAAGTTTTAAGAAAAGTATTAAAAAAAATTAATTTTGTTCCGACAAAAGTTTGTAAGAAAAGGAATCATATTCCATAAAATTACATCCAGAAAAGATTGGAAGCAACACCTGTGAATTAATTCTGCCTCTGAGAAAAAATAATGATATATGAAAATCGATGCAATGGCAAAATAACTTAGAAGAGAACTTTCGGCTCATCTAAAACAAAGGTTAATGTGAAAATTAGGGAACGGTTTATGATCTCCTGTGGTTTCTTTGTTGGAGCGGAAGAGAAACGGAGTCACTGAGCTTTATTTTAAACCTGAAAACATTTTCCTGTGGTGTCTTCATCCTCCGTCTAAATGTATCGCAGTTATCAGCTGTTTTCGGAAATTATATTTTTCCTGAAACCTCCCGAATTACATTGACTCGGTCAATTCTAATACAGATATGGTTGATGAGACCCCCAGTAAGAAACTTTTAGCTCGAGTTTATCATAACAAGACAATATATTATAGAAATAGGGGGTAGATTGGCATGTTACGATTTTCAACATTTGTTGAGAGCATCATATTTAGATTTCGGCCTTTTCTATGACTATGATAAAAAAATATACGAACGACAAAAACATATGCCCCGTGACGAAGCATTCTGATTTTTTTTTTCGAAACGCTCGTTGACAAAGGTAATATAACCCCAGCAGTAAGACACTTAAACGCGCGGTGTGAAACTCTCATTTAAAATTAAACTTCAATTATCTCCAAGAGACAAAAACTCAAATTTATTTGAATTTACTCGCTTGAGCTCAGCTAATGTCGAGATTTCTGAAGTATTTGCATCATAAACAGCTAAAATGTAATTTTTCAGGGCACCTTGTGGCTGAAGTGTCAGCGAAATTATCAGAAAATGGTCAAAATAGTCAGCATTTAAGAAATTAATGTTAAAAATCTGTAACATTGAACAAAAAGAACCGACATCCTGATGTGGTATCAGTGAAATATTAGTTTATTTAGTGCTTTTAAGATGTCTGTAACAGGTGATACACATGGATTAGAGCGATATAAGGATAATGCTTGTGTATTGCTTGGCGCAGGCAATCGACAGAAACTTTCATTCTGCGAGCTTATGAATGCGTATTAACAGAAATTTAATTTCTTAACGCATCTTATCACCCTATCAAGAAGATAACTACAGCACGGATGGAAAACGGTATAAAATAAGTATTTATCATGGCGACCATAAACTCCTCGACAAACCTAACAGACGAGAGTTCTGGGTATTATGCCCAGCTAATACCAATCGCGGTGTTGATTGCCTTCGTTAACGGCGTCGTATTTGTGCTTTACGCCAAAGACAAACATCTAAGAACACCAGCTAATTATTTGCTGTTCAGTTTGGCAGTATGTGACTTTATGACAGGGCTTATTAATATTCCTCTATTCATTATTGTGTTCACAAGAGTATTTGCTCCTCAACCTGGCAAGATTTTCGGATTTTTCGTGGTAGTTCTGCATAATATGGTAATAGTTTCAGTGGTTTACCACATCTTCCTAACAACTGCCGAAAGATATTTTTCAATCGTTCACCCGTTTCGTCACCGATGGAAGATAACAAAGGGTACAGTTTTGAAGATTATTCTTGTTATTTGGTTGGCTGCCATCGTGATAGCTTTCCTGCCTATCGTGTGGTTTCATAGGTTCATTTACTTTCAAGAGAACATTTCATCTGTAACTCTACAGATACAAACGGGTCATAATATATTCTGTATGGTTTTTGTGTTTCTTTTGCCATATACTGTTATGGTATATTTACAAGTTATTATGTTCAGAAATATTCGGAGAAGGTCCTTTAAGTTTGGCAAACAAGAAAGATTAAGCTGTACTGCAGTAAACCGAAAAGTTAACAGCATGAAGCGAAGTCTGATCATTTTCGCGCTCATGGCTTTTTTTTATGCTGTTTGTTGGTTTCCTTGGTATGTGGTCAGCCTCCTCATCAATCTCTGGTTTCCTCTTAGTTACGAAGCACAGATTGTTCTTTCGAAGTTTGCTCATACATTTGTCATAATAAGGTATTATGCTTCCATTGTCAATCCGGCACTTTATATATTTCTTAAAAGGGACTTCTTCGCGTCTTTAAAGTCCATCGTTCTACGACGTACACCAAAAAGAACAAACAACAGTCAAGCCACAAGTTTGATCACGGAACGCACAGTTAATAGAGAATATGCTCTAGGCCTGTTAACGGGGCAGGATAAAGAAGCACTATAGAATCTTTCGGTGGTTTAGAACTACAAAAAAAAAAAATGGCAACAAAGGATGCATGATAAAAATTTGGCATTAGTTATTGAAGATAAAACTTTGACTCCCCGGTTTCTTTCCCCATCAGGACCTTTATGGTACATCAATTGTTTTTATTTACTCCATCATGCTCCAGCCTATCGCTCGCCATGTAAGAACAGTTCGTAAGATGGCCGGTAGAGGTTCTTATGAAATACTCAGTTTAGCCGAGAGTGTTAACGTTTTCTGTAGCAATTTAAAACGACTTCGCTCATGCCTAAGCTTTCTTATTCCGGAAAGCTTTAATAAATGTAATTTTCATACGTCTAACAGCTAAACTTTTTGGCCGTTTTACGGCCAACGGCCAGCCCCATTGAGACCTTCTGCACTCTGCTTTTATCAATATATTCAAAACTCATCTATAATATGATGACCTTCGTCAAAAAGTTTAAATGCTGTTCATGAAATCAGAATAAACCCTATTGGTTAGTTTTATACTTTTTACAAAGTAAATATACTCGGGTTTGCTATCCATGTATGCCCAGAGTTCTCCCAGTTACTCCGTAATTTTAAACTCCAGATCTAGTAGCTGACATTTACCCGGTTAAAATTAAATGAGCTGATCATGTCAAGCACTGTGATCTTATGGCGGATTTTGAAATAAGCTTGGTAACCTATTCGGTTTAAAAACTGCTCGGGATAATAGCTTGCGTTCTTCCCTTGAAGGAGGCAAGAGAGAGCGGCGGAAATCGAACCTACCTTGTGTTTGCAAATTAGACACGAGTTTTAATCGGTTTAAGTGTGAGCCCGAACTCACAGGCTTACTTCTGGCCGAGAAGTTGATCAATTGACTTGACCGCGGCCTAAACTGAATTACATCTCACGAAGGAGAGCAGTCCAAAACGTAAAGTGTTGGTACTCTGCATATAGATAAAATAAGATAGTTTGTGTTCATGGCCAAACTCAAATTCGACAAATTTTTTTTTGTCGGTCGACATCATTAGCTCATAAAATGCAAACTCTACTGTTTGAAAAAGAAAAGAAAATAATAAAAACTACCTCCTTTGTCATCACAATTACAAACTCCAAACAATTTTTAGGACTGTTCACCGTTAGTACATTACTTGGGGTTTATCAACACTCACTGTCACCAAAATACCCCTCACCCTCTTGGATGGTGCCTAAATTCACCGCCTTAGAAGATTGCCTATCACGTGAATGAGTGACTGACACTCCAGAATGGTTAAATTCCGTTTGCAATGTCTCGTTTCCATTAGGATAGATAACTGAGTGCGAAACTTGCCTGCGTCTCCTGAAGGTAAATTTAAGAGTCTGTAAAAAGTCTCTTTTTAGAAAAGTGTAAAGCAGCGGGTTGACAACTGAGGTCATGTAGCGGATTAAAAGCGCCACTTGAGACGGTACAAGCAATTTAGAGGTGTCGAAGGACAACTGGTATAACAGAAATACCACAAACCAAGGAAGCCAACAAATCAGAAATACGGACGACATAATGACGAATAGTGTTAGACACTTAAACTCGCTACCTGAATGTTTTTCAATGCTTCTACTGCGGCGCAGAGCCATTCCGGAATCATTACTACGTTGATGCTTATCCCTTGGTTTACCATAGACGCCTTTAAACATGTCAGCGAATGCATACATCAAAAAAATGTAGGGTAGAACCAAGACAAATATCGAGCAGAATATAGTGAAACCGAATGCTAACCTTGAAGAAACTGGCTTTTTTACTGGATATATCTTATGAATCCAGGTAAATGGAATTGATGATATTAGAAGCGAGGAAATCCAGACAGTAGTTAGCACTGTTAGGACGTTCTTTTGGTCAAGAACACGATGTTTAAATGGAAATTTAATCGCCATGTAACGTTCCCCCGTAACAATAACTATGTGGTAAACAGTGACGATGGCTATGAAGTTGTGAAGAACTGTTACCAAAAATCCCAGATAGAACCTTGTTGCACCTTGGGATTGTACCAATGGCGTAAAAGACATTATTGTAAATAGAGGAATGACTACAATTCCGCAGAAGAAGTCACAAGTTGCCAAGCTGAAAAGTGGATAGTTTGAAACGGTCCGCAGAGATCTATTCTTGAAAAATAAATAAAGGACCAAACTGTTGATGAGGACGATAACTGTTGCAATGGAAATCAATTTTGCAACTACCGTGTTGTTTGTCTCAAGCTGGTTGCTGACTTCGTGCAGATGATCTGAAAGTACCGTTGCATTGCGGGACTCGTTGAAGTAGGGTGCCGTATTATTATCCATAGGATATGATAATACCAAGAAAATCAAATGTCAAAATAATACTTTCAACTGAGTCGAAAGAACTGATGAGTTGACGAGATGAACTATCTTCTTGACCTTCTTCTGAGAAACTTTTGATGAACTAGCTGTGTGGCGAGTCCTGTTTAGCCTCTATATCCTAGCACTCTAATAAAAAAAAAAAAATAGGCTGGGTCAGTTTTCACATGGAAAATTACGTCATGCAGATTAGTAACGCAAGAAGGAAGTAAAGTTAAGGAACTGCCACGGAGCAGCTCCTGAATTTTAATTGTTAAAAATCATCAGTACATATAAGCCGACCCAAGATAACATTGCTATAAAATGTTTATGTTTTAAGTTTTAGTCGGTGGCAACATAAATCAACCGTATTGCAATAGAGTAACCAGGCCTGCCAAATTTGTGAACCAAAATTCAAGTAAAATCGCGTTTTATAACCATTCGTTTGGACTCAAGGGTCCGGTCCCACGAATGCTGAAAATATGTATACCCCTGGGAAAAAATGACTTTTAATCTTTTCTGAAAATTTAATAGTGCCGTGTGTCAATTCGACTGTTAGCAGAAAGATAACTTCCCTGGATCTGAACTCAAAATCTTATAAAATAAATGTCAAGAAAACGATAATTTAATAGCAAAAGATCTACAATGAGCCCACAGTTATTCATAAGAGACAAGAAGATACTGCGTTCTCATTGGCGTTAACCATAATAAGAGACTGTTACGTATTATTTCAAAACTAACACAATTTATAGAGGATCGATGATCTTGTTAATGAAGGAAGGCGAAAACCCATCGTCACACCCGTAATGTTAACATTACGGGTGTGACGATGGGTTTTCGCGCACTAAACTGGACTTCGTGGGAAGCGTACAAAACGGGGGAAAGTAACCCGGTAGAGACCAGTCGGCTTGCGAGAACGGAAACTCGGCACAATTTATCTACTTCGAGCGAGCTAGTACGGACATCAAGGATGAGACAGCGTTCTGGTTCCACAGCAGACATTATTCGAAGAGCACTCTAACATACACCATGCCAGAGTAAAAGCTAAACTAGTAATCGTCACGCGGTCTTCTATGTAATCGAAAAAGCTTTACAAAGTACTTGCTTAAATATGAACTGGTGCGAGGTTCTATTGTTCTCTAAATTTACCATATTTGAATCGTATAACAAAAGAAGCGGAAAAGGTCTCCTAGAAGTAAACGATTTCTACTTTTCTACGATTTTTACTCATCTGTCAAAATTAGGGAAGAGGATGCAATAAATTCTAGGCAATCAAAAAATATGAAATTTAGGTGAGAATTAACAGCTCTGATATTGAAAATATACCTGTCTTAATTACAATAGGGCAGCTTAGGAAATAAAAGTGGAAAAGCAATTTAAAAATTCTGCTAATCTATGCAAGGTTGGTGTGGAAACTATCGTATGAAAGGAAATGGAAATTATGAGTACAAACTCAGCTGCCAACTACCATGAGAACCAATTTTTCCAGAAAGACCATTAACACATATTTACCTAAAATTTCACTAGTAATGGTGAACAAAAGTACCAACATGCAGTTGTACAATGAAAGCAAGCAACAAAATAAAAATTTTTAAGTTTACTACCCAAAAACTAATGTGGCTTTTTATATATTTTTTGACTAACTAGAATGAAGGAAATTGACTGAAATCAGATGATTAAATATGGAAAGTTTATGAGTACATATGTCCCAAACAAGCACTCGGAAAAATCAGTAAATTTTCCCGTAACACGGGCCTCTGTACCAAAGGTTATTCGATGTACTTCAAAATATAGCATTTGCTTGACACAAAGGTGGAAACTCACTGTTAGATTTAATTGGGAGCATAAAAGAATTTGACCTCTCGCTCAATAACTCAGATGACGGCGACACCAATACATTACCATTATCACTCTTTTTACGATTGGATTTTAATTGTGCAAAGGAAACGACTAAGTAATAAACACTCGTCAACATCCCCAAACAATTAAACCAGAGAGCTGAACGAAGTCCAAAGAGAAACAGAAAAAATTGGGCCGGTGTCAAGTGACGACATTTTCTTCGAGTCGGTCTCTCATTCAATATGAAATTATGTTGCTATTTCCTATAAAGGTAGTTTGCCTCACTTTGAGGGAGCAGATCTGCCACTAAGGCACACTTAAGAAAAAGAAGAATGATAGAAATGCCACTGTTTTAACAAACGAAAATTTCGTTGATCAGTTCTAGAAAAAATTGAAGCTGCTTGCTATCATCTAAATCATAATACAAGCACTCCAAAACAACTAAGAGGAAATTGAATAAATAAGTACCAACTTTCAATACTGCCTTTATCTGACATGAGAATGGACCGTCGTCCTAGGACATTCATTGCCGATGTTGTAAGACAACGACGAAAGTTGATCCATATTGACCCCAGCTGGTCACCATATTTGTGTTATGCCCGCAAATTTTCACAAGTTTCGGTTCCCTCCGCACCTCTTCTTTACGTCACGTCCTCATTTTACCAGATAAGGCCTTCATAGAAAATATCTTATTTCATACGGACTAGGGTTAGAACACGAAACAAGTAAGCCAATTCATCATTTCCGTCCGCGCTAAATATAACAATTAATACTAACCGGCCGACTTGGCGTCGAAGTTCAGTTACTTATCGTAATTTACCTTCGTGACATTACGTAGCTTTCGGCATGGCTTCCTTTATTAATAGACATTTGATTTTTAACTCATGAATACGCGATAGCATAGAAACGAGTTGTTGCGGACACCTTGCGATATGCAAATTACGTGGACTCTTCGTAATTAGTTGAAATAAGTCGGCTCCAAACTCGAGATCTATACTTTTGAAGAAGTCCGAAGTCCTGGCGCCATTGTGATTGCATCAATCGTTGCGATGTTTATTGTCTCTACACGGTTGTTTCGACATTTAATAAATTGAAATGGACTTCGAATGTTTCAGATTAGTGTTATGATCAACTTAAAGACCAAATTTGAAGGGTCTTCGAATCGTCCAAGCGCTAAACGTTACGAGAAGCAGCAAGAATCACGAAGAGTTTGTGAGTGACAGAGCAAGCTGTTGACATGGAAATTCCCACGGAGACATTTACCCATGGCATAAAAAAATCTTATTTACAGCATTATTTCTTTCGTTTCAGGGTTTTTTTTTCGAACGTTTCAGCAGCTACGCCAATTTCAGGCTTTTTGTTGTGGTGGTTTCGTTTTGTTGTTTTTCTATGCAAACGTGACTGTTCTGCATCACGAGCGGGGGAGGAAGAAATGACCGAAATACGAGTGGTCAGCAGGGAAACAAATTTAATACTTCATATAGAGACATATCAGTTGTAGTTGCTGGAAACAATAGTGTTGTAAAGCCGAAATGTTAACAGTATACTTCGCTAAATAAGATGTGAAGCAATTTTTCAAAAGTGTTGATGGCACATATATCTTTCACTGCTGTATTAAACAATGGAGGCATCGGGAAAGGCATCGGTGGCATTCGGAAAGGCGCCAAGAAGAATTATATTTACGTTTTGTAACTTGCAAAAAACAATCGTGTTGTAAAGCCAAAATATTACCAGGTTGTACTGCGCTAATTCAAAAGTTAAGCAATTTTCCAAACGCTTTGACTGGAATAATATTTTTACTGCTATATTAACCAACGGAGGCATCGGGAAAGGCATCGGTGACACTGGGAAAGGCATCAAGAAGAATGATATTTACGATATGTAACTTGTTGTATGACGAAAAAAAGTACTTTGACTTGTTTAAGGCGTTAATCACAATCGGTTTGCTTTTCACTTGAATTTTGCAATCACGACTTTCGATTCCGGAAAAATGAAAAGCTAAGCAAAGCTAAAAAAATTTCGTTCTAAATTTTTATATTTTTAGAGTCATTAATAAGTTTGTATCCACAGCCAAATAAGGTAAGAAATTTTAAATTTCCATCAGCTGTAGTTCTTTTAGTGTTTATTATGTATATTCAATCTCCCATTTCACGTGAAAAAGACATGTAGGAAAACACTGAGCTTCGAGAAACAGCCAAGTTAAGGCTAATGTGTTTACCATGCTTAAATATTTATAATCAGGGCCACTCGTTTAGGAGACCTTTTTTCAAAAGATCCAGACGTTAAAATAATTCTGTTTTCCGTTCGAAGTGTTTTTTTCCTATTTTATCTAACAAATGAACTCGGGATGAAAACTTAACTTTCGAAGCGAACGGCAGGTCACTGTCCCCCCCCCCCACGTCTCTGCGAAAGGTATATCCAGACAACCTGCATGGAAAAACTGACCACAGCTATCACACCAAATTTAAAAGAAAAATCTTTAAAACTGGTGAGCAGCACTCTGCGAACGGTAGTTGTAAAATTTCTTTATTCTCCGACGCGTTTCTTTTAATTGTCGTAGACTTCTTCGGGGAGTTTTACAATTTAAGACTAAACACCTATATTTATAAGCCATAGTTAGTGGCTATAAGGGAGCCAATGACCATAAAGGCTTGGCAGACCTTCGAATAGGAATAGGTGAAGTTGCGAAAAATTTGAAAATTTTTTGGGGCAAGGTCGGAGAATTCATTTGGGGACCACGGTTTTGGTTTTCTTTTTTCGTCACGCAGCAAGTTAGAAAACGTAAATATAATTCTTCTTAGTGCCTTTCCGGATGCCACCGATGCCTTTTCCGATACCTCTAATGTTTATTACAGCAGTAAAAGATATATGTGCCACCAACACTTTTGAAAAATTGCTTAACATTTTATTTAGCGAAGTATCAACACTTTTGAAAAATTGCTTAACATTTTATTTAGCGAAGTATACTGTAGATATTCATATTTCGGCTTTACAACACTATTGTTTTCCGCAACTATAACTGATATGTCTCTATATGAAGTATTAAATTTGTTTCCCAGCTGACCACACGTATTTCGGTCTTTTCTTTATTCCCCACTCGCCCGTGATGTATTAACACCCGACTGTTCTGATAGTAAGGATGGAATGTGATCGGTTTCTACAAGTCGTTGTCGGGCACATGATCATAATCTGGCCGCTGTTGCTTTGATCACTTTTTGGTGTAACATGCGTGTGCTTCCCATAAGTTACAAGCACTTTACGCACGTGGGAGTGCTGCAATCACGGTATAAGCAGTGCAAGGTAGAATAATTTCTGTCAACCTGATCATCACTCTTTGCTATTTCTACCACTTAAATATTAATTCAGAGAAGGGGGGTGAGGGTTAAAACACCTAGAGATAGGCTAACACTGTGTCGCTGGATAGAGTCGCATTTTCACGACTGCATTGACTTTTATGGGGTTACACATTTTTGAGATTTTAGGCGTAAGACAATTATGGCAAGTAAGGATTCATGAACAGGAAGATTCATGATAAAAGAGCTGCTACCGTATTTTAATATTTAATAAACGGCTCCCATTCCTATCCCGTCTCGCCCAAAAGCGGACAAAGACGGGTCTATAATTGGCCACAACATAGGCTAAAATACGGCAGAGGTTCCAAGAAGCCAGCTGCACATACCCAACAAAAAATGACCTATGTCCCCCCCCCCAGGGGTACCACACATTCCAGTACTAAAATTTCTATACTTGCAATGATTTTACTTTCTATCTTTTTTTAAGATAGCAACAAGTATATATCTCTTTAATACTTTATCCACGAGTTGGCCACAGGCGCCCTTTGATATTAAATGTTTTATTAACTTAGCTACTAAGTATTTTTTTCAACGTAAAACCATTTTTACGCTTTTCATCGATGCATTTGTGCAAAATAAAATTTGTCAATGGCAAGTACTGTAGTTGACGTGAGAATATTGCTTATTCAATATGTATATAGCGGTAAATACTCACACCCTATCTGAAAAAGAACACGACATCTCACTACACCTCAGACGCTTTTTCTCATTGATATTTTTCAGAATTAAAAAATTATAAATTATCACATTTTGAATTCTGTGTACTAAGCAATTTGTTTTCGTTAAAGCAATATAGCTTTAGTAATAAGCATCAAATTTTTGGCTGTGTCGATTTCTATGGAGTAATTGTGTCTAGAGAAAACAGGGATAAATCGATTCTTTAGTTGTCATCGCGCAGCCATTATAACATCCAAAGCCTGCATAGAGGTGAACAGTAGCACCAGAGCATTAAACATCCCACTCATTGTTGAAGACACTAGTCCTTATCTTTTGCTTTCACGGTAACCTGTTTTCCTGAGAAAGGTATTTTGATTCATATCGATTATGAAACAGTATCGAGCGATTTTCTCAATGACAAAGTTAGCAGGTCTGTGCGAAATAAGAGAAACTTCACGAAAATTTCCTCGGAAACTAGTACTTAGCTCAAAGAAAACGGAAACCTACCATGTACATTGCCGCTATGTCCTTTCGTGTCTGATGCTCTCTGTTTTAAGTAAAATTTAATCGAACTTCCCCTCGATCCTGCCAAATGCTTTCCTGATTAAATGACAGTTTCATCCACGTCAAAAACATCTCTCTGTGATTTTTTGTTTTTAGTCTTACTCGCTCCATGCTAAAACTTATGGAGTTAGCATGCTTTTATCACACAGAGCAAGATGGATAGCTCATAAATAATTATAACTTTGGCCAGAAAAACGTAAAGGGTTGTGGAAATTTGTCTGGGCTTACGTAATAAGGATAAATCAATTTCCCTTAAGAAGCTAATTTTGTTATTAAAAAACCAAAAATTTGCCGATCTTTTATCATTTATATTTCAAATGAGCCAGAGAGATTTTCTTTCTACTAATACAAAAGGAACATTACATTTGATAAAAGCCATGAAACATCCAAAGGGATTTTTACGCAATAGAATTATCGGTTGCCTATCCTCTTTAGCCTTTTTTAGTAATTTTATGGCGATATGTCAATAGAAATATTTAAGTACGAGTATTAATGTGATAAAATAGTTTTTAATCTTCTTGCTATTTGCTTCGTCCCCTTTTTAAAGTCATTTGCATTTAAATGTACATTTAGACATGGTAATCGTTCTCATTGCAAGTCTTCTGATCATCTCATCAATCATTCTATTTATAAAAAAGGATTTTTCGTGCACTTCTCCTAAAACTAAAAATGATTATGTTGGGATGGATAATCTTTTCCTCAAATGAAGAGCTAAAACTATCCATCTCTCTTAACGATCTGCCTTCAAAATTTCTACGGTCTTGTTTCAATTCAAGATGGCCTTTCCAGAACATCCACAGTTCTACTCACTCCAGACCATCCTGCTAGGAACAACGACGTAAAATGTTCCTAGAAAAAACATATGGTACCGAAAAAGTGATGATCTTCACAGGGCTTGCCGTTGAAAATTATGTTTTGGAACTACTTAAGATTCTCATCACACAATAGACGAGTGCTATTTACTTATACAACATGATTTTTGAGATAACTACCAAACTCGTTTATTTCATTAGCAATGAATAGAAAATAATAAAAAAAAATAAGGGGAAAAAACACGGATGAATGAGATAATCAGTATTCAGAGCCTTTACTTAGATATTTTTTTCACAAATGTGTCTTATTTCTCAGGAATATAATTTATTTTCTCCATTTATTCTCATGAGACATTCGTTAGATAACGATGTCTTCATGGGTACCCGAGTGTGTCGTCATGGCTCATTTGGTAAAAGTTATTTAAATTTTAAATCAATTTTTGCTTGTGACAGGAAACTTCCTTTGCTCTTGGGTCAGAGTTGGAGATGTCACTTTCCCGAATTGAGTTTAGGAGCAGGTTGTTTCAAACTTATCTCTGGTTGTATTATCTAGATATCGTTCAGTTTATCATTTATCGCCGATTAACTGAATAGGAATGACGAGAAAATGCATTTCCTCACAAGAATCTCACCAGCATTTATGGAATTGGCTTCTTTTTACATATCCTTAATATATTTCAGAGAAAAAATTACATAAAAAAGGGAATTTAAATTTGCGAGGGAAAGAAATAGATGCTTAATGCGGGGTGCAGGGGATTTTGAATGAAAGGTTACCCGCATGTTCCGACTGTTATCACAATCTCCAAGAACAGTTAAAATTAATAAAAAAATATCAGTGCTATTTCAAAAAAAAGGATTCCGTAGAAGTCTAGATTTCTCGCAATTATTTTTTATACCCAGTTGATTTATTTCGATATAGGCCCAACGATCATTTCTGTCGAAAGGAAACAATTCCAGCGGAAAAAGCCAGCGCAAGAGTGTGCCTTTCTCGTCTTTTTCCTTCATTTTTATATGTGACAGTTGCTTGTTGCTAACAAACAACGATTTTATTTTCCTAGCAATAGGGAATATTTCATGAAGGCTTTTTTTCGGTTGTGCAGTTTTGTACTTGTTTTCTTGTTTTTATATTTATCTTGGTGGTTCGTCTTTAACTGTGTTGTCAAGACTCTGACATCTTTAGCCATATTCTTAAAGATGTGCGTTGTGTTACGTTGTAATAATAATGCATTTAAAATACCTGCAGTTGCTTGCTTAGTGAATGATAAATAAAAAGCGAAGAAAAAGTACTTGAAACTTTCTTCCCTCTGTCTCATTTCCGATTTAGACTAAGTACCTTTCTTCCTCATTTGACTCAAAGCTGTTTTTGAATAAGTCCTGGTTGCACTCATAGGAAATTCAAAGTAATTTGAGTGAAAGAAAGTTGATCCCCCACATCAAATTGTTCACTTAAGTCTCTCGTAACCTTCCTGAGTTCCGACTACAACCTAACTACCTTTGTTTTTACACAAAGATTGCCCGATTTCACAATTATAGATTTAAAATTTAATTGTATCACATATTTTAAATAAGTAAACGAAGGATCAAGGGAAATATGTATTTGAAATATACGAGAATGACTGTTCCTTGTGATTTTAATTGCAGTCTAGGTAATTAACATCTGACTTTGCGACTTTATATATTGGAAGTGTTATTGCAGGGGAAAGAGATATAGAGAAGAGTTAAATCCAAATTTCGCACTCTGTAGTTCTGTCGAAGATATTAACTATTATGCAACGCTACCGCGGCGATGGAGAGACACCATTTGTTTAGTCAACTGCTTCTTACAGGGGAAGAAGGAAGAGGAAAACAACTCGCCGACAGGAACACTCTCTGTTTGGACTAACACAAAGATTTTTCATTAGCATTATAATGTTTTGTCGACGGATTGCGGTTCAATTTTTTGTTTTAGCTTAAAACGTTATTTCTTTCGAGATTCTTTCTTCTCTCGTACATAAGATAGACGAAAACTTACTCAGTTATGATTGGTTAAGATAAATGTAGTTTTCAGGGAATTCAGAGCAGAAGAGGGTTAATTCAGTGCAAAGAAGCAACAAACCAGACTGAATAATTCCTTAAACGTTTAGCCGGACTTTGAACTTTTTTGCCCCTTTAACATGGGAAAATATCTTTGTATATTATTGTTTTAATCGTACTCAGTTGTTTCGACCGAACGCGCGGTTTGAATAAGTTATTTTTGCATTTGATTCGCGCGCTTTGCTTCTGCATATTTATGATACGCTATCTCTTATTTTTTCACGTATATTATTAATACGTAATCACATGACTTTCTCGTGCAATTTGGAATAAATAAGCACTTGTAAATGTTTTCAAAGACCACAAATTGCACTCGCCCTACGGGCTCGTGCAATTTTGTTAGTCTTCGAAAAATTGACTTGCGCTCATTTATTCCAAATTGCACTCGAAATCATGTGATTACCTATACTACTTGAAGTTACAGGAATCTGCATCTTGATGAAATAAACGTTATGTCATTTCAGAAATTGGTCCTTCTATGAAATTTTTGGAGTATTTTTCTATATTCCTTCTGTATGGTAACATCATGAAAAGGTCACTTAAAAAATCCTACAGCGTAAATATGTTACAGATGCTTGGGCAAATGGGGCAGATAAGAGTGGTCGGTGGTGTTTATGATTGTAATGAGCGGAGAGTAATTCCTTACAATCATAATCTATCTACTCTACATTACTGATTTGAGAAATTTTGAATACAGAAGTTTGCCGTTTAATTTCTTTTTCTACACACAACTTATTATAATCGCTATTTATGTTTTGCCTGTTGACTCGTTCCGCTTTTCGAGCAAGTTTAAGAATGACATGTTTCGTTTGCTTTGATAATTTTTATCAAGTTTTATACTCGGAAGCTTAAGTTGTTTCTTACCTTTGACACGAGAAATCATAATCCACGAGATGTCTGTTTTACGTAAAACACTTGTTGTTCCGAGCACTGCACTAACGTATTTTGATAATGCAGTTTTACGTGTTGAATCTTTTCACGATTATCATAACAAAGCGGCCGCACCTATAGCAAACCACGTTTTCGCTATTAAGTTAGTTTGCAAAACAAAGAAAATCACCTCTGTAACGGAATTGTTATTGATAAACGATAAAAGAGAGTCGTAAAAGGTCCAACAGTGAATCAGCGGAAACCCCAAGTATAAAATATTGAAGCTGTATAATTTCTAAACCTCTCAATCTTAAGTCTCATATTTGCGGATATCCTGAAATTTATAAAGAAAACATTTGTAAATTATTACACTGTCCGGTCAATGGGGATGTTTCCATGACAACTCACTAATATCTTTTTGTAGTTTGCAAATATGTGACAGTTAGAAGATGTCGATAGCAGAGAAACCATCAGGGTGATGTTCAGAAGAACGTCAAGATAGTTTTGGTTTGATCAACTGAGTCGATGCCTTCCCTAAGGTAGGATGATAAATTATTTCACCTTTAACTTAAATGGGATTGCTGAATTTAACCAGAAGTCGTTCAGAACAGCGATGTAACTTCAAACTAGTTTCTCATGGAACAGGCAGCCTGAGGATTTTTTTTCGATTGGCCACATTATTATTGCAAAAAAGTCGTGCTGAATCAGAGAACCGCTGACACCTGTATTTCGCAAAAGGGAAAATAAAACGTCTCTAGAAATTAAAATAAACGTCTTACGAACTGATGTAATGATGAAAGAGGATAAGTTTTTAAAGAAGCTGTGGTGCTGCGTCGGTGGGGTTATATAACAAGATGACTTTGGCTTTATGGACCAAGTTGATAATGAAAATTGGCCACCGTAAAGAGTTTCAAAGCTGACGTTTCCTGTTTCTCTCTGACGAAGGGCTAACACTCGAAACGTCAGATTTTAAACTCTTAGATTTACTCTTAGATTCTAAACTCTTTACTTTGGCAGATTTCCATAATCAACTTAGTTCGTAAAGCCAAAATTATCTTGTTATACTACCCCACTTCTGGTTAAATTCAGCAATCCCTTTTAAGTTAAAGGTGAAATAATTTATTATCCTCCTCTGAGGAAGGCAGAGGGGAGGCAATCATTTTATAGCGGAGCTCGCAGAGCGTAGCCCCATAATTATACAAAATAGTAGTAACCCATCAAGCCGAAACAATTTGGATGTACGACCGCACGACCGTACGACCGTACAAGGTGCTGCTTTTAACATGCGTGGTCAACTGTACCGCGGGCACGCCAACGCCACGGCTTTGTTCACGACTTTAGTCCAGTGGTCAGTGCACTGGGCTCCGAGTCGGACGACCCAGGTTCTAGTCCTGGCCGGGGCAAGGCGTTGTGCCTTTGAGACGTGAGGGGAAAAAAAAAAAAGCGAGCTCCGCTTTTAGGCTTGGCTAAATCTATATATTATTGGTAGGGCAAATAACTTCCTAAAGATCAAAAATCTCGGGCTGCATAAAAAGGATAATCTGGGTACACATCTTGCAAAATTGATAAAGTAAGTAAAGTCAGCAAATGAAGTTAACTTACATCTCGATCGACTTTCACAATGCAACTTGACTAAAACACTATTTAGTAATGGTAAAAGCCTTGACGAGAAGACCAACTTACGTTTGAAATTGGGTCGCAATAACCGGCATCGTGCTATCATCGAAATCAAGAGAGGACGCAAGGAGTTCTTATTTCTTTACAGTAGTAGCACTTGGACAAAAACTGTATAGTAAGCTACTGAGCCAACGATAATTTTTTTTAACTTTTCAAATATATGCATCTTGATATGCTAATTATGATTAAAATAATATGAAACGGAAGATAAACTCGTCTCCAAGGTACTTGCACCTTAGGTAAAAATATATGACAAATTCATCAAAATTCACGGCGAAATTTATGCTTATTATTGCAAGATCTTAGATCCATCGAAAAGTTGGTGTTTCGAAAATAATGAAACAAACTTAAGCAAACTTTAGACATTTTGTTAGTTTATTTCAACCCTGATTGTTAGAATAACATGTATCTATACACATAGAAAACCATACGTCTTTTCGAGACTGGAGACGTCAGAGCCACTATTGAGTTGAACCACTCTAAATGTTGACTACTCCCAACGGTTGTGTTGTTTTCCTTCGATGTAACTTCCTTTGGATATCACATCAGAAGGTTGAGTCTAAATCAATCGCCAAGTTGGATCTCTACTGTGCTCGGATCCTCGTTCTTCATTGATCCTTCAGGTTGGTTTGAGAGATTATAGAGCTGTTCAAATGGTAAAGAACAATCGGGATCAACATCACCATCGAGGTTTTTCTTTCCCTTATCCTTTCCCAGACAACTAAATCTGAACGTCAACACGCGGGGTAATCTCATTCTACGTACTAAGTTTTTCACTGCTTGTTTAAAATCCGGTCTCATTAGGCTGTATAGCATTGGGTTTATGAAAGATGTGACATATCGCACAATAGCGAACACGTGAGCTGGAACTCGTAGAGATTTCAAATTCAGGGGGATGAGCAGTTGCAACAAAAACCATGGAAACCAGCATATTACAAATAGTAATGCCATGGCAAAAAACAATGTAGCACACTTCCTCTCCCGGGCTATTTTCCTTTTGAGCTTTTTTCTTGTTCTGCTTGTGCCATTTTGTCCCGCTCCCCTTGCAATGGCTCTGAACATTTTAAAAAAGGCATACACCATGATAATGTATGGCACTAAAAACACCACTACAAAACAGCAAGCCACGTAGCCTATGACATACTTCATTCCCAGTGGGCTGGGGATTTTGTTTATCCAAGCAAAAGGTATGAACCCAATGACGAATGCAAACAACCACACCATCATCAAAACTTTGATAACTGTTTGCTTTTTCACTAGACGATGAGTTATTGGCCAGATGATTGACAGGTACTTTTCCAAAGTTGCAAAAACTATGTGATAAACTGAAAGAATTGCAGTAACTGTGTGAATTACCGGAAGCAGATAACCAAGGTGAAAGCGAACAGTGTTTGATGCAATAAGAGGCGTGAAAACCACCATGATTAACATAGGAATATTCAGTGCTCCAGTTAAGAAGTCTGTGATCGCTAAACTGAAGAGGATCATATTGGCTGGTGTTCGTAGTTTTTCCGAGTTGAGAAACACGACGAAAACTAATGTGTTCATGATAACAATTACCGATGCAATTGGTACCAGTTCTGCAATGGCTGTCACATTTGTCCTCGACAACGGCCCGGGCGCTGTTTGGTTTTCCCGTGCTGTGATGTTGTTCATTTCTTGTTGCTATGCCTTGATCTACTAGACTGCAGTTTTTTTTAAGCTAACAAATGCCCTCAGTTCACTCAATGTACTTCTTAATGGAGGCCCATCAAACACATTCAGCGAAAAAAACCATGGGCAAATTCTCCAAGATTTTATTATGACTTCGCTTGAGTACAAAAAGGCTTTGTTGGAAACGCTACAAGAGATAAAAATATCATTGAATAAATATATTTGTGTTGAGGAGGGGGAAATAACAATATATCACTCTGCTTTGAAACCCTTAAGTACTTGAAATAAATATTTTTTTCAAAGGTTATGAGAATTTTTTCATTACTCAAGAGAAACAAGACTTTTACTTTCAAAGCTGGAACCTAAAAGCTTCCTTTCTCTTTGCTCGATTGTGACGGATTTTCTCTATATTGTGTTTTACCGTGGGTAAATCAAACTGGGGGCATATATTATGAGAGGAAATAAAAATGGAGCGTTCCAAACAAATCCCTTTGGATGAATATAATGAACCGTTTGGGAGCCCCCTCCCACGGTACAGCTGCAACACAAATCTGTTCTCTTTCCCCTTACCTTTTTGTCACTGCGGTTAATATCCTAGCGATTGCTATAAGAAATCATGAGAACACTACAGGAATAACTTTAGACGGTTTAGAAACGAAAATTTTGCAGTTTGTTAACGACACAACTGCTGTCCCATCAGATTTGAATTCTGCATGAGCCTTGTTTGCGTTACTTGGACGTTTTAAAAAAGCTTCAAGACTTAAACTTAACGTAACAAAAAAAAAGGAGCGATGTGGATTGAGTCCCTTCAGAAATCTGAAAGCGAACCACTAGGTGTTAAGTGGAAAACATGTCTCAAATTTTTCAGGGATATTTTTCAAATACGACGTACAGCTCTTGATAGAGCAAAACTGCAGGCAGAGGTTGAAAAAAAAATGAAAAAGTGTAAACTTTGACTTACGTAAAACAGTGCTCAATACATAGGAGTAGAGCGATGTAAATATTGTGGGAGGAAAAAGATAAATAAACTACCAGTTCATCCCCACAGACCTGTTTCGTGGTTGCCCACTCATCAGGGGATTTAATGAGAATAATCTTTACGATCGCTTATATACGATATAATCTAATTTATGCAGCGCGAAATTTAACAGTTTAGTTGTTGCGTTGGAGGGCTTTGTTTCTGTGGCAGCGGGAAGACACGAGTTCATTACGTTTGTTTAGTGTTGATAGTTCGGGTCGGCAGATGATTTGGAATTTTTCTTTGATGCAGAGATTATATCTTTTACTTGAGCTGTTGTACGGCGAGTGTGATGAGAGAATGCGCCAGGAAATAAAGTGCTCGATGTTGTTGCCTTTGAAGGTCCAGATGTGCTTGCTGAGTTCTCTCTTTAAAGCACACTCGCCGTACAACAGCTCAAGTAAAAGATGTTATTATACATACATACATACATACATATATATATATATATATATATATATATATATATATATACATATATACTAAAACCAATGAAAAACGAAAATCTTCTTTTAACTTTAACTTCGCTTTTGCGCTACGCGTTTCACCGCTGCTGCGGCTTTTCAGGTATAGCAAAATGTGTTTATAGACTCATATATATAAATGTAAGAAGTATGCGTTTCGATTTTTCCGTAGTATAGTGCTCGATAAGTAGGAGAAGAGCGCGATATATATTTGTATGTATGTATATATACATATATACACCGTTTACATAAACGTTGAAAATTTAAAAATATATATTTCAAAGTTGCAACGTTTTTGAAAACGGGTATATATATATATATATATATGTATATTTACCGAATTGATGGTGAAGAGATAAACAACAGCCTCTATTTGGCGCAAAAATATGTACGGATATTTGTCCGCGGATATTATCTAGTCCAAGATAAGAACAGTTTTCCGAGAGCGAAGCAAAAGCGGCTAGGTAAATATTCACCACTCTTATCGACACTTAAGTGAATAATTGTTTTAGTAAACACCACGCAGAAAACGAAAAAAAGGTTTTTTTTTTCACTTTTCGGAAATTAAACGCGATTTGTCTCTTCAACCGCTTGGGAGTGAAAAGTACTTATTGATTTCTTTCCGAAGCGGTTAATCAGCGCGCGGGAAAAGCATTGGTCACATCCGTGATATATATGTGTTTAATTTTTATATTGGCATTGCGTGGGAAAATGAGAAAAAATTGAATTCACGCAAGCGGCACTTTTCTGGCCTAGATTACATGCCATGTTTTTAAACTCGGCAGGGCGGAGGAAATCAAGCTCACGTCTTGTCTTTCAGTCTCCTTGTAGATAATTCTAACATTATAATTATTTTATTAGTATTAACAATCTTATTTTTATCATTGTTGTTATTATACTCCGCTTTATATGATGATTGAAGAGTATTTTTCGTTGGTGATTAAATGACCTAGTGCAAAGCAGTGGGACTAGAAGTTCGCCGGGCAAAGAGCTCACACACCTGTAGTCGCGCACAAAGTTGCTAATTCCTTGTAATAATAGCTAGAAATTGACTGGTTCTTTTCGAATAGACTTGCTTCGGCTGAAAAAGCACTTTACGAATACATGCTTGCAAGCATGACTGATCCAGCTTTTTCGGCGGGTATTTGATTTGTGAGTTAGGTAAAGTTTGATATCGAAATTGTCAAATCGGCAGGGAACCAAACACAAATTTTATCGCTTTAGTGCAAAATAATCTTGCCGTTGCGTCCCTTTATTTCTGCGCTTACATCTGAATTTGAACGTGCTATGACTATAGAGGTTGTCAGCTTCGAACAATGCGAGAATGCAGGTGCAGAAGATAAATATGTAATACTCTGGTAATAGTGAACTTTGTTTTGTTAATGAACGTAGTATTTGTGCTTCCACAAATGCCGGTTCGGTACAATTTGGTGGGATGCTTGTGTGATATAAGAACATAACGTAATACTGTATCATATAACTATCTCAAACTGAATAAAGTGAATACCTCAGAAAAATCAATAAATTCTGCCTTTCTTTTTGATTACGAATTTATAAGCTGTAATCAGGCGTCACCAAAGGTTAAAATGTATGACGCCGAAGCAACTCTGTGACGCATACATACAGCGGAAGTATAAAATCCGTGTTATTCAGTCAGTAGAAGAGCGTCGTTCACGGTTGTCAAACGATGTAAATATTGCAAATGCAAGTTATCCACTCGTCTCTTAGGTCCCGTTCAAACGGTCATGATAGTTGATGACATTTTCAACTATCACGCGCGTTTGAACACGAACTATCAGGTATTATCATCGACTATCATCAGCTATCATGTAGTTTGGGCAAGTTCAAATTCGACATGATAGTTGATGATAATTTTTGCGGTTTGAATGAGCGGGTGACAGTGAATAATGATTTTCGGTCCGCAGTTTGCCCTAGTTTGCCAAAAACGGGCTAAAACCAGAATGGCAAATAATAATGACTAAAATAGCCACCAAAATTTTGTATAATGTCTTGTGGTTCATTATCATCATCTCCAGGTAGGCTTGCAAGGTCGGCGAAATTGCTGACCTCAGTGCGCGTCATTTTTCTTTACAATTATGCGATCCCACTGCCTGACTTTGTCATCTGTCATGATCGTTTGAATGGGGCTTTAGTAAAGGGAGGTGTTCAGAACAACTTTATGAACTAAGAAAGAGAGGGGGGAGGTAATTTTCAACCAGGCAACACATAATATGAAGTTGAAAGCCTCATCAACACAGCTCCATGACTTTGAAATTCAAAATTGTTTCAAGGCTTCGTAGATATTTCGACAGAATACAATAGTATGCATAATATAAAAATCTCAAACTTACCGGAAACTTTAAAAGCAGTTTGAAAGATGGACGGTTTGGTCTTCAGGAGTTGAACTTCTGCGACAGCTGAATTTAATCAATCAAACTTTGCTTACGGTAATTTGTTTTGCTGTCCTTATTCGTCTTCATTTGCATTTAAACACAATTTAAACTGACAGGTGATCAAGTAACCATCGATTGATAAATTAAACATCATACGCGTAAGTTCAACACAAAACGTTCATAAACACATTGGTAAACAGCGAACAATCACACTTCACTGTTTCACGGGTATGTTATAGTTAGAGGCACAAATAATAATTCATACCTTAGAGCAATCAATACGACAAAAGTTACCGGCGTGTCTGAGTGTTAATAATTAATGGGCAATATCTGCACGTAATGGTGAGTCATGAAGCAATAAACAAAGGAAAAGGAAGGAAAAGAGGAAACGGAAATATTTTGATTCGGCAAAGGTGAACTTACATAGACACCTAGATCAATATTAAAGTGATGTTATGACAGTCAAAATCAACCATAGGCTCTCGTTTATGAGATCACGAAGAATCTGGAAGATTAACGTGGATTTGTTTAATTACGTCCGACATTATTTTGAGGCCTTTGCACAGTCAATATTCATTAAGATTACCTTCGTTGGCGTTCTCGCGGTTTGGCATTGCATACTATGAACACCATGTTCTTATAAGGTACAGGAATGTCTTTTCAAGAGAAAAAAACAATTCACTTAGTTCATGGAGTGGTGATAAACTTTCAATCAATATGTAAATCTATTATTCATCTACATGCTATTGGCAATGTTTGCACCATTTTCGATTGCAAGGTGATGTGAACTCCCCCGTTTATATTCATTTGCTGTACCCCTATATCATAAAAATATTTGTGGTAGCACTAAATAGTCAGTTTCTAAAGCTGGAGACAATAAAATAAACATTTCCAACTACAGCCAGTATCGCGAGAGAAACAGAGTCTGATAGTCTCGATATGCGACAAAAATTTAGGTGGTGATATTCGATATCATGTTGATGATTGATGGCAATAGTTTGCACCAGTTTCGACTTAAAGGAGATTCGATCTCCCCAAGTTGATTCGATTACGGCAACCAGCAAAGAGGCATCTACAGGAAAGAAAGGATATCTGTTACAAAGTAAACACTCACTTTCTATTACTGTCGATGAAATTTGGGTGAAATTAAAATGTAGCCATCATATGCTCCGTGACTCAGGCGGCAAAGAATCAAAGGCGAACTAGCGCCCTTATGACTTCACAGTCGCCCGAATTGCAGCAGCAATGAGCCCATTTGCCGCCATTTAAAAGAAAAGGATTATATAACCATGAAAGGGAATCTTTCATTCGTTGACTTTTTTTGGTGTTGATTTAGCAACATAATACCAAATCAGCTGTAGCTCATCTACACCGTAAATGGTGCATTTGGTATAAAAAGAAGGTAAGTAAAGGATAAATAGAAGAAAAGCATTCAACATCATAAAGCGGATTACACTGAAGTGACCATGAACTCCAAATGTGGGGAGATTTGGCTAGTAGAATTTTGTGAAAAACTACATTTGAATCATATTTGATTGCCTTTTTTTTTTTTTTTTGATCTATGATTTTTATAATAATTCTCGGAAAAGGCAATGAGGTTCTCTATATTTAAACTGTTGGTTGTTTAGATTTTGGATTTCACATTCAAACCATTTTACTTTTATCAATTCCTTTTATATCATGGCTTATTTACTTAAATACTGAAGTAAGTGTTTTGATGGCTTCACAAGTATGCACGTTTTGATTACGAAATCCATGGTGAGTTTCTATTATCAAAATATGTTTCAATAACTTCAGTTTTCTTTTTCTACAGCATTATAAGCAAAACGTATTTTGGTTATCTCATTAATGGTAGCTAGATAAAATACAACAGGAACAGTAACAAGACAAGCAGGCAATAAAAAGACACTTCTTTTGATTCGATTAATTGAATGTGTGAGTAACATCTGATACTGTCAAATGTCAAGTAATTGAAGGATAAATCTTCAATTAAATCTAGAATGTCAGCTCTCTGAGGTAATTGAAACCCCAGTCCATTAAAAAGACTGTACCTTAATTCAACTAAACAAAAATGTATCAAATATATGTAACATTTATATATACATTACAAAAATGTAGTTTTGTCTGGCAGAACTAATGTAATTTCAGTAGCAGCAAGTGGTAAAGGAAGTAGAATTATTTCTTGTCTGTGTAAAAGTATAACGTATTTTTGGGAGGAGTAGAGGACATATAAAGTTCATCAATTGTTTTGTACTCCTCCTGGCTTTCAAACTTTTATATTCACTTTTCACCATATTTCACTCCGTGTGAAACTACGTTTGGATGGAAAATCTCCTTGATGTAGGTCACCACATGATTTCGATCGCAATTTGGTATAAATCAGGAAGAGCAAATTTTTAAAAAGGGTAACCAAATTGCACAATCCCGTAGGGCGAGTGCAATTTGTAGTCCTTGAAAAAAAAGAGGAGGTGACTTATCCCAAACTGCATGAATACTTAAAGTGCCTTTGAAACGATTTTTTTTCGCGTAATTATTTAGCTTATCATATTTAAACACCAATTTCGATAGCAGGTAAATTTAAAAAAAAAAATAAAAGTCGGTTTTTTCGGGTACTAAAAATTGCTCTTAAAATTGTCCCGTAGACTGGTAACGAGTTAACAGGCGATGACGTAGAAAACTTTAAAACCACTCTGTTGGTTCTTTCAAATCTCTCCCATCTCTAGTCATTTTGTATTGTCAGCGTTGGAATAATTTTGGAATAATGTCCGATAGCGATGACTACCTACCTACAGCAAGCTCTACCAATAGTTCTGATACATCGTACCCAAGTAATAGAGAAGAAATGGAAGTTGTGAGTAAGGTTCAGCCTCTCGAAGGAGAACTGCGTCAAACGTAGATTTCGACAAAGACTGACAAAGACGGTCTCTCGCCTGCGAGATTAAAACAGAAAACTCCCGTTACTGAGTTTTTACTTCGTTGCGTTTGATTTGTTTTCTGTGGCAAAATCTTATAAAGATTGGGTAGATGTGTTCGTTTCTGTTGCCATATCATATTATTCCTTCGCATTAAGTGCGGGCGACGGTTCCCCTTGGTCAGTGCTCAAATAGCAAATAACTTCCTCAGCAAAAATTGTAACGAAAACAAACGAGAAGTAGCCCATACAAGATGAAGGCTCAAGCTATAAAGAGATACTGAATGAAGATTTTGGACGGAGAAAACGCGATTTTTATGGCTGGAATTGGCTTACCACTGCGATTACGATCCGATAATCTGTATGGAAGTTTTTAAGGTCTGCAAGCCTAGGAGCCAACTTGGATATTTTCCAGAGGTTGTTCAGCGAAATAAAGTTAAGTTGTAGAACTATAAACTTAACTTTAAATTGCAAAAGACATCGTGCTACTGCATCACGACAATAGCGGAAAAATCGAAAGTCGAAAGACAACAACATCGAGCCGTGTGCACTGATTTAAACGCCATCCAGCTGTTTTGTTTACCCGTAGAACAATTATTTTTTTCAAACAAATTTGTATCAACTGCCTCAGCTTAAATTAAAGCTTACTGGAGTCCTCGTTAAAACTTAAAGAAAGTACCTAAAACGCTTAAACTTGACAAAAACCATCAAATGGAAGCTGAAGTCGGGGACCGCAAACGGAACTGCCATAAATCTTGAGTGTATATTCACTTTGCAAGTAGTTTTGTTCTTATGAAAAAAAAAAATTCAGAAAATATCTTAATGAAAATCTAGTCTGCGTTGTTGCTACAACTAGTAGTTTGGTGAATTCTAGTCGAGAATTCCTGAAGTTCTTTCACTTTAACCGCGCGGCGAAAAATAAAGGCTTTAAACGGAATAACCAGGTAGTTAAACTTGATTTTAAATAGAAAATTGTTGATGCTGGAAAAATAAAATGTTTTAAGTTGCTTTTGGCGTTCAACTGCCTCAGTTCAAAGTTTCCTCTTCGTTTCCTCCAAACAAAGGGTCTTTCACAAATCAAAATTCGCCCCGCGTGGCGCCATTTGATAGGATGAGCAGATATTTCAGTCTTCTATGGGTATTTATAATAAAGTTCGGATATAACGCGCGCTGTCATTGGTTGAAAGAGCGTGCTCTATGAGAGTATAGAACATAGAGCTGAGCTAAAGCTGTCACGCCATCTGCCAAATTGTACCATGTTCGACCTTTTCCGGGACTCCTTTTTAGCTTTATTCCGATAATTGAAAGTGAAATTTCGGAACAAGCGAGCCGGCAATTAGGAGAAAAATCAAATAAAGGTTTGTTATTAAAACGTGAGCAGATATGAAAATCCGCAAAGGAAAAACAAAATAGACATTCCGAGTTTTAAAGATTGATTCACGCTCAGTTAGATTGCAAGCTTACGTACGAAAATAAAAATCAAACACAGCTAACATTCATATAGTATATAAAGTTCAGTGTTCAAAAACAAAACAGAACAAAACAGAAATGATGAAAAATATAACCAAACTGGCATAACTGTGAAAATTCATTCTAATCATGACGGTGTCTAAGCGAATATGATCATGCTGAAGTCCATCGCGGCTCGCTCATCATGGCGATCTCCAGTCATCACAGTAAAGCAAGCCTCAGAAACTACATCGGCTGCCCTTCCTTCCTTAATCCTTATATATTTAAACACGTGACACCTAGGAGTACCGAAGTTCTCGTTTAAACGTGTACGTGTATTAGAGATCCACCCAACCCAACCCAGGGGAGGACATCCATCACACAGTAATCTCGTGCGTGGGAAATTAACGTCTCCTTCGAGTGAAAAAATAAGAGCTTGTTCTGATATCCTTTCCGATGCGTTGAGTGGAAAGTCACATCTGTCACTGCAACCGAGTTTTGCCGCGCTATCATCCCGAGCGATCTTCATGTTCCGGTGAATTCGGCTGTCGTTCATTCAAAAAACACTCGCCTTGAACAGTTTGTTTTCTATCTTGTCATGTGAAAAAACTCGCGTGTTTTTATGAGCCATAATTCGGCTGAAGTTCACTGAACATTTCACTTCAAGATTCTGTATTAGAGACTTAAAAACTTCAGGCAAAACTGTTAATTTTCGACCTGCCGAACTATTTTAGTTTGTAAACTATCGCAGAAGGTGAACTTTGATGGTTTTTGAACTTTGATGGTTTGACACTTTCGACAGCTTTAGTCTTGTACAGCCAAACAGATTATTTGAACCATTCTAACAGGGATTCTGATTGGCTT